AAAAACCAAAAAAAAAAAAAAAAAAAAAAAAAAAATGGAATAACCTCCTGTATTCTATTAGACCACCATGGTTTAAAGTTAGAATTCAACAACAACACAAACTACAGAAAGCCTATAAACTCATGGAAACTGAATAACACTCAACTGAATCACCAATGGGTCAAGGAAGAAATAAAGAAAGAAATTAAAGACTTCCTAGAATTCAATGAAAATTAATGTACTACATACCCAAACTTATGGAACACTATGAAAGCAGAACTAAGAGGAAAGTTCATAGTTCTAAATAGCTACATAAAGAAGTTGGAGAAATCTCACACTAGCAACTAAAGAGCATACCTGAAAATTCTAGAACAACAACAACAACAAAAATCAAACTCACCCAAGGGTAGTAGATGCCAGGAAATAATCAAATTGAGTGATGAAATCAATAAAGTAGAAACAAAGAGAACAATACAAAGAATCAATGAAACAAAGAGTTGGTTCTTTGAGAAAATCAAAAAGATAGTCAAACTTTATCCAAACTAACCAAAAGGCAGAGAAAGAATATCCACATTAACAAAATCAGAAACAAAAAGGAAGACATAACAACAGACAATGAAGAAATCCAGAGAATCATCAGGTCATACTTCCAATACCTATACTCCACAAAATTGGAAAATCTAAAAGAAATGGACAATTTTCTGGATAGGTACTACATACTCAAATTAAGTCAAGACCAGATAAACAATCTAAATAGACCTATACCCCCTATGGAAACAGAAGCAGTCATTAAAAGTCTCTCAATCAAAAAAAGCCCAGGGCCAGATGGTTTCAGCACAGAATTCTACCACATTTTCAAATAAGAGCTAATTCCAATACTCTTCAAATTGTTCCACCAAAAAAAAAAAAATCAGTAGCCCTCCTATATACAAATGATAAACTGGTCGAACAAGAAACCAGAGAAACATTACCCTTCATAATAGCCACAAATAATATAAAATACCTTGGGGTAACTCTAACCAAGCAAGTGAAAGACCTGTATGACAAGAACTTTAAGTCTCTGAAGAAAGAAACTGAAGAAGATATCAGAAAATGGAAAGATCTCCCATGCTCATGGATAGGTAGAACCAACATAATAAAAACGGCAATCTTGCCGGGCGGTGGTGGCGCACGCCTTTAATCCCAGCACTTGGGAGGCAGAGCCAGGCGGATCTCTGAGTTCGAGGCCAGGCTGGGCTACCAAGTGAGTTCCAGGAAAGGCGCAAAGCTACACAGAGAAACCCTGTCTCGAAAAACCAAAAAAAAAAAAAAAAAAAAAAAAAAAAAAAAAAAAAAAAAAACGGCAATCTTACCAAAAGCAATCTACAGAGTCAACTCAATCCCCATCGAAATCTCAACACAATTCTTCACAGACCTTGAAAGAACAATACTCAACTTCATATGGAAAAACAAAAAACCCAGGATTGCTGTGGATATCATTCTGTATAAATAAAACACTGGTTGGCCACTGACCAGGCAAGAAGTAGGCAGGACAAGGAGAGAGGAGAATTCTGGGAAGCGGAAGACTGAGTCAGGGAGACACTGCTAGCCGCCGTCATGACAAGCAGCATGTGAAGATGCCGGTAAGCCATGAGCCACGTGGCAAGGCATAGATATATGGAAATGGATTAATTTAAGCTATAAGAACAGATAGCAAGAAGCCTGCCACGGCCATACAGTTTGTAAGCAATATAAGTCTCTGTGTTTACTTGGTTGGGTCTGAGCTGCTGCGGGACTGGCGGGTTAGAGAGATTTGTCCTGACTGTGGGCCAGGCAGGACCAGGAAAACTCTAGCTACACAGGATAGCCAAAGCAATCCTTTACAATAAAGGAACTTCTGGAGGCATCACAATCCCTGACTTCAAGCTCTACTATAGAGCTATAATAATAAAAACAGCTTGGTATTGGCATAAAAACAGACACGTTGATCAATGGAATCAAATCGAAGACCCTCAATTAATCCACACACCTACAAACACCTGATTTTTGACATAGAAGCCAAAGTTATACAATGGTAAAAAGAAAGCATCTTCAACAATGGTGGTGGCATAACTGGTTGGGGGCATGTAGAAGAGTGCAAATAGATCCATATCTGTCACCATGCACAAAACTCAAGTAAAAGTGATCAAAGACCTCAACATAAATTCAACCACACTGAACCTGACAGAAGAGAAAGTAGAAAGTAGCCTAGAATGCATTGGCACAGGAGACCACTTCCTAAATATAACACTAGTCGCACAGACACTGAGAGCAACAATTAATAAATGGGACCTCCTGAAACTCAGAACCTTCTGTAAGGCAAAGGACAGGGTAAGAAAGACAAAACAACAGCCTACAGAATGGGAAAAGATCTTCATCAACCCCACATCTGACAGAGGGCTGATCTCTCAAATCTATAAAGAACTCAAGAAACTAGACATCAAAATACCAAACAATCCAATTAAAAAATGGGCTACATAGCTAGACAGAAAATTCTCAACAGAAGAATCCCAAATGGCCGAAAGACATTTAGAGAATTGCTCAGCATCCTTAGTCATCAGGGAAATGCAAATCAAAATGACTCTGAGATATCATCTTATACCTGTCAGAATGGCTAAGATCAAAAACACTGATGACAGCTCATGTTGGAGAGGATGTAGAGCAAAGAGAACACCCTTCCACTGTTGGTGGGAGTGCAAACTTGTACAGCTATTGGAAATCAGTATGGCAACTTCTCAGAAAATTGGGAATCAATCTACCTCAAGACCCAATGATACCACTCTTGGGCATATACCCAAGGCATACTCAATCATACCACAAGGACACTTGCTCAACTATGTTCATAGGAGCATTATTCATAATAGCCAGAACCTGGAAACAACCTAGATGCCCCTCAACCAAAGAATGGATAAAGAAAATGTGGTACATATACACAATGGAGTACTACTCAGCAGTAAAAAAACAACATCATGAAATTTGTAGGCAAATGGATGGAACTAAAAAAATATCATCCTGAATGAGGTAACCCAGACTCAGAAGGACAAACATGGTATGTACTCACTCATAAATGGATACTAGATGTAAAGCTAAGGATAACCAGACTGCAACCCACAGCTCCAAAGAAGCTAGGAAACAAGGAAGACCCTAAGAGGCATGCATGGATCGCCTAGGGAAGGGGAAACAGGTGAGCTCCATGAGTAAACTGGGGATGAGGGCAGACAACAGAGAGTAGGGGATGGGGGATGAGAACATGAGGGAACAGGATGGTCGTGCTGGGGGAGAGACAGAGAGGGAGAGTGATGAAAGAGATATCTTGAAAGAGGAAGACATTATGGGTTTAGGGAGAAACCTGGTGCTAGGGAAATTCCCAGGAATCCACAAAGACAACCCCAGCTTAGATTACTAACAATAGTGGAGAGGGTGCCTGAACTGGCCTACCCTGGTAATCAGACTGGTGAATACCCTAACTGTCATCATACAGCCTTTATCCAGTAACTGATGGAAGAGATGGAGAGATACATAGCCAAGCACCAAGCCAAGCTCCAGAAGTCCAGTCAAAGAGAGAGAAAAGAGATTATATTGGGGGTGGGGTGTAGATCATGACGGGGAAATCTACAGAGACAACTGAACCAAGCTTATAGGAACTCACAAACTTTAGACCAACTGCTGTGGAACCTGCACGGGACTGGACTAGGCCCTCTGAGACAGTTGTGTAACTTGGTCTGTTTGAGGGGCCCCTGGCAGTGGGATCAGGATACACCCCTAGTGCATAAGTTGGCTTTCTGGAGCCCATTACCTATGGTTAGACACCTTGCTCAGCCTTGATGCAGGGGGAAGGGCGTGGTCCTGCCTCAGCTGAATGTACCAGGCTTTGCTGACTCCTCATGGGAGCCCTTAACCTTTTGGAGGAGGGGGTGGGAAGGACGAAGGGCATGAAGGAGGGGGAAGGCTGGGGAAGAGCAGGAGGAGGGATGAGAGGGGGATCTGTGGTTGGTGTGTAAAATGAATAAAAAAATTCTTAAAAAAAAAATTCCTTTCCAGTAAACGGGAAAACAAGGTGAACATCAGTTTCCATAGGAAACAAGTGAAAGGATTGTGGCAGAACACAGGAGAACTGTAAAGGCAGCATTCCAATTGTGGTGGGGAAGAGAATGTGGGCATTTGCTAAATTGCTATCCTTCTATTGTGTACATATTTTATATATAATATTATACACATTAAACATTTTACAGCCACTTAGTATTTAATATAAAATTTTAAATTTTCTTAGAATATCAACAGTCCTAAATAAGCATTGTCACTAACTCCAAGTAAGGGGATTTGATTAGTTTCAGCAACTATTGTCAGAATCCACCTATGACTGAGGAAATTGTCTCCAAAACCCAAAGCAAGTCACTTTGGTGTCATTTCTCTACAGCGGGGTTGACTTCACCGATACCTTCCATGACTTTTATATATAAAATGGAAAATCTGCAAGAGGCTTTAAAAGAAAAGACTGAGCATGGGGACTCATACCTGCAATCTGGCATCTGGAAGGCTGAGAGCTCAAGTGCAGCCTGGGCCTCAAAGTGAGACCCTGACTCAAAAAACAAAAACAAAACAAAGCAAACTCCCTCAGATTACTAAAATCAGTAAGAAAAGAGGGGACCCTTCTGGTTCTAAAAGATTAAACAAGATAATATATGTAATTTTAATACATATCAAATACAACATACAAAACATTTTGTTCAAAAGAGAAAAATTCAACTTAATCCTGCAGATTAATTTGTTCTCATTTTGCATAGTCCCTAAGATACTGAGGTGTGCTAAAGCATTTCAAGTTCCTTTATCTCACATTCACTGTGACTGCTCTCAATTTTGTCACCTGGGAGATTCTGAACCTGACAATTTATTGCTATACCCAGTAGGAGGCTGGAAACCATCACTCAAACAGTAAATAGTAGATGAATGGTTTCTGAGACTATTTCCAAGACACAGATCTGAAAAGAAAGCATTTTGCCTACCTGCAGCGATAACACTTTTCCTTCCAGAGTCTCTGCTTTTTTCTTCCATTCAGCTAAGAGCTGGTTTTGCTTTTCTAATTCAGCAGAATACATAGCTTTTTCCTCTAAGGACAAAGGAAAGTTATAGTAATATTTTGCAATAAAGCTGGAATTTGGCATCACTTGGACTTTTAATAATTAAAAACAAAACATTTAAATACCTCAAAGGGAAGTACAATTGTTGCAGTGAACATATCAAGTGTACTAACACCAGGGGCCCGTGTGCCTTGCAGGCTCTTCTCGTCTGTGTAATAAGCCCATTCTGTTCCCTCTTTAGCCTCCTTGCCACACTCCTTAGTTCTCAGAGACAGTCTAGAAATTACATTAAAAACTAGACTTTACTTTTTGGTCCCACTCTGTAGCCCCGGCTGATGTGTAACTCAGAGATCAGCCTGCCTTTGCTTCCTGAGTGCTAGGACTGAAGGTGTGAACCACCACACCTGGGAATTGTATATTAAAGACCTCAACTAAATGCACGGCCCTAAAGGGTCACACCAGTACAAATTTAAAGATTTTCTTAGGCACAAAGATATCCTCTAACCCCCAATAAACTAGCGGTTAACCCAATTAATAATTACCATATGTACTGAGTCAACAAATTTTTTGATGGTTCAGTGATATAAAGTGGGTAATCCTAATCAAAGTAGGGCGAATGTGAAAAAGCAAAATTCATTCTTAGTTGCCAGGCGGCGGTGGTGCACTCCTTTATTCCCAGCACTCAGGAGGCAGAGCCAGGAAGATCTCTGTGAGTTCGAGGCCAGCCTGGTCTACAGTTCAAGATCCAGGACAGGCACCAAGAAACCCTGTCTTGAAAAACAAACAAACAAACAAACAAACAAAATTTGTTCTTAGCATAAATAAAAATGTTCTGGTCTCTCTTAATGTTTCTCTAAAATGTATTTTCCACTTAGAGTAGAAATGTAGCCATCTCAAAGCACAAATGAACAGATAAGAATAAGCTAATATTTCAAAGGTCAGCAATTACAATGATTAACACGTAAAAGGGGCTTCAAACTCTAGAATCTCAAACCTAATCATTCTAAGTGTGTGTCATTCTCCTCTTGTATGAGCTTCTTTTACATTTTCTTTCTCTCTCTTCTCTTTTTTTTTAAGTTTTTGAGATTTTTGAGACAGGGTCTTCTCTATGTAGCTCTGGCTGTCCGGAACTCATGTAGATCAGGCTTATCTCAAACTCACAGAGACCTGCCTGCCTTTGTCACCCTAGTTTGGTATTAAAGGTGTGTGCCACCGTGCCCAGTCCCTTAATAAATATTCATTTATTTACTTTGTGTGTATGTCTGAGTGCACTCGGGCCACAGTGTGCATGTGGAAGTCAGAGGAGAATTTGCAAGAATGAGTTCTCTCCTTCCAGCATGTGGGTCCTGGGGAATCAAACTCAGGTCATCATGCTTAGCAACAAGCACCTAGTCACCGAGTCTTCTCACCAGCCCTGTGAGAAGCCCTCCTTTATCACTTGATTCTCCTTCTTCATTTTCTTTACCTTTCTAACTCAACTTCTGGCTCAGTGGTAAGTGTACTGGCTGCTTTTCCAGGGGACACAGGTTCAATTCCCAGTACCCACATAACAGCTCACAACTGTCTGTAACTCCAGTTCCAGAGATCCAATACCCTCACACAGACAAATGTCCAGGCAAAATACCAACACACATAAAATAAATAAAATAGTTAAAAAAAAAAAAAAAAAACAGATGGCAGTGGTGCATGCATTTAGTCCCAGCATTCAGGAGACAGGCAGGCAGATCTCTCTGAGTTAGAGGCCAGCCTGGTCTACTGAGTGAGTTCCAGGAGCCAGAGCTACACAGAGAAACACTGTCTCAAAAAACCAAAAACCAAAAGCAAAAAAAAAACAAAAAACAAAAAAAAAACCCACAAAAGAGTTATACTCCACATTCATCTTAATTAGTAATATACTAAAACTTTAAAAAAAAATCACAATAATTTTAATCATAAAAGGAGTATGAATTTACTTTTTGGTGGAGACTTACCTCTCCTCTTAACAAGTCAGTAACCATTTAGGGATTTCCTATACCTACCTTCATATTCAAATAAGGCAAAATTACCATAACTACAATTTTTCTTCACTAAGACATCAGCCAGGTAAATAACGCACCTTGTTGGAAGTGTTCGAGAACCATCTGCAGGTTGGCTAGTGACAGAGCATACTGCTTTACTTGTTCCTGAGAGACAGAAAGTTGCAGGGCAGTCTCATCCCTCTGCTTGGAGATCACATTCAATTGTTCTTGCAAAGATTCTACTTGCACACTGGCTTGATGACTTCAAATAAAAGAATAAAGGCAAACTGCTTCATCTGCTTAAGTAATTTAACAAAAAATGCTTTCCCTACATTTTAATACATTAAATTCCAGTTATATTGCAAGGTATTTAGTGACTATGTAGCAAGACACACACAAAAGGCTTCTCTGCATTTTTTACTGGTAAAATCAAACATTCACCAAGTATTCACTATCAAGTGCATAGTGTGGAGTCATTAAGTCCATTCACATTGCTGAATAAGCACTGTCACCATCCACCACCCATCATCTGTCAGTCCATCCATCTCCAGAGCTCTGTCTAGTTTTACAAACTGAGATTCCGTACTTCTCTGATTTGACTTTCCCTACATGTGGAGTGTTAAATTCTAGTTAAGTCACAAACAAAAAGCCCTCAAGAGTTCTTTGAGCTGTTTCTATTATCTGTTTCATCCTGTGAAAGTGATTCTCAACAAATGATGGCCCTTTTAAAGATTAAGAATTAGGCTAAGGGGCTAGAGAACTGGCTCAGAGGTTAAGAGCACTGACTGTTCTTCCAGAGGTCCTGAGTTCAATTCCCAGCAACCACATGGTGGTTCACAACCATCTATAATGAGATCTGATGCCCTCTTCCAGTCTGCAGGGATACATGCAAGCAGACACTGTATGCATAATAAATAAATCTTTAAAAAAAATTAGGCTAAATAAGAAACTATGCCTGCCCCTCAAAAAAGGTTTACAAGTAGCATGCAACTTTCAAGTTTTCATACTTAAATTCCATAGCATAATTTATCATAAATTCAAATCTGCAGGGACTTTCAAGGTCATTTTGTCAGCTTCAGCCCTAATAAGGAATGGACTCTGATGACTCCTTTCTGCATCTCACACATGGAATCATGGTGAACCCATAACTTTCCAATGGCCATCCCACTGACAAGGCGTTCTGATTGCTTATCTTCTATTAACTTTCTGTCTATGTTACAAACACATACAGAAGCCTTATCATTTCTCCAACTATGAACCCAGAGATCCCTAAGAGACTTATACAGCAACTGTATTTGTTGCTTTTCCCATTACTGTGACCAAGTACATGACAAGAAGCAACTTAAGAGAGATTATTGGCTCAGTCTGCGGGCAGATACAGTCCATCACAGCAGAGAAGTCACAGTGGCAAGTTTGTGTAAGCTGCTGGTCATACTGCATCCACAGTCAAAAAGCAGACAGCAGGGCATGATTGTGTTTAGCTTGCTTTCTCCTTTCTATCCCATCCAGGCCCTTGGATCATAGGAAGATGCTGTCCACAGTTGAGCTGGGTCTTCCCAGGTCTTCCCAGCTATAGATCCTGCCACAATGGCAATACTAACATCATAGCACCTATCCTGACTAACATCTTTTATTTATTTATTTATAAGTACATATATTTTTTGAGACATGGTCTCACCATGTAGCCCTTGGCTGGTCTGTAACTCACTAAGTAGACCAGGCTGGCCTCAAACTCTTAAAGATCCACCTGCCTCCAAAGTACTCAAAGGCATTAAAGGGACTAAAGGCATGCATTACCACACTTGGTCTGGCTTATATATTATCTCTGGAGGATATCTTTGATGACTGATGATTATTTTTAGAATACCACAGTGTCTTCATTAGTATTTCATATTCGGTTAAACCCTTACTCAAGATTAACTAAAAGCCAATTAAAAGCAACTCACTTGGAAGACATTTTACCCAACAGCACCCTCTTGTGGAAACATAGGTAAACTAAGAGCTAAACTGTCCCCAAATGTCCCCAGGCTTTTATTCATTGAACTTGACTGGTTAGCAAATAAATCAAAGGATGATTGTAAAGACAAATGAGCTTTTCAAATACTCAGAAAGCTAACAGACAACAGGTGTTACTTTGGTAAGGATCAAAATACCACAATGTGGCCTACAGATTGGATTTACTCACATGACAAATATTTACTGTCTATTAGTCTACGTTTAATATATGTTGTGGGAAGATAGATGAACAGCATCATTTTTAGCCACAGGGGAACTCACACTTTCTTTGATAGAGAGAGGTGAAGACATGCAATAATTAACTATACACTAAATGTAAACATAAGAGCCATCAAAGATTCAAAACTCCATACCGGTTCTGAAAAAGACATTACCTCAGGGTTTGGGTTTAGAAATGAGGGATGGGGCACTAGATAATAACCCTTTGTGAAGAAAACAGAATTTGAAAAATAGATGAGAGTCACAGAAAAACTCTTGACAGAGTCAGGTCCATTCTTTAGTGAACATGAAAAAAAAAAAAGTAGGGGGGAAAAGAAATAGGAAAGCAGTATTGGGGAGCTGAGTGATACAGATTGGTGATACAGATAAGGCCAGAGTTCTACTTTGAGGATGCTTAAGCTTGGAAGTTACAGCAAAGGGTAAATAAAATGGATAGAGACTGAAAGTATTAGAGAAAATGAGGGCCTCTAAAGAAGGGTTTTAGCATGTACTGTTATAGCCTGAGGGTGTCTGGGCATTTCTGCCAATGTAATAACACACATGTGTAAATGACCACTCATCATTTTAATTTCCACATGAAACAAGTTTTTCCATCTAAATCAGAAAGCACAATAACATGTCATGTAAGTAGGGAAGGACTCACTTTCAGTGCTGTCTCTATTTACAACCTCTTTGAAGACAGAACTATCTACTGTCTCCTCATATCACCCCCAGCACCGTACACAGTAAAGAGAGAAAAATGTAATATAGCATTTAAAAATATAAATAGACATAATTTTCCTAAAAGTTCATCAACAGTACAATCTCAAAAGTTTTTAAATGCCCCTTTGACCTAGAAGTTCCAATTCTCAATATATACACTTAGGAAATATTCTGACATCAACACAGAAGTACATTTTCAGTTTTCATGGCAATATTCTTAGTTATACTTAAAAGTTAAAACACTCTAGGGCTAGAGAAATGGCTCAGTGATTATGAATGCTTCCAGCTCTCCCAGAGGACCCAAGTTTGATTCCTAGTGGCCCTATCAGATAGCTCAAATTAACTCAAGTTCCAGTGGGAACCAATGCCCTCTTGGGGCATCTGCAGGTACTTACATGCACATGGCACACATAAATTAAAAAAAACAAAAACAAAAACAAAAAATCCCAAACCTCTAAGTGCCCAGTAAGTATATTACTGGTGTACTATGTAGTCATAAAATGTTGCTGTAGAAATATATGGCTTACCATATAATAACATATTACCAAGTGCTAAAAAAAGGTCGTAAAACAGTAGCAATAATATGATGTCATTTTTGCTCTTAAAAGACAGAATATATATGTACAAATATAAAGGCATAAAATGGTGCAAAGGATGATTTTGGGTAAATAGAGCTTTGCTTTATGTCTTTTTAGCTTGTATGATTTTTCTAAAATGTAATATTCTTATAGGGTGCATTTATGTACACCAGTAATCCTAGCACTTGAGAAAAACACAGGCAGGAGGATTTCAAAACTGAGGTCAGCGTGATTTAGTGAGACCCTGTCTCAAAACAAAACCAAGTACTAAGAATAAAACCTTTCTACTGAGAAAAATGAAAATTTGAAATATTTAAGAAGGAACCTAGTCACTGAAAACTTTTAAAAAGGCACGGGTTGGTTCCACAAGCTGATCCATTCTCCAACCTGCCCCTTCCTGTATACTTTCATTTCTAACATCCACCTGCTGTCAACCTTCAATCATCTGCTGAAGTCATACCACATGAATTAAATTAGCTCTTCGGGAACTAGACAGAGCTAATACAACCTGCCAGATTCTCAAGACTAGTCCCCTAAAATGACAAGTGACATTAAGTGTGGGGGGCAGGGCGACCGAGCAGCAGAAAGTTTGAGTGCTAGATCCTCAAGAGACCCACACCATGAGCTTGTCTTGATCAAGTTTTCACCCCACTTTACCATAAGATATTTCAACTGTAAAATGGAGACAATGACTTAATGAATATAAGCGAAACATTTACTGAGCATGATGCTCAACAAGTGACCAGTTAAAGTTCATGCAAAAAGAAAAAAGAAAAACTTACCTTGCATTTTCCATGGCATTAGAGGATGAAACTAGCTTTTCTTCCAACACTGTGACTTTCTTCCTCAGTTTGGCCTCTCTATCTTCTGCAGCCAAAGCTTCCCGGGTGTGAGAATCTTCTGACTCTAAAAGGTGGTCGCGCAGTCTCTGTAGCTCCTGGTTTAACCGGGACTCTTTGTCACGTAAGTGTTGAACCTAGGGAGAGGACCTTCTTTACTTTTCTTTTATGCAATGCTCATTCCTACAGAACACTTATGTCATCATATTATTCCATATCATGGAAATGTACTAATATGTTAATATAAATTATACATAACTACCAATGTTGTTATAATTGTTAATTATAGCATTTAAATAATTATTTTTATTACTTATACATAAGGCTGTGACATCTAAAGAAATAACATAAATATAACATGTTTTACTTAGTTATAACAAGTAAATTAATTATGTATTACATATAACAATATATTAAGATACTAATGCCTCACACTGCAAAGTGTGTTTATACCAGGAAAACTTTTCCCAAAATTATGTTTAAAAAGATTCAAATGGAAGCTTTACATTTGCAAGGTCTCATTTGCATGGTTATAACAGAAATGGAATCATACAGAAGTACTGGACTTTTATGGCAGAGTACCTTTTTAGTAAATGTCATTTTTTTCATACTTTATGAGGTAATTTTCTTCACTTTCTTTTTTTTTTTTTTTTTGGGTTTTTTGTTTGTTTGTTTTTGGAGACAGGGTTTCTCTGTGCAACAGTCCTGGCTGTCCTGGAACTCACTTTGTAGACCAGGCTGGCCTTGAACTCACTGAAATCTGCCTGCCTCTGTCTCCCAAGTGCTGGGATTAAAGGCAAGTGTCACCACCGCCTGGCAATTTTCTTATACATAAGGTACATATCACAGTTAACATTTCGAAAAACCAAATTATAATATACCCTACCACAGTACATAAAAGGAAGAGAAAAACCACAAGATAATTTCATTTGCCTTAGTTAATGGTTAAAAAACATACAGCCTGCATCACAGTCCATTACAATAAACGTATACCTCATTCTGTAGTGTAGTGTTTTCCATTTGCTTCTGTTTCAGGGCCAGCATAACTTGGTCTCTCTCCTGTTGAAATGTAACTGTCTTCTCCTGCATTGATTTAACTGCATTTAAAAGTTGATTTAACTCCCCAGCCTTGCCCTTTTGGAAAGAAATAACTTTAGCTTGAAAAAATAATATATTTTCAAAATGACATTTTCTTCATTAAATATTTTAAAAATACAGTTAATAACAACAATGTCAACAAAATCCAACAACATTTAAAATCCAAAGAAGAGACAATCTGAAGGAGTTTAAGATGTGACATCTAGGATAGCTCAGCAGTTTAGGGCACTGGCTGCTCTTCCAGAGGTCCTGAGTTCAATTCCCAGCAACCACATGGTGGTTTACAACCATACATAATGAGATCTGGTGCCCTCTTCTGGCCTACAGGCAGACATGCAGGCAGAACACTGTATACATAATATATAAATAAGGTTGGGACATCTAAATATAATGTGGTGTCCCACATAGCCCCTGCAGCAGCAGCAGGACATGTGGTGAGACGGAAGGATTCCAATAAGCATGAACCTGCACTGCTGCAATGCTAGTTCTTTAGCTGTAACAACCACTGAAATATGCAAGATAGTAACAACAAGAGAAACTGAGTGCAAGGTAGATGAAAATTCTCTTCACAATCTCTACAACTTGTCTATAATCCCAAAGCTGTGCTAAAGGAAATGTTCATTAGAAATGTCTTAAAGGAAGCCGAGCGGTGGTGGCGCACACCTTTAATACCAGCACTCAGGAGGCAGAGCCAGGCGGATCTCTGTGAGTTCAAGGCCAGCCTGGTCTACAGAGTGAGATCTAGAACAGGCACCAAAACTACACAGAGAAACCCTGTCTTGAAAAAAACCATAAAGAAAAAACGAAATATCTTTAAGGGAGCCAGTATGGTGGTTCATGCCTTTAATTCCATCAGAAGCCAGTGGATCTCTTTGAGTTCAAGACCATCCTGATCTACATAGTAAGTTCAGAATTACATAACAAGACTCTATCTCAAGAATCCCCCCCCCCAACACACACATGTTTTCAAGGGGTCTGGGAATCTAGCTTAGTAGTAGAACACCTGCCCAACATATATGAGGAGGCCATAGGTTCAATCACTAGTACTTAAAAAACAGAATACAGAAAAATGAAAGAAACATTTTAAGATAGTAGGACACAGGTGATATGAAGGGGAAAATGGAAAAATTCAGGGGAGACTTAACTTGGCAGGATAACAGAGAAGGGGGAAGAAGGAAGGATAAGTAATACTAAATGCATTTGAAAAAGCCATAGGAAAATATTATTTTATCTTTACTTTAAAAATGCATATATGAATGTATGTGTATATGCATACATATAGTTTGTATGAAGTCATACCACTTGGAATGACAACGTCCTCTGCAAGAGCCACAGCCTACCCTACAAAAAATCCCAGAGCTAGGCGTTGGACAGCTCCCTTTGAATTGTTGGTCAAGAGGGTCTAGGAGACCCCCCAAACAATACTGACACTGCCCTTGGTTACCTCCCAGAACTTGAAGGTAAACCCTATTGCTGAAGATACTACACACTTTGGACACAAGACTTGGAGGAACTGAACTGGAACTGACCTAGAAGCCTCCTCCTTGAGCACCAGGCTCTCACCAGTATCTAAAGGTGAATGCAAGAAGCATAAGGAGAAAAGCAACTAATATTTCTACCCATCTGCAAAGCCTATGGACAACAGGGACCAGCCTGCTAAGATATCACCAATGGTGCTGTCTGACAGGTCTTACAGCCTGCTATGTAAGGTGGGATTCATTCCTGCCAACTACCTGTGGCCAGTGGGGTCACAGACCCTAGAAGAGGACCTACTACTCCCACTTTACTAAACCAGTGTAATTTCTAACTCCATTCTAAAAACATATGCTTAGACCCACAGATATTCGTCAATTTCACCCCACAAAGAAGCTTATTTATTTATTTATTTATTTATTTGGTTTTTTGAGACAGGGTTTCTCTGTGTAGCTTTGCACCTTTTCCTGGATCTTGCTCTGTAGACCAGGCTGGCCTCGAACTCACAGAGATCCGCCTGCCTCTGCCTCCCAAGTGCTGGGATTAAAGGCGTGCGCCACCACCGCCCGGCTAAGAAGCTTATTTTTGCAATGGACAGAGACAGTTACATAAATTTACAACTGGTCAAAATAAAGAGACCAACTGAATGTGAGGTGCCCATCCTGTTAGTTCATCTCCAACAGAGCCTCCACAGCTAAGGTTCAGGGAACAACTCGGAAGAGGGGGGCATATAAGCTCTGTGAGGTGGCACACCATCAGGTTGGTGATCAAAAAGTCTTGGATTTTGGATTTTGGACCATTTCTGATTCTATATTATAGCTGTTCAACCTGTATAGGTTAAACAAAGGTACCCTTAAATTACATAAGGAAAATCATTAGAAAAATATTTAGCTTATACTAAATACATTCAAATAATAGAATACTTAAGGTATGTGGTGGTTTGAAAGAAAATGGGCCCCAAAGGGAGTGTAACTATTAGGAGGTGTGGCCTTGCTGGAGTAGGTGTGGTCTTGTTAGAGGAAGTATGTCACTGTGGAGGCAGGCCTTGAGGTCTCATATATGCTCAAGCCATATCCAGTATGTCAGTTTCACTTCTTGTTGCCTTTGGATCAAGATGTAGAATTGTCCAGCACCATGTCTGCCTGCACACCACCATACTCCCAGCTGCCATGGTCCCTGCCATGATGATAATGGACTAAACTGTAACTGAAACTGTAAGCCACCACCTCAAATGTTTTCCTTTAGAAGAGTCACCATGGTCATGGTATCTCTTCACAACAACAGAAACTCTCACTTAGACAAGGTAGATCTTCAATAAAATCTGCATAATTTAGATCTATAGATGTCAATATAATAGAAGGAAATGGCACCAATGCCAAAACTGCATAAAAAGGTACATTCAGTATAACAAGATACTTCACTGTCCACCTCCCAGTTATGCTCTTGGAACCATAAAATACTACACCCGTTGTCAGTCAGAGAACAGTGGGAAGGTTCATGCTCCAAGATCTTTTAAACCAATTAGACTGGTACAGGCCAATACCATTCAAGCTGAGATCTCTGAAAGACCTAGGCTAGCTTCATAAAGTAGTCAAGGCTGACTCCTGATCCTCCTGCCTCCATCTCTCAAGTGCTAGGATTACATGGACTGCAATGCCTGGCCAAACAGTATACCTTTTAAATCAGATAATCCAGGACTCTTACAGGAGAACTTAACATTTTTAATCCTGTGTCTAGCAGCAGATACATGCTCAAGAAGCAGATGCTGGACTGGGATATAACTCAGTGGCACAGTGCCTCCCTAGTAAGCATGAGACCCTAGGTTCAATCCCCAGCACTGCCAAAAGAAGAAAAAAATAAACTGTTGTTGAATATTGTATTGTTCTGTCTATCATGCCCTTTCCAAATTTCTACTACCAAAGTGAAGAATTCATACTACAAGAGTAATGCCAAAGACACAGTACAGTACTTACCAGACTATCTTCATTAGTTCTTGCCACACCCAACATGTAAAATAGCCATAAAACAAGTTCACTAAAGGAGCTTAGAGTGAGCATGTATGCCACTGCACACATCAAAAGTTACTGGCACTTTACACTGAACTGCTATGGCCATCCATTTTAAGAGTGAATAAACAGCTGGGCGGTGGTGGCGCACACCTTTAATCCCAGCACTCGGGAGGCAGAGGCAGGTGGATCTTTGTGAGTTCGAGGCCAGCCTGGTCTACAGAGCGAGATCCAGGAAAAGGCGCAAAGCTACACAGAGAAACCCTGTCTCAAAAAAAAACCAAAAAAAAAAAAAAGAGTGAATAAACAAACCAGTCTGATCAAAACATACCCCAGGTTCTAGAAGTGACAGAGCCAGGACTAGGGTATCGGCAGAGCCCATTCTGTCTAAGGAAATACTCCAAACATGTTTCAAACTGTGGACTGATCCATCAGAGCCAATTCAAGGCCAGCAATGTGGCTCAGTGGGGAAAGGTGGCTAAGCCTAATGACTCGAATTTGATCCGAGAGTGGAGAAAGAAGCAACCCTCTAAAGATATTCTCTGACTTTCACACATCCACTGTGCCAGGAGCACACACACGCAACACATGCAACAAATAAATAAATAGTATATAAAGTCAATTGAATGGCTCATCCAGCATATTTTTTTCTAATAGTTTATCACATGTTACATGGATAATTTGGGGTTTCTGAAACTTTTCAGTTTCTCTCATACACTCATACATACACAAATATATACATACTAGAAGTACCCTTACTACAGCTCACGGTCAAATACATCTCTTAGTGCTTCCCTTTCATCCAGAAATTTCTAAAATGTTGGCCATTTCTAGAAGCTACTGAAATATGCCTAAAATGTGATTCAAGTGACTTCAAAACTTCCCTCTGGTCAGCTGAGGAAATAGCTTCTAAGTAGAATGCTTGCCAGGCCAGGTGGTAGTGGCACACATCTTTAATCCGAGCATTCGGCAGGCAGAGGCAGGCAGATCTCTGTGAGTTCAAGGACAGCAAAAAAAGTAGAATGCACCTATAGCAGAGGTCCTGGGTTTGCTCTCTACCATCCCTTAAGAACTGCTCTGACGACTCACTTCTACTACAAAGGAAAATGGTACTTGCTACTGAATCTTGGTTTTATACTTAGGAGGTTATGAAGAATTAATCTACTACTAAAAATATTTGAAAATATCTAGTAATTTGGGGGTGAAGAAACTGTACACGAACCAAAGCACCAAATAAATATTCCTACATGAGCAAGTTTCATCTTCCTCAGAAACACCATCTATAAAGTAATGAACACATTAAAAGGGCTCCTCTGCCCTCAATGTTTTCCTGCATACCCCACCAAGAACATACCTGTTCTTTCTCTTTCAATAACTGTTCAAAAGCAAGCGCCTTCTCTCTCATCGAATGGCATTCAAACTCTTTTTCTCGTAACATCATGGAAAACTTCATGTTCGTCTCTTGTAACGCCTGGTATTCTGTTTCCTTCCCCCTGGAAGTTTCTACTATTTTTTCATTTTCCCCTTTTAATTTAGAAATGTCCATTTCTAAAATCAATATTCTCTCCTTCAAGTTTGTCACTGCCTGCCTCAAAAGCTCATTTTCATTCACTTTGTTAGTGAAATTTTCATTTGAAGAATGTAATTGGTCACTTTTGGCTTTGATTAAGAGGTCTTTCTCCTTAAGTAAGTTTTGTAAAACCTCTTGTTTCTCCTTCAGCTGCTTGACTTCCGAATCCGTTTGTTCGTGTTCTCTTCTTCCCACCTCTGAGGAAGCAGCCACGGACTCTGACAGTCTGTGGTTGTTTTCCTGAAGCGTTCTAATTGTGGCATCTTTTTCCTGGAGTGACCGTCTCAGATCATCCACTTCTTGTTGAAGCAGCTGAGGAGACTCATGTGGCCCAGCAGACTGGCATGCCTTAAGAGGCTCTGCTGACTGAGCAGGAAGCGATGAGCCAGGAGAGAGCTGGGGTGACATGATATCAAGTTTTCCTAAAAGAAGGTCCTTGGTATTACAAAGCTGCCCTATGCTATGCTGAACTTGTGCCAATTCCTGCCCAAAATTCTTAAGTTTAGTTTCATTCCGCTCATAACTTTGGATCAGGCCAGTGTAGTCCACTTGAAGTTTAGAATTGTTATCACTGTCGACCAAAACTTGTGCCTGAAGCTGATGAAGTTCTTCCTGAAGCTGGGCTGACTCATGCTGCATGTTTTGGACGGTGGTCATCACCTGCTGTTTCCACTCCTCCATTTTCTTCACCTGCTGTTTTAGCTTATCACGTTCTTGTAAGAGCTCCTCAAACTGGTTACTATTAACTCCTCCAACCTCGCTACCCGTGCCAGAAGTCTGCAAAACTGTCAGGAGAGTCTGGCACTTCTGACTCAGTGCATCTATTTCAATGTCTTTTTCTCGAATGATCCGTGATAAATTCTGAATTGTTTCTTTAAACATATCTTGACCACTACTTTCAAATCTAGTGGACATTTTTTTATTCTCATCTTGCAGTTTAATAAGGGCTGCTTCTTTGGCACTAATAATATCTATCATCTTGTGATATTCTGTTTTTAGCTGGCTATTTTCCCTTGTCTTCTCATTTAAGACAACCATTACTTTCTCTCTTTCCATAGCATAGGCATGCAGCTGCTGCTGAAGGTAAACAACATCCTGAGAACAGGAAGCCGAGGAAATCCTGGCGTGAAGAGCTTGTATCTCCAAGTCTTTCTGCTGGATAATCTGAGTGAGCTTGCCGACCTCATCTTTGGACAGCTGGTCAATCTGTTTAGTTAAAGAGATATTCTTTTCATTCAGAAGCTTAATCTCCAGCTCCCGTTCTTTTATCCCCTTCACTAACCTTTCTGTTTCAGCTTTGGATAAATCATGCTTTTCACTTTCATTTTCTATAGTAAGGCTCTGAACTTTGGTTTCTTGAAAAATATCAGAATTCTCTGTTGGAATGTCCCGTCTTTCTTCATGTAACTGGGCTTTTATTTGTTCAATTGTTTTCTGCAAGTTCTTAATTTCCTCATCTTTTTCTAAAAAGAGCTGGGTGTGTGTGATATTCATTTGTTCGTGCTGGTATCTAAACTCATCCATTTCTTTCTTCTGCTCCTGTAGAGATTGGAGTAGTTGCAACTTATTCTGGTTTTGATCTTCAATCATCTTCTGGTGATGTTTAATTTCTTCTTCCAGGTGATCCTTGATTATGTGCAGCCTAGACAGCTCAGATTCTAACTCTGTGGTGCTGTCAAGAGCTCTAGGCTCAGGCATGGGCACAGCCCGACTCTGCTGCTCCCTGATCCGCTCCAGCTCTTCTTGCAAGTGATTGTTCTCTTCTTTCATGGCTCCAAGACTTCTATCCTTTTCCTCTATGGTCTGCCTTAGAGTCTCATTTTTTCTTAAGGTCTGAGCACATTTGTCCAATTCCCCCTGCAGTTCTGAACTTTTTTCTTTAAGTTTCACAATACAAATTTCCTTTTCATTTATAAGTTGTGTCAATTGTTTCTGCTCTTCTAAACTAGACAACAAAGATTCCTTCATCTGTTGATGATCAGTATTCATCTGCTCAATACTCTTTTTGAGCTCTGCTATCTCAGAGTCTTTTTCCTGACTGAGCTGAACTAAGCGCTCATGTTCCAGCTGCAAGGCAGAGGTCGTCAGGCTGCGTGCGCTGGACAGTTCCTCAATGGTTTGCTTGTATTTCTTTGCTTCTTCCAACAGCCTCTTCTCAGCTCCACACAGTTCTGCTTCTAGTTGTGCTTTCTCACATTTCAGAGTCTCCAGCATGGCAGTTCTTTCCAGAGAAACCTGGTTGTTGCCAGCAATAGATTCTTCCAACTGATTTCTTACATCCTCACATGCTACAACCAACTTTTCATTTTCGGTCCTGAGATCAAAAGCGACTTGCTTTAAATGTTCATTGAGCTGTTCTACTTCTGAAAGATTCTGCTTTAAGGTTCTAACTTCAGTCTCCCTTTCTTTAAGGAAGTCATCCTTCAAATTACTATTAGAGTCCTGGCTTTGGGACGGAGTCAACTCACTCCTGACTGTGGACAGCTCCTCCTCATTCTGTCTGATGTGTTCCCTCAGTTCACAGTTCTCCTTCTGAATGTTGAAATTATTTTTCTCTGATTTACTTAGCTGATCTACTAAGTCTTCTACTTTATCTTCAAGCTTCTGCTTGGTTAACTGTAAATCACTTAGGGCCCGTTCACTGTGAGTTAGCTTTTCTTTCTGCATGTCTAACTCTTTGATAATGTTCATTTTATCATCCTCCAGTTGATGGATTCTCTGTTTTCCATCATCTAGATCTTCTTTTAGTTTCTTGATGACACTATCTCCTTCACTTTGTTGTTTTGATAGTTGATCTTTTATTAAAATCACATGCTGAAAGAAAAATTAATTTGCACAGTAACTTTGTGACATTTTCTCATGTTAGTATCTAAAGAAAATTTTATAAAATTTCATGTATCATATAATAATAATCTGAATATTTCTAATCCCTCTTAAAAAATAACTTTCTAGGCTAGGCAGTGGTGGCACACACCTTTAATCCCAGCACTCAAGAGGCAGAGCCAGGCGGATCTTGGTGAGTTCGAGGCCAGCCTGGTCTACAGAGCGAGATCCAGGAAAGGCGCAAAGCTACACAGAGAAGCCCTGTCTTGAAAAACCAAAAAAAAAACCAAAAAAAAAACAATAAAAAAAAAAACCTTTCTATCCCATTATGTCTCACAAAATAATTTACAAAAAGTTTATCATTTTAGGAGTAAGAATCTAAAATCAAAAAGGCTAATCACACATGTTGTTTCTAACCTTTAAACACCAGAGCAGGCTTCAACAAATGGTAGCCCACAAACTGTTACCTGTCTCTGTATACAGTTTACCAAAGCAAAGCCATTGCTTGCTTACATATCCTAACTCAGCGAGTTGAATAGCTGCAACTGAGATATGTTCTGCATATTTAAATTTGATTAGATCATAAGCGAACGGAAATATTAAACCACAAAATTATATCCCTGTCTATGTTAGTTCAACTGGCTGGAGTGAGCATGTGCCTCTTGCCTCATCACATTTAATGCAGTGTTACCTTAGTAGCCTCTTGGTTCTGCCTGTCCAGTTCTTCTAACTCAGCCGTGAGTACTTCATTCTCATGAATACTCTGATTCAGTTCTTGTTCCTTCACCTCCAAATTAAGTTTCAAGTCTCGTACTTGAGAAAACAAATCTATGTCCCTTGTAGCTGTATTTTTAATGACTTCATATTCATTGCTCAGTTTGGAAAGTGACATCTGAAGTTCTTCCTTAAATGACAAGGGGACAGGGAAAGCAGCACATGCCATCATTCAAGAAGAGACATCAAACAGACATAAATAAACATAACTGGGGGATCTATCTTAAATTCTTTGTATTGGAAACATTACTGAACAAACCACAGCCTTCAGTCATGTACAGTTTTACTTACAGCTCCAAGGGGAACATTTCTACAACTCTGCATTTACTTTCTAGCCCTACATTTTTTGCAGAGGACCATTCCCAGGGCAGAGCCTTTTCTATTCTATTCCCATGGCTACCACCCTTACCCTTATACCCACCAAACATACTCTTAAGAAAAGCCCCCAACCTCCCAGTTCACTTCCACTCCCTAACACCCAGCCAGATTAAATAAAAATGAAAAAAAAAAAAAGTACCCATTCAGACTATTAGTTTTAATTAGAAAATAAAGGGCCCATTTTTCTCATTAAAGGGACCTATTATTTGATTCTATTGGAATACAAAACCTTCTCTTAACTAAAGAATGAATCTATCTGTTTCCTTTACCTTCTGAGCAAATAGACCAGGCTCCCCTCTCACAAACCCAACATTACTAAACACAGACCTACACATGTATTTAATAGTCAATTATGGAATAATATTTTCTTGAAAACCTAACAGGTTAGACAGTTCTCTATGATTCAACATCATTTTCTCATGTTATGTCTGTTATAAGTTATATAAAGCCTTCTTCCCCCAGTGCTTTTTTAAAACTGAATTTCTCTGGGATCTACTTTGAAATACATATCTCAATTTCCTTTAGAGAACCTAATAGTCCCATATAAAAGCGTCCTATAAAACTGTATGAGAGTACGAGAGTATCTCCACCATCTCTCTTTCTCATTTCCTTCCGATCCAAACAGTTATTCTGAATTGTCCTTGAAAGATGGAGGCAGGTGTGGGGGTTCATGCCTGCACTTGTGGGGCTGAAGCAGGACAGCTGCTATAAATTTGAGGCCAGCTCGAGGCTATATAGTGAACGACAGGCCAGGTCAGTGTAGAATACAGTGAGACCCTATCTCAAACAACAAGAAAAGGAGGGTGAAGTGCTGGACAGACAGCTCAGCAGTTAAGAGCCCTTGCTCTTACAGAGGACTCCTGTTTGGTTCCCAATACCCACATGCGGCTCACAACAGCCTGTACCTGTAGTTCCAAGGAATCTGATAATCTCTTTTGGCCTCCACACACACCAGGCATGCATGTGATCCATACACTTCATGAAGCCAAAACACTCGTACACATAAAGTAAAAATAAGTAAATTATAAAAAGGAAGAAAGGAGAGAAAGAAAAGGAAGAAAATGATATTTCCTTAAATCTTTCTAAAGTTATCTGTCCATTTAGGAGAACAGCACATAACTTTTCACGCTGATCTGAAAAGCACATCTGGCATTATTAAGTGGGAAACAAACAGAATTCAGTGAAGAGTTACAGTGAATACTAACCATCAGAAGCAAGGAGAAACAGTTACCAGAAAACTGAAACTGTAAAAGAAGCTGGGAGGCCCTACAGGACTTGTGGAGAGGCCTCCACCTGCAAAGTGTAGTTAGACCAGTTAGGTAAAGAGGAGGGCTCAGTGGGAGCAGAACCAGAGCAGCACACACACAGCAATAAACAGTGATGGTGACTCACTGCCAGCACTCTGGGAAGGATGGCAGCAAAGATCTCAATGTCCAGGGCTGTACACAAACAACTTAGAACTGAAAACCCATCATGGCTCTCTGAGAACACCGCCTATATACTGATGCAGAAAGAAGCTGAAACTAAAATGTTAGGGGACATAAGAACAACATATACAGTATGTTGACTCTGGCATTTCTTAAGGATATATGCCGAACCAGACATGTACTGATATACCCAGAAAAAGTAGTATTCTAGGAATTTGTAACACAGACTGTATTTGGGCAAGAGGCCAAGTAACAAAGGCATGAAGTTTTCCAGAATGTATTACTGAATACTTTCATCCATAAATGCATAGTACTTTAAAGAATTCACAATTGAAACTGAGTTCAAGTGCTGGCCTGTAACTTTAACCTAATTCTTAGCTGCCTCTAGTGAAGTATCTGTCCTTGATAAGAAATTAATTCCTGGGGCTGGAAAGATGGTTCAGTGGTGAAAGGCACTGACTGCTTTCCCAAAGGACCTGGGTTCAAATCCCAGCACCCACATGGCAGCTAACTGTCTGTAACTCCAAGATCTGACATTCTCACACAGACTTATCGGCAGACAAAATACCAATGCACATAAATAAAAGTAAATAAATTTTAAAAAAAGGAAAAAAGGGTTTTTTTAATTAATTCCCAGAGACACAAACATAATGCTCCTCCCTATATCAAACAGTGTATCATAGCACTCTATTCCATCTTTGCTACTAACACATTAAAAAAAAAAAAGATTCCACTGCTAATAGTAAAACTATCCCTATTCACTGTTCAACAGTAAGAAAGTCCTACCTACCACAATGGACATCCTGGGCCACATCAGCCAGACATCTCCTGTGCTTATAGGTGCTGCTGTCAGGGCCCCATCAGAAATTGCATCTCCTCTGCTCAGATCTGTATGCCTACTGGTTTATGCTTGCACATACACTCTGGCCAACCTCTCACACTCTGAACCTTGCCCAGCTACTCCAACCTGGCTTGGCAATGAGCTCAGACTTATTCTGAGGACTCTAGCACTTAAGCATTCCACTGATATGAACTGATCCTTAGCCGTGACCTATGACACACACCATTTTAATTCTACCCCATTTTAACAGCACCTACCTTTTCTTGACTCAATAATGACTTCTCTTTTTCTAAAATTTGGACACACATTTGAAGTTTCTGATTGTCTTCAGCAAGACTGTTATCCTATAAAAATGTTAAAGTAGTATTTTCAGATAATACAGAATTTCCAGTTTACAAGAAAGCTGTCTAGTTACATATTTGTACAATTATACTCAGAATATTTTTAGTAACATATAAAGAATCAATGTTGGACAGTTTAGAATCAGTCGCTCACTTTTGACATTCTTAAGAGTATTTATTATATTTAAAAATATAAAAGTATATTTACAAAGAAACTTGTAATTAATACACATGGGCCGGCGAAATGGCTCCGCAAGTACAGGCGCTTGCTGTGCAAATCTGGGAATCTTAGTTTGATATTAGGAACCCATGTAAAGTTGGAAGGAAAGAACAGACTCCATAAAATTATCCTGTGACCTCCCTACATACATGCGCGCACGCGCGCGCGCACACACACACACACACACACACACACACACACACACACACACACAAGAACACACCCATTTAAAAAAAACTGAATTTTTTAAGGAAAATCAAAATGCATCCCTTACTTTGAGATAGGATCAGGTTCTTGTCTATACTGTCAAGTTACTCTGAAATAATATACCTTTACCCATTACACACCAAACATATCAATTTATAATGCAAAAACTTTGTTACTGATCATTAAGCAAAGATTACTGAAAGTTCCTAGGGTAAATTTACATGAATTTGTGAGAAAACAAAAGATAAGCAAAAAAAATGATAGTAAAATAATGCCCAAAACTTGCTCCCATAACAAGAAGTTACCTGGTTTAAACTACTTAGTCTCATTATTTCATTTTCAGCATCTGTAAAAACAATAAATGAACCTGACATTACTTAAAATATTTTAATAATTACCTCTCACATTAAACTCAGAGGTGCAGCCCATTAAAACAAAGTATATTTATAACTAGCAAGCAGGTTGACAGTTTGAAATAAAAAACATTCCTGCCATTTTCCATTTCTATTATGACTATAAAAAGTAAGCTACAAGCTTAAAACCATGTTAAAGTCCAATGCTTTGGAAGAGTGTAAGAATTATCACTGTAAGTTACGGTTCTGATAAAAAAAATAGTAACAATGTGTTTTAAAATATAATCCATTAGTTTGAATAGTCAGAAATAGTATATGGTCTAAGATTATTATTGAAAAGAAAAACTTGAAAAGCAATAAATAAAAATTTACACTGTAACAGTATAATTATCTCTCAAACATCTAAAGTGACTTAGCAATAAATGTACTACATTTAGATCCATAGAGAAAAAAGGTTCTGAAAAAGAACCCAGAGACAGAATAGCATGAGATCAGTGGAAGCAATTCATTTAATGCTCATTCTAGGACAACTGAGCATTTATGACAAAGCCAGCATTAGACAAAAAGACAGAAAAGTTCAGTTCTTGCTCTTGATGAGCTTACAATTCAGAACAGAATTGGGACAGAAGCAAGTAAACAATGATTACAATCCGGTGTGATACAGCGAACACGGGCATTAGTCATCTAGTCAAAATCAGGTAGGAACAGAGGGGCCCAGGAAGGAGCAGTGCAGTTCTCCTCCTCGGTGGCAGTGAAGACCTTACTGAGTCAGTGGACTATCCAGGTGGCCAAGGAAAACCAGGAACACCCTGCCCAGACAATGCAGCAAATACAATCAAGAGGGAACTAGAGACTACTACAGCCGGCTGAAGGAACCACAGAGATCACGATGGCTAAAGTTTACAAAGCTGGGCAATGAGAATAAACTGAGGAAGCAGATAGGGACCAGATGAACAGCCACGTCCACCTAACAAAGTTCCAATTTCATCACAAGTTCCCAGAAAGTCAGAAAGTACTAGAAAGTAGGGGCCTAACTGGCTTTGCATTTCTGAAAATGTATTCTCACTTCAGAATAGAAGGAAAAAAAGATGGATCGAAGAACAATGGAATGCAGAGAATAAAAAGCCAACACTTTCTAACACTCACTTTGGACTAGATGCTGTTCAAAAGGAAAGCCTGCAAATAGCAACTCACTTAGCCCATAGACTACTCCAGTCCTACAAGGAAGATAATAGTATTGCCCAACCCTCTTGTTTTTTTAAAGCTTGATTTGCATGTGTGAGTGCATCTGTGTGCTTGTTCACAGGCCAAAAGAGGGTGTTGTGTTTCCTCCTCTGTGACTCTCCATCTATTTAGTAGTCCTTTGAGGCAGGGTCTCTTCCTGCACCTGAGACTCATGTTCTCTAGGCCATGCTGGTACGGTAATCCTCCTGTTCAGGTACACACAGATGCTCTCAGCTTGACATAAGGATGGTGCGATCCAAAGGCTGGTCCTCATGATTGTGCAGTAAGCACCCTTAGCAACTGAGCCCTCCTCCAGGCCCCAACCCTCTTGTTCTTAACCATTTTTCTACTTACTCCATTAAGAGATCTGTAACAGTTAACTTGGACAATAAGCAATTATGACTGATTGAAGTAAGTCCATGATTACAGAAATGGGAAAAGAGGGAAGGACTAGGAGAGTGGCTCTATTGTTAGACAAACTCAAGTGGCTCACTCAATCTAATATACTTATTTCATAAATGAGGAGAGCTATTTGGGGGTCCAGATCCCCCTGAACTGCCTTCCCTTTGCCTAAGTGGCAGCTCCCAGAGCTGATGCACCCAAGAAACCCTGGTTGTGGGGGTACAATCCTGAAATATCACTCACTCACACACACACACACACACACACACACACACACACACACACACACACACACACAAATTAAAAACCAGGAAATAAAAACTACAAGACTCGGTCAAGGTTGACTTCTAGAATTCTGCTTCCCAAGGACTGGAGAAGGAATATGAGAAAGGGAAAGGAGAAGATGATCTTACTTTGAATTTAATTTTAGGTTGAAAATCCATGTTATATATAGATTTGGCCATTCAGGTCAGGAGCTCATGATAGAGTGGCATGAAAGATAGAGATATGGGTGTTCACTAGCACCCAAGAGCTGGAAATTTTCAGAGCAGGGATGAATGAGTTCATACAGAGTTTATACTAAAAGAGGACAAAATGAAAAATAAAATGCATATTTTCAGCTAAAGAGTTTCCTCTCACTATTTTCCTGCTACGTATGAATACAGGTGCTTTGCCTATTTTCTTTAATACTAACTTTTTTGTTCAAGTATTTAAAATTCTAAGCATCAGTTGGAATATGGAAAATAATAGTCTATTTATCTATGGTTCCTGTCACTCAAGCCTTTGCTTCTATATAGAACACTTCAAAGGATAACAATGGATTTTTGCTGATGGAATGCTGGGCTCTGATTAGTTACAGACAATGTTGAGTTCTGTCTACATTAAAGGAACAGACCAATACCTGTGAACAACAATTCCTATATCCATACACATTTCTCAGAAATCTATCTGGCTTCCTACATCACTGACTACCATGTAAACACCTAACAGAATAAGGAAGGGAGGTTGAGAGACATCCTGCTAATCCTTAACCCTTATTATAGACAATTCCTATTTGGTGCTGACCAAACCCCACAATCTACTCAAACGACAAAATCATTTCCATAAACACTCCATTTCCATAGAATATACAGTTATAAGTGCCAAGAAACACCAATGTAAGTTCCAAACATTTTATACCAGTCAAAGCTTGCTGTAATCTCAAGACCTCTGCAGCTGAGGAACTCTGTGGCAGAGTCCTCTCCTCCTCTGTCACAACATCCCTCTGGCCCCGAGCAAGAGGCTGTGATGTACTGCATTCCAGCTTCAAGCGCTCACACTGCTCAGTCAGCTGTCGCTTTTCCACTTCTAGCCGCTCCTGTTCCCTCTTCCACACTTCTCGCTCATGTTCTGCAGAAGACAATCTTTTATATATCTCTTTTATTTTATCCTCAAGTTCTTCAATTTTTTTGGTAGATTCTACTTTCTCCGTCTGTAGAATCTGAATAGTGTTTTGCATATCATACATTTTAGAGTGATCAGTTACTGTAACTCCTGAGCCACCTAAAACATAAAACAACAACAACAAAAAAAAAACAAGAGGAATCAAATGACAAGTTCCAAAAAGTAAATTGCTTGCTATGTACAATACAGAGACTTAAGAGATTTAGAACTCGGACAACTTAAAAAGTCAAATTACTATCTTATAATTTTAAATAAATAAAAAGTCAAATATTTTGTTTGAATCAACTACTAAAAAGTCTATATATCTGAGTCTATAACAAAGTGAAGATACCTCTATTTTTTTTTTCTGTAGCATCATCAGCAAACAATGCAAAGCAATCCAACCCATAAGTGCAGAAGGTCTTTCCATGTCTACAGCCATCACTGCAGACTTAGCAATGAGCAGAATGAGCCACTTCTTTTTTTTTTTTTTGGTTTCTCAAGACTGAGTTTCTCTGTGTAGTTTTGGTGCCTGTCCTGGATCTCCCTCTGTAGACTAAGCTGGCCTCGAACTCACAGAGATCCGTCTGGCTCTGCCTCCCGAGTGCTTGGATTAAAGGTGTGCGCCACTGCCACCCGGCCAGAATGAGCCACTTCTTATTCCATGGACCTTGGTCTAAGTTTACGATAGTAGTCTAATATTCTGATCTATGAATTGTCTACGGCTTGTTATTTAACAATGTCACCTAGTCTGTGAGTTAGTAAACTCAAACCTTGCTGTAACAGATTTTCCAGTTCTTCAATTCGTTCTTCATAGTCACTTAGCTCTTCTCGATGCCGACGACTTATCTCTGTCAGTTTCTGTTGATGCGCATTCTGCAATACTGACATTTCATGCTGATGGTCATCAATTTCCTGACTTCGATTCTGTTTAAGCTCCTTAAAAAAAACAAGAACAAATTTAACTACATGTATGATCAATAAATAATCCAGTAAAAAGTGATTCATCTCACTGTTGTCTAGAAGTTTGTATTATTAAAATTATCTGAACATATTAAAGATGAAAAGCATTCAACCACAGTTCCCAAATTAGGACAATTCTGACAGATCCATGCCTTCTTAGGATCTTAAAGAGCTGTCATATTTTTAATAGGGAAACATCAAGAACACAATGAAACAAAAGATACACAAACTATCTTTTCCCTTATACCCGTCTTTTCCTAATGGCATATTCCCTCAATACTAGAGTCAACAACCTGGCTTTGTTTTGTTGTTGCTGTTGTGTCAGGTCTTTGTTATGTAGCCCTGCTTGGCCAGGAACACAATATAGAGCTCAGGCTTGACCTTGGCTTGTGACACTCCTCCTGTCAGAGCCTCCCTAGTGCTGGGATTACAGGTGCATAGAGCCACATCCAGCTCTCTGGCTAATCTTGGATTGTGAAAGCAGTGAGGTCACTGGAAACCTCTGACGATGAACACAGCTAGTCACGGTCTCGTTCTGCAGAATGCAGTCCACACTTCCAGCACAGCCTAGTTTTAGAGTGCTGGATGTATCACTTAGTTACATCATCTAATCTGACAGACTAACAACCTTGCTCTAACAGATTAGAGTTCTTCAACCCATACAGGTTTTCCTTCTGCTGCTATTCTCTTGCACAATCACCCTTTTGTCAGTCTTGAACTCCCAAACTGCCAAGAGCAGTGCCTCCACCCAAGCTGATAAAATTTCTCCAGGTCCTGACCTGGAAGAGCACTGAGCTGCATCTTCAAGTCTGGCTAGTGTGTTCTCAGAGCCATTCCCATTGCCATCCCTCCTGACACAGACTACTTTGGGACCATCCAGTAAATCTTTTGCTTTACCAAGCCAGAAAAGGTTCTTGTATATCACCAAGGATCCTAATAATAAGTAGCTGCCACTTCCTAAGAAAAAAATAATCCTGGAATTATATGAACCTATGTACCAACACTGATCTTTACACTGACACCTCTGAACAAGGCTGTAGGACGGTGTTCTGACTGATGAAAATACAGACTCTGGGAAAGGTTACATAACATGCCCAAGCAGCACAGCTGAGAGCGGGTGCAGCCAGGATTCACACACATCTGACTCTGGGATCTACCTACACTTGCAATGTAACATTACGCCAAAACTAAAAGTTCTGTACCTGACTATAATTAAAACCAATTCACTGCCATGATGAATACATGTAATCAAGACTTTTTTCATAAAAGAAAGAACTGACAAAACCCAGAAAAACTCTATTACTAATGTAAAATAGTTATTTACAGTGAATGTTAGCATTTTAGCCAATATTCTTTAAGCTCAAACCCTTAAAATGTCATCAACTTGGCAATAGGAGGAACAGAAAAATACAAAGATCTAGGATTATTAAGAAAACATTTAAAACCAAATGTTCTCGGATATACTTTACTGTAAAGAATAAAACAGCTGGGCATTGGTGGCGCATGCCTTTAATCCCAGCACTCGGGAGGCTGAGGCAGGTGGATCTCTGTGAGTTCGAGACAAGCCTGGGCTACAGAGTGAGTTCCAGGAAAGGAACCAAAGCTACACAAAGAAACCCTGTCTCAAAAAAAAATAAAATAAAATAAAACAGTTGAAAAAGAATAAAATACTTGAGTATCATCATCTAAGTAATCAATTTATAACTAAGAGTCCTACCAATTTGGCTTATATCTATAATATACAGATATTAGATGCATAGAAGATATTGGCAATCAACAGTTTGATTTACCTTAATAATATTTTGCAGCTTGCAGATTTCGGTTTGATCAGAGCTTTGTGTTCCCTGCACCTTAGTTTAGAAAGAAAGAATTTTAAAATATTACACTGGTATTTTCTGTAAAACAAAAAGTCACAAACTAACTTTATTAAAAGGTTATTATTTTGTAAAACAAGAGCATTTCCCAGACATGTTCTGATTAAGAATACCATACACTTTTCAAAGTCTTTAGTATATTAGTACATAATACATAAAAGATACCACAGTCAAGAACTTTTTAACTAATTGAGGAGATAATAGCTTTACAAAATAAAGTTTATATGGAAAAAATAAAATATTTTACTAGCTAACCAAAATATGAATATGAGGAAAACTGAATAGCTTTCTAAGATGATAAAAAGTTACCCAATACCAATGCCAGTAAAGGTCTTTTTAAAAAGATTTTAAGCCTGGCGTAGTAGTGCACGCCTTTAATCCCAGAACATGGGAGGCAGAGGCAGGTGGATTTTTATGAGTTTGAGGCCAGCCTGGTCTACATAGTGAGTTCCAGAACAGTGAGAGCTACATAGTGTTTCAAAACAAAACAAAAACAATAAATAAATAAATATGATTTAATACAGGGCTGAGGATGTAGCTCTGTTAGTAGAGTGACTGTCTAGCATTTAGGAGTCCCCGCAATACACAAAACCTGTAATGCCAGCACTTGGGGCCAGGAGGATCAGAAGTTCAAGATCATCCTTGACTACACAGATGTTTGAGACCACCCTGGGTGACATGAGATCCTGTCTCAAACAAACTAAAAATAAAATGATTTTACCCATAAGGTCATATTTTACTTAATACAGAATAATCTTTAACTAAAAAACTTTCAGATTCCTTTCAATGTTGTATACTGACTGGGCTTGAGAGATGGCTTAATTCTTCCAGGACATGCATTCAACTCCCAGCATCTGTGTCAAGCAGCCCAGAACTGCCTGTAAACTCAAGCTCCAGGGGATCTGAAGCCTCTGGTCTTCATAGGTGTCTGCATCCACATGTACATATCTATGCACGCGCGCGCGCGCGCACACACACACACACACACACACACACACACACACACACCCTAACTACTTACCTATCCCCCCCAACACACATAATTAAACTTTTAAATTTTATATATTGTTCATAATCTTTAAATTTTTTAATTGATATCTAGTAATTCTGCATACTTATGAGGTATACTGTGATGTTTCAATTCATGTCCATACTATGTATGCAATGTTCAAAGCAGGGTGGTTAGAACCATCATCTCAAATGTTTATTGTGGTGACAGTATCCAAAATCCTCTATTCTACCTATTTTGAAATATACATTATTACTTTTATCCATAGCCACCCTAATATACAAAGAACACCAGAACTCATTTCTCTCATGTATAGGTAATTTTGTATTTGATCAACATCTATCCACCTCTCCACTACCCAACCAAACCTCTAGTATCCACTTATTTATCTTCATTAACATTTATTGTATGACATGGTACTGAACCAAAGCTGCTCTAAGATTGAAAGAACATATAATGGTAAGACTCCAAAGCTCCAGTCAAAAGATGTCTATCTGAGCAAATGTGATGGTACACATCAACAACCCCAGCTAGACAGAGCAGCTAAGAAAGGAAGATGGCAGGTTCACACCAGCTGGGGCAACACAAGAGGTCCAGGAGGCACAGGAAGTGGGAGAGAGGCTCGAGATGTGGCTTAGTGTCAGAGTACTTGCCTAGAGTAGCCATCACTTCAATACTCAAAATGTGTGTGTGTGTGTAAATTAATCACTCTGACAATAGGAATACTGTTTATAGTAATAACTTAGACTCCTTATCTATAAAACAAAAGTAATAAATGTCCCACATGTTAAGGATAATAATATATATTGGGGTAATACATGGAAACATTTTATAAAGTATAATACAAACAATAATTTTTTGTCTTAACTAGAAAATAAGCCTTGCTGAAAGGTTCCAATTATGCCTTTTCTACCTTTATAGTCCAGTTTTTAATCTTCCATATACTAAGCATTCAAGATATGTCAAATACATTAAAAAAAAAAAAAAGAGCCATTTCTTCCCTTTTAAACCTTAACCTAACCATGTTTCTTTTATTTGCTTACTTGGCTGTTTTGTTTTGTTGTTTAGATAAGATTTTGCTATGTAAGGTGGTCTTAAACAGGTTCAAGAGGTAAAACACTCGCTGCCAAGACAGCTGACCTAAACTCAATCCCGAGGACTCACTCACACAGAGGAAGGAGAGGACTGACTCTCACGAGCTGTCCTCCAACCTTAACATGCATGTGTGTGTATGTAACTCCTCTTCACCCCACACATAAATGAATAGGATTAAAAAAAAAAAAACTAATTGTGATTCCCAGATTATCACAATTGCCTGGTACTTCTTTGAAGTTCCGAAGACCCTAAAATAGACATTAAACCAAAGCCTCCAAAGACAAAGGAAATCCAGGCCATTTTCAAGGCTCCAGGTTATTCTTTGCCTATAAAGTTTAAAACCTGGCTTCGAGGAGGTAAGATGTACAGACAGTCCCAGCTAAGGTTTTGAGTACTGTACACAGTAAGCAAAATTTTAATTGAGATGGTTTTTCTTTTTCATAACCTGATTACATCCACATACTTTGGTTTTTTTAATATACTGAAGTATACTTATATGCTATATTTCCCCCTATATTGATGAAGTTAAATCCAAATGTCTACTGTCTACTGAAACCTCCATAATACATATAATCTTGGTATAGCTGGGTGTGACAGTGAACACCTTTATTCCTAGCCTTAGGGAGGCAGAGGCAAGGGGATTTCTATGAGTTCAAGACTAGCCTGGTTTACAAAGTCAATTCCAGTCCAGTGAAGGCTACACAATGAGAGCCTCGTCTCAAAAGAAAGGGGAAAACAATAACAACAACAAAGAACCCTTGGTATATAGGACACAAGTTCCTTGGAAGAAAGTTTACAGCACAAAATATTAGCACTTAATTTCTAGTGCATTAGATATAACACACAACATTTAACATTTTTTTTTCTTTTTTCTTTTTTTTTTTTTGGTTTTTCGAGATAGGGTTTCTCTGTGTAGCTTTGGAGCCTGTCCTGGAACTCACTCTGTAGCCCAGGCTGGCCTCCAACTCACAGAGATCCGCCTACATCTGCCTCCCGAGTGCTGGGATTAAAGGTGTGCGCCTCCAATGCCCAGCTTAACACATATTTTTAAAGATTATTTATGTGTAGTTGTTGTGTCTGATCTGTGCATCACATGCATGCAGGGTCCACAGAAGTCAGAAAAGGGCATCAGAGCCCCCTGGAATTAGAGTTACAGTTGTAAACTGCCATGTGAATGCTGGGAATCAAACCTGGGTCCTCTGGAAGAGCAGGCAGTGAGTGCTCTTAATGGAAAGTCACCTCTTCAGTCCCAGCATAACAATGTACTTTTAATACTAATGATCAAAATTTCATTTTCCATGTTACTAGAGTTTCTAGGACCTCAGACAAAATCCTAACACAGTTTCAAAAACAATGTCTTAAAGCTCTGTATTTCTGTCACCAAAGACTCCAGGGGTACTAGCTCAATTTAATTTTTATCTTTTGAGTCTGGGTTTATAACTTTATTTTTTGAAAGTGAATTTATTGCTTTAATTTAAAAAAAATTTCTACATATCACACAGAAAAGAAGACTGAGGCTGAAAAAGAAAGCTGGATGCTGCATTAGAAAACAAATATATCTTTTCTATTTTTCTAGTCAAGAATTATTTCTGGTACCAAATGCTCTGCCTAAATAATAGCAGCAAGTTTACTAACTCATAGTTTTCACAAATTCATCCAATTTTTTTTACAAACCTCAGCAATATGTCTCCAGTGTCCAAGTTCAGATTTGAGTCTTGAAACTTCATTTGATAATCTGTTTATTTCTTGTTGTGATGAAATCACATCACCAAAGTCCATGTCATCTTCATGGAAAGCTGACACATGATGACTGATACCATAACTCAATGAAGGTGATGCAGTGGCTGCTGGTACCCTGCCAGATCCTGGATGTACAGACTGGGCAGCTGATTGCAGTCTGAGCAGTTCATCCTGGAGTGCAATCTGTCTTGCTTTAAGGTGGTTGATTTCTTCCTATGTATTTACAATCCATGTTTTAGAGAACATATATCTAAAAATTCTATTGGCCTTCTTATAGATTCAAATGTTGAAAGGCATTATGACCCAACAATAGCACTTAATTAAGTGAATCCAGATCTTCCACCATACCCTAACCACAAGACTGTTAGTTGAAAGACAAACATAATTCCCATAAAGTTCAGATAACGTTGGAAATGGTATGAAGATTAGAATTTCACTCACATGTCAACTAACACACTAAATTTCTCAGAGGAATGTGAATTTGCTATCACCAAAATATAGGTAATTTCTCAGACATGTATAATTTATATATCCAAACGTTTTCTCGGGACTCTCCTGCTAGTGAAGTCTTAGGTAACTTAGGTAATTCAGACCACAGCTAGATTTAGGACCAAGAGGTTCATGAATCAGTAGTAACTCTGCACAGTCTGCACAACATGTCTGAAAGAATGTTTTGATTTATTAATCCAATCTTTCTAGATAAGATAACAGTCAGCCTATGGTGATTAGCCCATGAGTCTTAGAAAGAAATGCATTAAAAGAGGCCCAGGCTTTAAAACTAGCCAAGAGGAGCCAATGACAACCTGACCCTATTTAGAGAGAGAACAGCATAAAAATTCTGAATTCTTAAGCAGAGTTCTAACTGAAGGCTGCCAATATCAACTTATAAAGCTATGTGTGGTGGCACGTATCTATAATCTCATTAATCATGGGGCTGAGGCAGGAGGACTATTGCAAATTTGAGTACATTCTGGGCTATATATAAGTACTAGAGCAGACAGTGCTACCTAGCAAGACTCTGTCAAAAAGAAAAAAGAAAAGAAAAGAAAAAAACAAAAACAAAACACACACACTCCCCCACCACCGCCAAAAAAGCTGGTGATATAGCTCAGTTGGTAGAGTGCTTTTCCTAGTACGCATCAAGTTCTGATTTGATCCCCAGTAGTAAACAAAACAGGGCACAGTAGCACATACTGCAATCCTAGCACTCTGGAGACTGAGACAGGAAGCAGCTCAGAAGTTAAAGGTTTTCCTCAGCTACATAGCAAGTTTGAGGCCAGACTGGGCTACATGAGATCCTGTCTTGAAAATAATTTTAAGAAGAGGGCTAGGATATAGCTTAGTTGTAAAGTGCTTGAACATGTGCAAGGTACTGGGTTCAACCCTCAGTACTAAAAAAAAAAAAAAAGGCATATAAGCTTAATTTGAACTTGTATCTCTTTTTTGTATTTGTTTTATTCTTGCAGTAATTGATTTTAATATAAAATTATCAATTATCATTAGCTTAGAAACTTTAGCTCTGTTTATTTTTCTCTTAAATGCAGCACACTTTTTATTCTACTTTAACAAATCACTACCAGAAGAACTAGAAACCAATTCATCTACATTTTTGTTGTGTTTTAGTTTTCTTCTGTGGTGCTGGGAAGTGAACCCAGGGCCTTCCACACCAGACAAGTACTCTGCTCAACTACTGAGCTACAGTCTCAGTCCTTGCTGAAATATAAAATCCAAAAGATGAGTGTGGTAGAAATGAAGTTAGTCAACAAATTAAAGAGTATCCAAAGGACCTGGATAATAAAATAAGAAATGGGTCAACTTAATGGAAGCATTTACTGGACTCTACTTATGAATTAAACACAAAAGAAAATTTACAACAGGAATCAGGGTAAGATTGGTTAAATTACATAATATTTACCTATTATCAATTATTAAGACTTCAAAGAAAAAATAATGCCAAAACAATCATTTTAATTAAACTAAAAGAAAATAGAAACATTAGCAAAAAAAATTGAATTGTAAAACATTTAATATACTTCTATGTGGAAAACGCAAGTACATGCCAATACAAAAAGTATTAACATATGCAGTCAAAATGTATTCTTACAAAGGAAAATGGCATTAGCAATGATCATACTGACTTAAAATCAACTTTAGAAAAGTATCTAGCATATGCAAGGTCCTGGGTTCAATTCTAAGCACTGCAAAACAATTTAAACTAAATAAATGTTTTTAAAACCTAAGAACATACAATAAATTATATTTCATAAATATTAGAAATTGTAAGCAACAGATCATTAAAATATGTTATAAAAGACTTTTCATTTAGAAGCTACAATTTATTCTTCCTGAAGATTAGCTTCTAAAATAAACTTAACAGGGAGGCTTCCCCAATTTTATGAACTCTAGTATTTTTTATGCTTTCATGAATATAAAAAGAGCCATGAAGGAAGGATGAAGTAATGAGGGTCAGCTCTTGCCTCTTTCTGCTGCAGCTGGCTGCGGTAACTGGAGGACTGCTGCTTGATTTGTAGTTCTGAGGCCTCATGCTTTTCCTCTAGGTCAGTGTAAAGCTTTTTAAGTCTTTCATTCTAGAAGCAAAGAGAAAAGTATTTTCAACAAAAAGATTTCAAGTCAAGCATGTTAGCAATCATTACATGTACACATCATAAAAAAATTACACAAAAAAATGATGTAAAATATCAAAGGTCTCAGACTGAATTCTGGCTTTTAATATACACTTTTAAATTAAAATCCTAATGCTAGCTTCATTTTCTCTTCAACAAACTCACAAGCTGGCAGCTTCTGAGTTTGTTGAAGAGAAAATGAAGCTAGCATTAGGTTCCCAAAATATTTATCAGTTTTAAAGAAACAAGGAAAAGCTGAGGTAAAGCTAGGTAGATGCCTCAGTTGGTGAAGACAGTTGATTGCAGTGCCAACCTCAGCATCATTTAGTCCTGGAGCAAATTTGGTACAGTACCCAAATTTGGTTCCCAGTGTGAAGAACAGTAAACATTAGGGTTTGCTTTTTCTCTCTCTCTCTCTCTTTCTATCAAACATTGTAAAATTTATGTTTATGACAAGGAATTCAAAGACTTTTAAACAGATGTTTTAATCCCCCATACATACCCAGTAAAACCTTGGTTTACAAAAGGCCTGCTGGGAATTAAGTGGCTTTCTTTCATTTCCTTTGAGCCCAATCTTGAAAGACTGTGAGGTCACACCCCAGTCATTGAGAAGAGACCCAGTTACCACATAGTTAGAATAAAAATCAAGTTCATTTCCTATCCAGATGTGCTCACTCTCCTGAGCACATCCTCTTGAAAAAGAACGAAGTTTTGCCTGTCAAGTCACTTCAATTGAGGCCAGTCTTGGTGGTGCAGGCCTTTAAAGCCAGCACTTGTGAGCCAAAGGCAGGTGGATCTCGGAAGTTTGGAACCAGTCTGGTCTACATAGAGAGTTCCAGGACAGTAAGGACTACATAGAGAGACACTGTCTCAAGAAACAAAGAAGAACAAAAAAAAAAAAGGGCACTATAATTAGAGTGGTCTCTTTGTGACCCTCAAGTCTAGCACCAGCACACACATTAGGAAGCTCACAACCACCTGTAACCTCAGTTCAAGGAGAGGCTAAGAGTACTGGCTTCCTCAGGCACTGGCATGAACATGCACATACATGCATAAATTAAAAATAATAAATGTTTCTTAAAATAAGTTGGGGCTGGAGAGATGGCTCTTCCAGAGGATCCAGGTTCAATTCCCAACATCCATATAGACACACAACTATCTGTAACTACAGTCTCAGGGAAGATATGAGGCACTCTTCTGGCCTCCAAGGCACTGTACACATGTGGTGCACAGACATATACAGACAAAGCATACATACACATAAAATAAACAATAATTATAATATTACATGACTGGGTATAATGCATGTCTTTAATCCCAGCACTCAAGAGCAGTGAGAGCCAGATCTCTCTGAGTTGGAGACCAGCCTGATCTACATAGACAGTCCCTTGCTAGCCAGGGCTCAATAAAACACACTATCTCAAACAAAAGTCCTTGTCATGAGATGGTGGTGCATGTTACAATCCCAGCATGGGGAAGGCAGAAACAGGTAAGCTTGCTCTCCAGACAGCCTAAACTAATCTGTAAGCCTCAGGTCCCAGTGAGAGATACTGTCTCAAAGATAAGAAACCTGGCGTTGGAGAGATGGCAGTTAAAAGCACTGACTGTTCTTCCAGAGGATCAATTTCCAACACCCATGTGATGGCTTACAACTGTCTGTAACACTAATTCCAGGGGATCTTCTTCTGGCCTTCATGGGCACTGTATGCATATGGTCCTCAGACATACATGCATATTAAACACCCATAAATAAAGCAAATAAACAAACAAAATACAAGGTGGATGACTCCTGAAGAATTATATCCAAAGTTGACTGCTGGCCTCCACATGTTCGTAAATACACACAAAAGAAAAGAAGGAAGAAGGAACAACTAAAAGTCGACATAGGAGGCAGCTGAAATCTATAATCAATAGTTACAAGATAATTATGTTCCTGTTTATGCATGAATTAGTAAGTGGCCAGATGAATCCAAAGAACATTGCCTATTTTGTGTTTGTTTTGAGACAGGGTTTTACTATCTCATCCTGACTGGCCTGAATCCCAGTCCAAGTGATCTTCTTTTCTGCTTTAATGTTCTGAGTATAGTTGGGATTGCAGGCATGTAACACAAATCACACCCAACTCTCCATGCTTTCAAAGCCATGAAATGGGAGGCTGGAAGTGGCCCAGATCACTGGTTGGTTGTTCTTCCTTCCAGATGACCCAGGTTTGACTTCCAGAACCTACACGGTGGCTCAGAGCCATCTATAACTCCAGTCCAGGTGATGTGATGCCACCTTCTGCTCTTCACAGGCACTGTACCCATGTGGTACACAAACATTTGTAAGCAAAATACTCATACACACACTAAAAATTGGGGTTTTCTATATTTATAAATATTAAAACTTCTAGTGAAGTCAGGAGTGGTGGTGCACACCTTTAATTCCAGCACTGGAAGGCAGAGGCAGGCATATCTCTGTGAGTTCAAGGCAGCCTAGTCTATAACCAGTCTGAAAACAGGGCTACAAAGAGAAACCCTGTCTAAAAAAACAAAAAAAGAAAGTTCTTCATTATCATTTTATTCACACTTGTGAAAAACGATTTACATTATATAAAAATATAAGAAAGACTAAAAGCGTCTACTAGGTATAAATAATAAATGTAATAACTATTTCCTTGGCAAAAAGAGGAAAAGGCAGCTCAGGTAATTTGTATGGTTTGCAATTATAGACTACTAACTAGGATGTGGAATAGGCTAGCCAGTGACATAGCAAGACCTTGTCTCTAAAAATAAAAACAAAAACAAAACAACAACAACAAAAAAGAGCTAGGGAGGTGGATCGGTGGGTATAATGCTTGCTGCACGAGTTGAGGACCAGACCTCAGAACACCAGAACACACGTGAAGCCAGACTCATCTATAATCCTACTATTCCTACTTTTAGACGTGAGGTGGATTCAGGAGAATCCTGAACGCCTGTAGCCCAGGTAGCCTGGCATATGAAACAGCAAACCACAAGAGACCCTGTCTCAGGTGGACGGTAAGGACAGACAACTGAGGTTGTCCTCCGACCTCCACGTGCTGTGGCACACACATCTGTCTCGCACACACAAAACACCAAAGGTAAAAAATAAAAAGAGCCCTAAGGAATTCGGTCAACCACTCACAGGCAAATCTAATCTCCCCTGGAAACACATTGCTTCCCTTCTAGACTAAAACTTGCTCCCATCACCTTATTTTCGGACATCAGTGAGTCTTGAACAACAACAGATCACAAGGTGACGTAGGTGCTGGAGCAAGGCTAGAACAAGAGCAGGACACAGGCCTATGGAGGCATGTACTTATGCAGACGCAGCAAGAACCGCTCTCATTTACAGTACCAACATAACAGAGCCCTTGTTTCCCTCTGGTATTTGAGTATATCAAATGAGGAAGTGGCTTACAGGGGGTAGATGTGTCTACCCAAATAAATATTTCTAAACTCTAGAACTATACTTGCCATAGATAATATGGCCATAAAAAGCATTAAAGGGACTGAGATCTACAGGACAGAAGACTTCTATTTCCTTTCTTAGACTCAGTACAAAGCAGACATTATTCAAGTAGGTTCATCTTTCTCACTTTCCCCCAAAATACACACTGGCACATTCCCTTAAGTTACAGCAGCATGTACACTCTGCTGCTAACTTTCCTGGGTGGGTCTGTACCAATGAGGGCCTCCTCAAGGATTTTCTACCTCGGTCTTATTAAGAACTCACGTGCCACTGCCGCACTTGTGCTCCTTATCAAGTGACTATGCTAAGGTCTCAAAATGCCACCACAATGCTATCTTCTAGAGGCTCAGTGCTAATGTCCCTCTCTCACAAGTCCCTCCTCTACTTTCAAATTCCACAATCTCACCTTGATATCCTAGACCAGAGTTCAACAAGACTTGTTAGGAAATATTGTCTTAGCATCTAGATTCAGTGTTCTCTTTTTATAGGCTTAGAATTGAGGGAATCATGCTTACCACAATCCTCTAAGAACATCTCTTGCTACAACACTAAGTGTTCTTTTGCTGTTCTTATCCCAAGGCTAAATTGTTGAGCTCTGATAGTCCTTTACAATAGCTCCCACTCTGAAATCCTTTTCATTTCTTTAGGGCTTTCCTTTGAACTTTTCCAAGCTTTTCTCATTCCTATTAAGTATAATATAATGTCCAGAATTAGTCACAACTACACATTGACTCATAAGAAACAAATCAGTAAAGTTATCTTATTATTCCTATATTCTTAACTTCTTTGCTCCAAGTATTACATTATTATTCTAATGTTAGGAAATTTTAAACTCTAGATTAAACAGAATTCCATTTTTCATATGTTAAATGGGCCACTAGTTAGGTGTGATGGCTCAAGCCTTGTGGTTGTTTAAATACAAATACCCCCCATAGGCTCATACATTTGAATGCTTAGTCATCAGGGTGCAGCACTACCTGAAAAGGATTAGGAGGTGTGGCCTCGTTGGAGGAAGTGTGTCACTGGAGGTGGGATCTGAGGTTTCAAAAACCCACACTAGGTGGTGTCTTTCTCTCTGCCTGTGAATCAGGATGTAGCTCTCAACTACTTCTCCAGCACCATGCAGGCCATGCCTGCTGCCATGCTTACCACCATGATGATAATGGACTAAACCTCTGAAACTGGAAGCTAGCCCCCAATTAAATGTTTTATTTTATAAGAGTTACTTTGGCCATGGTGTCTCTTCATAGCAATAGAACATTGACTACAACAGGGCTGTTAGCCCAACATTCAGGAGGCTGAGGCAAGACCATCAGTTCAAGAACAGCTTGGGCTATACAGGAAACCTTAGCTCGAAAAGCAAAGTAAAAGAAAATAACAGATAATAAGCAAAAACAAAAAAATGTGCCGGGCAGTGGTGGCACACGTCTTTAATCCCAGTACTCGGGAGACAGAGCCAGGCAGATCTCTGTGAGTTCGAGGCCAGCCTGGTCTACAGAGTGAGATCCAGGACAGGCACCAAAACCACACAGAGAAGCCCTGTCTTGAACAAAAACCAAAAACAAAACCAAAAAACAAACAAATGTACCATTACAACGTGGCACACTGCTGGATAATGTCAATGATAAACTTTTACCACAACTATTTCTACATTTAGCAGTTTTCCTACTTCTAATAAATAGAAGTAGAAATGAGACTATAAAAGAACCAACCATGGCAAACATAGACATTCTTTACTTAGGGGAGATTCGAAACAGACAAGACAAAACAAAACCCTGAGAACAGGAAAGGCTGAAAGGTGAGATGATGCATTTAAAAATTCTGAAAGTTTCAGTAACTTTCACAGCTTCAAAAGAGAAAACCTGAAGTTTGACAACTGTCTTTAATTGTCCTTACCTCTGATCTTAAGACTGAATGAGTAGCTTCATTTTCCTCTCTCCCGGAATTGAGCAAATCTGCTACAAAACAAACAGTATATACTGAATATTTGATTAACACCATATGGAGCAATAAACAGTTGTTTTGTGGGGTGGGACTGGTGTTAAGGGACTGAATCCTGGGCCTAGTCCACGTCAGTCAAGTGCTCCACCACTGAGCTGTATCTCCAACCCTGAAGAGGCCTCTGGAAAGCTTAGTCAGAAGAAGTACTATTCCATCTTTACCAGGACTTCCCTAATGATGTTCTTCACTACCATACAGGCTACCCTTTCTTACTCTCTCCTACACCTTAACAGGTATGGCTTGACCCCTTGGAAACATTCTTTAAATTTTTGTTGTATGAGATTTGAAGTTTTTTTTTTTCTGTGTAACAGCCCTGTCTGTACTGGAACTCACTCTATAGATCAGGCTGGCTTCAAACTCAGAGATCTGCCTGCCTCTGTCTCCCAAGTGCTGGGATTAAAGGGGTGTGCGACCACTGCCCAGTTTTTAATAAACTTGAAGTTTTTAATAAACTTCTCTTTTTGCAGTGTGGTGGTGGCACACGCCTTTAGCCCCAGTTCTCAGGAGGCAGAAGCAGGCAGATCTATGTGAGGTTAAGGCCACCCTGATCTACAAAGCGAGTTCCACGACAGCCAGGGCTGTTATACAGAGAAACCCTGTCTGGAAAAACCAAATAAATAAATAAACATAAAATGTACTCAACTGGAGCTTACAGTTTACTTTTACCTTCTAGCCCTAAGACTATAAAATTAATGACCTATAATTAAAACATAAAAATATTCTGAGAATACTTAGGAGTAACACAAACATAATTCATTAAAAATAGGGATGAGGGGCCAGAAAGATGTCTCAAAGAGTAAAAGTCCTAACCCCTTGAGTCAATCCCTAAAATCTACATGAAAAGCCAGATGAGGTACCTGAAACCTGTAATGCAACATTCCTGTGTCAAGATGAGAGAGAGAGAGAAGGAGAGGGAGAGGGAGAGGGAGAGGGAGAGGGAGAGGGAGAGGGAGAGGGAGAGAAGAGAAGAGAAGAGAAGAGAAGAGAAGAGAAGAGAAGAGAAGAGAAGAGAAGAGAAGAGAAGAGAAAAGAGAGAATTAATAGCTCATTTATACAGTGCAATGGCAGGAACAAGAGACCTTGATTCAAAAACCTAGTGGATGGAGAGAATTACTCCTAAAAAGTTGTCCTCTGACCTCTATACACGCCAGAGCATGCACATGCACATATGTGCTCTCTTCTCCTCTCTCTCCCCTCCCCCTTCCGCCCTCCCTCTGTGTGTGTGTGTGTGTGTGTGTGTGTCTCACTTATACTCATGCACACATACACAATAAATCTTTAAAAAAAAAAAGGATGAAATCATTCTGACTTCTTAAGGGTAGTCAAAGGACTGAGAGCTATAGCTCAGATGGTACTGAGCACATTCAAAGCCCTGACTCAATACCCAGTACCAAAGAATAAATGAATCTGGGGTGCAGGGGAAGTACAATCCCAAAACTTTAAGAGACTATAGAAAAAGAACCTGAGATGGAGGCCAGCCTGCAGTATAGAACAAAACCCTGTTTCAAACAAATAAGTGGATAAAAATTAAAAATAAATAAATTAGTAAACATAGTCAGGGTCCAGGAATGCCAAATGGCACCACTAATCCTGCTGGAAACTGTCATCTATACAGTTACATTCTTTTTCCTGTGGGTACTACTGTTTTCCCACTACTAAACACTATACATCTAAACATTATAAGAAGAAGACAGGGCAGAAGATAGAGCTTTGAAGTAGAGCTGCTTGCTTAGTCAAGGTCCTGGGCTTGACCCTACAATAAAAAGTAAACAAAAGGCCCGGGCTAGAGAAATGGCTCAGAAATTAAGACTACCAGCTCCTCTTCCAGAGGATCCGAGTTCTGTTGCCATTATCCTCATCAGGCAACTCACAACCACCTATATATAACTCCAAATCCAGGAGTCCAATACCATCTTCTGGCCTTGAACGGTACCACACATACATGTGGCATACACATACATACACAATAAATAAATAAACAAACAAACAATATTTTCATTTAGAAGAGCATTAACACTTTAAAAAAATAAGGCCTGGCGCTTGCCTTTAATCCCAGCACTTGGGAGGCAGAGGCAGGCAGATCTCTGTGAGTTCAAGGCCAGCCTGGTCTACAGAGTGAGTTCCAGGACAGTCAGGGCTACACAGAAAAACTCTGTCTTGAAAAACTAAAAATAATAACAGTAATAATAATAAATATTATAAACATAACTTCCCAGAACTACCATTTATTAAAACACACACACACACACACACACACACACACACACACACACACACACACACACGGCATGCTTATAAATTAGAGTGACATTTGTGAAAACCACAAGGCAGGATTGCTTTGATAGGTGTTGGACATCTTGCTTGAAACTCAGTTTAAAAGGAATGCCTAATGTTATCCTCAAGAGAATGAAGTAAGATCTAATTTGTTTAGGAAAGTAATTGCTAAAAGTAGCAACTGTGGGCTGGAGAGATGGCTCAGAGGTTAAGAGCACCAACTGCTCTTCCAGAGGTCCTGAGTTCAATTCCCAGCACCTACATGGTGGCTTGATCTGGCGCCCTCTTCTGTATATATAATAAATAAATAAATCTTTTAAAAAAAAAAAAAAGTAGCAACTGTATCAAAGAGGGGCTTGAAAATCAAGTTTATGCAAACTACCTTGGCTATCCATGCAACCCACCCTCTCAACCAGCTTTATAAAAACTCCCCACCATTTCTCTTTCTAGTGCTGGGGATCCAACCCAGGGCCTGTGTGCAAGGTTCCCTGCTCCAATCCTGCCTTTAACAAGTCTTACGACAGGAAAATAAACAACAGCAGCAACCCCTTGGCCTTCTCAGTGAGGGAAAACCTGACACCTGCCTGTGTGTTCAGTGCTTGCTATTTGCTGGGCACAGTCCTAGATAACATACATTCAGGATCTCATTTAATTCTCTCATTTACAAATGATGTGCTTATTCCTTTTGAACAGATAAGGAAATTCCCTTTTGTAAATGTATGAATGTGTGCCTGAGTGTATGCATGTATGCTGCACACATGCAGGAGCCCCTGGAGATCCTAAGGGGGTTGAGATTCCCTGGAACTGGAGTTAAAAGTAGTTGTAAACTGACATGTGAGTACTGGTAATCAAACCTGGGTCAAAAGCAGTAAGTAATCTTAATGACTGAGCCATCTCTCCAGCCCAGAAACTGTGTTAGAGATAAGTATTTAATAATTTGTCAAAGATCCCACAACTTGTAGTGTATTAAAAAAAAAAAAAAAAAACAAAACTGAATCTGTCAATCTAATTTAAAAGCCCAAGTTCTCTGTGCTTATCATGCACAAGACCCTGGATTCCAATACCCAGTAGCCCTGAGGGTAAAAAAATTAATAAATAAAACCCCAAACACAACTAAAAGCCCAAGTTCTTAACCTTGACTATAATAAAGTGGCAGAAAAGCAACCTTCTAATATTGTAAATATGGATGGTTTTCAAAATATATTTAAAGTGCTATTTGGGGGTTATTTTTTTTGTTCATTGCTGACATAGAGTTGACACTAAATATCTGAATGTCTTAATAAACTCTACTCCAAACTAATTTTTTTAAAGTTTCAACAACAAAACAGGTATTAATCAAGTCTTACATAATACGAAGGGAAATTTTTTTATTGAACATCAACAATAGCATACAAAAGAAGATGTCCTATGCTGGTTAATATATATAGGAAGGAGAAAAAAAAATCCCCTTGTGGTGATTTTAATGAGAATGGCCCCCAAAGGTTCATATATTTGAATGTTTGGTTCCCAGGTGGTAGAACTATCTGGGAAGGATTAGGAGGTGTGGCCTTGCTGGAGGAAGTGTGTCACTTCAGGCAGGCTTGGAGGTTTCAAAAGCCCATGCCATTCCCAGTTAGCTCTCCCTCTTTCTGCCTGGTGCTTGTGGATCAGATGTATGCTCTCAGCTACTGCTCCAGCACCATGCCTGCTTGCCTGCTGCCATGCTCCCTGCCATGACGGCCATAGACTCTATCCATCTGGAACCTTCAGTCTCCAAAGTAAGTGCTTTCTTTTATAAGTTGCCTTGGCCATGGTGTTTTGTCACAGCAATACGAAAATAACTAACACCCCTTCTTATACATCAAGGAAAAAGACAAACTATCACTCAGTATCATTAGTGCTATCAGACAGTAATACACAAAGCTCTGTTAGAATACAGAACACCAACCAACTCAGACTTTCACGAAGTCCGTGATATATAAGCAGGGCTGTATGTATAGAAAAACTGTTTTCCAGACCAAGGAGGGTAAAGGAGGAAGTAGAGAAGACTTTCCATTCAGAGTCTTGGGATGGTGGGTAAACCTGCCACAGTTCTGTGTGGCAGACTGCACGTGTTTATATACAACAGTAGGTATGGAAACTGGTACGGCAACTAGAAAAGACAGTTTGAATCCAGAGAGAACAGGTCTTTGACCACCCCAAAATAAGAGGTTTGGTTTTTTTCTGTAAGTCAAGAAACTTTTAAGCAAATTTATTTTTAGACTGGCATGTAGCATGAATCTTAAAAAGTCTTATCAATAAACAAACCCAGTGCCAGTTATTAGGGTAAATGCTGGAAGATCAGAGAAGCAGAACAAGCCACAGCTTCCTCACTGGCAGTACAAGAGAAAATGAATTAAGAACCAGACCTGAAGAGAGACAGAATCTGAGCTAGCGCAGCAGTTATAAAGAAAAAGGAAAAGTATGACACAGGATGAACAAGATTTGGTGGCCAATTTGAAGTAGATGAACAAAAAAGACGCAAAACAAAGATGATAAAGATTTCTAGGTCAGGAAGATTAGCAGCTAGCCAAATCACTAAAATTGAGACTATAAGTCAGGCTTGGTGGTGCACACCTGTAATCCTAGTGCCCTGCAGGCAGATCTGTTCTGGGCCTGCCAGGGCTTCAGAGTTCAGAAAACAAATCAAACAAACTTTTGATTTGAGACTATATGAAGGTGAGGCAGGAGAAATGCTATTTGAGGTCAGCCTTGGGCTAGAGTACAAGTGCCAGGACAGTCTGGGCTACAAAATAAGACCTTGTCTCTAAAAGAAAAAAGGAAAAAAAAAAAAGTAGGGGTTTTGTTGTTTTGAGACTACAGGAAGCTCTCTGCTGAGAAAAACACAATAAACTCTACATCAGGTTGGGGTGCCTATTTTCCAGTTTAAGGTCAAAGAAATACTCTTATTCCCATCTGTACTACAGTGAGAATCTAGTCTTTCCCATGGCTATTAGCCCTTTTCTGCCTTTAAAGTCCCATGATCTTTTACTGGACACATTCTAACTGTCCCAAGTCATGAACCTTCCACTCAAGGGAAGCCCAAGCGTAAAATGGGTTTGGGCAGCAACCCAGTTTTCCTTCTAAATATAAGGACTTTTTTCTATCAAACCATTTTACTCTATTTCTAGCAAATACACACGGCTTTAAACCATGATGAAAAAACTGGGGAGTTAAGAGTATAATTCAATAGAGTGTGCTTACCATGCATGAGGCCCTGGGTTCAATCTCTAGCAATTCCTTCCCACAGTGTAAACTACAACAGTAAGTTGTTCATTTATAAAGGAATAAAACTGCCGTAGTGTGGTGATACACACCTGTAATGCCAGCACTGAAAGGCAGAGGCAGGAAGACTGTCAGCTCCAGGCCAGCCTGAGCTGCACAGCAAACCTTGATTAGAACTTTAAAATTGTCTTATTATTATGAGTACAGGTGTTTTCTCTGCACATATGCCTATGGATCATTTGGGCACATAGAGCCTGGTAAGACTCAAAGAGGACATCGGATCCCCTGGAACTGAATGAAGTTAGAAAGAGTTGTGAGCTGCTACTGGATGCTGAGGATCAAACCTGCAAACTCTGAGAGAGCATCCAGCGCTCTTAACCACTGAATTATTTGACCACTCCCTTGATTCAAACTTTTAAAACCCCTATCTTCTCAAAGAAACGGCAAGAATAGTAATAGTAATTAACCTAATCACTGATAACAATTTTAGGTCACTACACATTAGGACAGCAAGACTTTAAAAATGGCTGAAGGAGGCTGGCTAGATGAATCAGTGAATAAAGGCACTTGTCATATAAACCTAATGAACTGAGTTACATACCCAGAGCCCAAACTAAGTGGGGAAGAGAACTCCACAAAGTTGTCTTCTGACCTCTCCACACGTGGGCGCTATGTCACAGACGCCCATACACACACACACACACACACACACACACACACACACACACACCGATAATAATAATTTCTAAAAAAAATTTTTAAGTGAGTGAAGTAGATAAGAGTACTCAAAAGACAAAGTATTTCATTGGTCCTGTCAAAATATGGGAGAAATGTGCAATCGTACACAAAAATATATTTTTAGCTTCAATGTGTCTTCACGATGAGCAAAATTAGAAAACAGTTGAAGAGATAAACAGCCCTATTCCCCTAACAACGTGCTAAAGACAGGACAAGAGTCATCAAATGTTTAATTTAATTATGAGTATTTAAGAAAAAAATAATTGCCATACTATTTTAGCTGTCATAATAAGGGAACAGGATCAAAATCAGATCCGCCCCCCAAACTAAGGCAAAGTAAGAAATAGGATAAACTGCCCAATTAAGATAATATTCGGCGTAAAAGTAGCAGATCCCCTTTACTGAGCTATCCAGGGTTTTCATGGGGAGGAAGGGGAGGGCGAGAACCAGAACTCTCCACCAGTGGTCCTGAAGGCTGGAAAAGCGACTGCGGAGGCAAAGGAAAAGTGTGGAATGACTCCTTCGCCGTCCGCATCTGCCGATGGATAGGCACCCGACCCGGAACCAAGCGGACTTCTCAGGGTCCCAGCTGAGCCCTCCCGCCTCGCTCCAGCTGTTACCTGGCACATCCTCCGTGCCTTCCATCAACATATCCTTCGTGAAGTTTGAAATCTGCCCAGTGAGGGAAGCCAGGCTGCCCCCTACTTGACCCAGAGACTGGCCCAAGCCGGAGCCGAGGCCCCCGAGCCAGGACGACATCGCTGCGGGTGGAAAGAACGACGTCCGCTCCAAATGTCCCTGAACGCCGGGGCTGGTGCCGATCCAGACGCCGAGGACTCGCAGGACGCGGCACTCCCACCAACAGCCGCGTCAGAAAGCCGAGGCCCGGCCTGGCCCTTCACCAAGGGTTCGCCGCTGTGGACTCCGTGGGCCCCACGAGGCCTCTGCTCATTCCCACGACTTCCCGCCGTACGACTGGAACACTTCTTTCTCAGCTTTAGTGACTTTCCTCAGTTTCCTGGGCCAGTCCTGCCAACTCAACGCCGGCCGCCATGACACCGCCGGGACAGCGGCAACGACCATAGAGCTGCTCCGCGATGGCGTAGAAGGGCCGCTGCCAGATGCGCCCTAGGCGCGAAGGACTGTGGGATTGAGGAGGACTGCGTATGGGCGGGCAGGACTGATAGCTTGTGGAGGTGGAGATCTAAGAGGCAGCCACAGCCAGGCGTTTGCCAACTTCGCAGCTGCATTTGTTTATAGGCGGAGGCAACCCTTGGAGGACGTCTCCTTAATCCTATCCACAAGAGCTATTGCATTGCAGCGAAACAATTCGACAGGGTCCACCCACCACACTGGAGAGCGACCTCAACACACCCACATTACTCTATTCAACAGCCTCTGCGAGGCTGCTCCGTGCCAGAGCCTTGGAAACGAGGCTACAAAGCTGCAAAAGCGGGCTGCAATTCAAGAGTCCAAGCAGAAGCACGTTTTTGGTTTTGTTTTGTTTTCGGTTTTTCTTGACAGGGTTTCTCTGAGTAGCATTGGCTGTCCTGGAACTCTTAGATCCACCTGCCTCTACCTCCCGAGTGCTGGGATTGAAAGCATGTGCCACCACTGTCGGGCTTTTTTTTTTTTTTTTTTTTTTTTTTTTTAACCAGTTACCCTGTACTTAAAGGAACATTGGGAATAAACCCAGTTTGTAGAATATGATAACCCCTATACCGAATTATATCTTCCTGGAATCTGAATAATCTTACCGTATATCTATTTGGGTTTAGGGGCGCCTTCAGGGGATTTTCAGCTTCTGTGTCCCAGAGCAAGGAATTGGACAGAAACATGAGGATAGTAGCAAGAAAGGTGAGAAAATGCATCGAGAGAAAAAAAAAAAAAACACCCACAAACCCAAGAAAATAAACAAACCAGAACATTGTAGTGGTGGCGTTGATGAGCTACACATTCAGCTTGATTTGATGGAGAATTTCTGGTGCTGAGGATTAAAATCAGAGACTTGTGCACACCATGCATATAGACTTAGCTACACCCTCAACCTTTGTTTGAGACAGGAGCTCCTGTAACCCAGGTTGGCTTGGAACTGATGACCCTTCTGCTTCTACCTCCTGAGTACTGGAATTACAAGTATGTACCATCTTGTGCGTCTTTTAAATGTAGCATACACAATCCTCAAATGATTAACGTGTCTACTGTTATTCTGGGCACTAGGGGTGTAAGAGAAGATAAATGGTCTGTGAGCTTATAAAGATTGTGTCCCAATGGGAAGGCACACCTAGACAAAATGTAGTGTTAGACAGGTGGTAATGACTGCCATTAGGGACAACAGTAAGACAGGGTAAGGACAATATGGGCATGACATGGTAAGTGGAGCACTGGTAATGCAGACAATGGTTAAGGCCTCGATAAGGTAATTTTGAATAGAGACTTGAAATAAGTTAGAGACACAGATATATGGGGGAAAACAGACCAGTCAGGAAGATAAAACTGAATACAAAGTCCTTTAGACAGGAGTACCCTGATCTAACGTATTACCCTGATAAGTAGCATGATATGCTATCTTGGATGTGCTTCAAAGAGACAGAGAGAACATGAAACAAGAATTGTCAGAAACCAGGTTGGAAATGGCTCAGTTAAGCGAGTGCTTATTTTACAGACATGAGGACCTGAGTTTGATCACCAGACCCCACATAAAAAAATATTAAGGCATGGTAGGACATATGTGTGCCACAATGCTGGGCAGAGGCAGGAAGACCACTGGGGCTCATTGGCCAGCCAGGCTAGCCTAACTGGTGAGTTCTAGGTCAGTAAAAGACACAGTCTCAAAGGAATATATAGCTTTCCTGAGGGTGACAAAGTTGTCTTCTGGCTTCCACACACACTCACAAACATGCACACACATACATTTAGAAAGATTGTCAGAGCCGGGTGGTGGTGGCACACACCTTAGCATTCATGAGGCAGAGACAGGCAGATCTTTGTGATTTTGAGGCCAGTCTGGTCTAAAGAGTGAGTTCCAGTACAGCCAGGGCTACACAGAGAAACCCTGTCCTGAAAAAACAAAACAAAACACAACACAACAAAAAAAAAGTGTTTACATCAACAGCACATATACTAAAATTAGGATGATACAGAGAGGATTAGCATGGCCCCATGTGAAAGGATGACACACAAATTCTTTCCAAAAAAAAGAATTGTCAGAGGCAAGGCATGGTGGTTTATGCCTTTAATACCAGCATTCAGGAGGTAAGTGGATCTATGAGCCCCAGGCCAGCCTGGTCTACATAGCAAGCTCAAAGCCAGCCAGAGTAAGATGGTGAGACCCTGTCTCAAAAAGTAAATGATAAAATATTGTCAGATATCAGTCATTATTGAAATTGGGTTGAGAACATAGCTGTTCATTGTACTAATCTTGCTTACACACACACACACACACACACACACGCACGCACGCACGCACGCACGCACGCACGCACGCACGCACGCGCGCACGCCTGAATTTTATTCTAGTAAGCTTAAAAACATACATTTGCTAACATTTGACTTTAAAATGCTGTTCTAGTTTGGTTTCCTGTTGCCGTGAAAAAACACCATGGCCAAAAGCAAGTTGGAGGAAAGGGTTTATTTCATCTTACAACTCCCAGGTTACAATCTATCACTGAGAAAGTCAGGGCAGGAACTCGAGGCAGGAACTTGAAGGCAAGAACTGGAGCAGACATTATGGAGGAGGGTTACTCACCAGCTCACTCCCTGTCCATGATCAGCCTTTTCTTATATAGTACAGGCCCACCTGCCTAGGGATGGTACCACCCACAATGGCTGATCCTCCTGTATCAATTAGTTTAAAGCAAAAAACAAAAAACACCCCGCAGACATGGCCACAGGCCACTCTGATGGAGGCAATTCTTTAGTTGAAGTTCCCTCTTCCCAGGCAGTCAAGCTGACATCCAAGATTAGTCATCACAGATGACTCTTCCCTTTCCTGCCAAACACCCCCATAGTTAGCCTGAATGTTCCCGATCATCATTCAGGAAGTTGCCAACACAGCACAATTAAACATATCACATCAGAGAGAAGCCCCATGCCTTAGTGGTTCCAAGCAGTAAATCTTAAGTCAGAAAAATACTATTAGCTGTGCCATCCCCACCCCCATCTCACTATGTAGCCTGGTTGCCTGGAACTTGCTATCTAGACCAGGCTGGCCTCAAACTCAATAAAGATCCACCTGTCTCTGCCTCCCAAGTACTAAGATTAAAGACATGAGCCACCACTCCCAGCATTTTCTCATTAATACTATATACTACCTATTTCCTTTATGAAAAAATAGATGTGATATTTCTGTATTTCTTATGTCCCTATTCCCTTCCCTTCTGGACTCTAAATAGTGTTACCATAATTACTGAGAAGTCATCAATGTTTACAGTGCATGACTTGGTGTGGTTTGAGTGAGATGTCCTCTGGGGTATTGTTTGACTACTTCGGCCCTAGATGGTGGTACTGTTTACGGAGTTTATGGAACTCTTTAAGAGGTGAGGCCTAGCTACAGCACTAGAGGCAGGACTTAGAAGATTACAGCCCAGCTTCAATACCTGTCTAGTCTTGTTTCTTGATCTGCCAAGATGGGAGATGTGGTAGCTGCCATGATGGCCTGTCCCCTGAGAAACTGTGAGCCCAAACTGGTCATTCCTAAATTGTCTCTTGTCGAGCATTTTGTCACAGTGGCAAGAAAGGCAACTAACAGATTATATACATTGTTCATTGCTACTGAGCCATGTAGTGTAGTAGACATTTCTCTCACAGGCCTTGAGAACATTCATATTCTGAATAAGCAGTATTACTCATGGTTATTTCTAAGAACCTAGAACAATGCATGCTCAATAGTAAGCACACAAACTGTTCACTGAATGCTACATGAATGGACTTTCTCTGTTTCTCGATGACCCGAGAGACAAAGGGTGGCGCAGGTCCCTGGCACGGAGTAGAGAATGGTCAAGAGAAAACAATGCTAGCCAGGCTTAGTAGCACATACCTGCAAACCGAGCACTCAGGAGTCTAAAGCAGATCCCAAAGTAGGAGATCCCAAAGATTCCAAGTCAGTTAGGCTATATAGAAAATGTCTCAAATTAACAAAAATGAGTTATTAATGTGCTTCGTCCCTCAAGGTTAAGAACAATTGAACAAATATTGAAAACCAGATTTCAAGGAAAAATGTGGCATTCTATTCTTGGAAAAGATCTGAGGAGAGGTACAGGTATAAAGGCCACTGGCTTCAGTCTCAAACAATGAAAATTGTGGAAGGCTTGTGTATGTGGGATCAGGTGGTAATGTATTCTGACAGGAATCTGGGAGGGCTCCCCTGGTCTGCTTCATGCATCACTGCAGCTGTATAAAAATATGCAGCTCCAAAGACAGCTTCTCCACGTTCCAGCTACAAGGTCTTGGTATAGTGGGTCTGACAGTGACCTGAAACTGCATTTAGGAAAAGCTCCCACAGGACAGAGATGCAGCTGTGCCTCCCAACATATTGAATAGCAAGGCTACAAAATTAACAAACACAGAAAGGTTAATAGAAAAGCAATCATTCTCTTTATTTAATAATCTCTGATATTTAAAATACAGCTCATTAACATCCACATCAACAGAACCCTCGGTGTTCAACAGTGCTTTGGAAGCCCAGCTTTCGAAGGAGTAGACAGACGGAAGACCTGTGGAGTGGCAGCCCGGAACTCTAGGAGACCGGAACTCTAGGAGACCAGAACTCTAGGAGACCGGGCACATGAGGAAGGGCTGCAGAGTTGGGTCCTGAGCGAACAGCACTGCCACAGTGCATCGTATTGGCCAGAAGACAATGCCTTTTTATTTCACGGCTTTTGCACTTAAGTTTCAAATATTTTATTTATACAGAACAGTCATTTAAAAAAAAAAGTTATTCCTATTTAGTCCAGTGTTGTAGAAATTAGATAATCACATTTCAAATGTCTGTCGTCCTCTTAAAAAAAAAATCCTTAAAAAAATTCCAGGAAACATACCACCTTCAAACTATGCAAGAAACAAGCGAGTATTTCCTAAATAACTGCATTTCCCACACACTTTCCACTAATACCTTATCTGTGACTGCAGTCTTAAAAGTGTGCTGGCACTATTAAACCTCCATAAATTTAGGGAGTATATTATTTTGTGCTAATTCTTAAAATGACAGACCATTATACAAATAAAAAAAATCTTCAAATTAAGAAAAAGTCAATATCCTTTTCATTCACGAAAGACTAAACAAAACTTTTTATTATGTATAACACTTTTAAAAAAATACAAAACCAGTTTGTTTCTTTACCTTATTATTGACAAATTAGGAATAAAGGGAGAGTTTTTGTTTTAAAAATGAAAAACAGAAATTATCCACACTACTGATTAATCTAATCTGTTTTTTCTTAATTAAGGTCACATGTATCGTAGTTCTATACTTCGCAGAGCTAAAATACAGCAGACACTTCACTTTAAAAGTATTTCCTTAAGGCCTCTCTAAATGTAGACTGCATTTTCAACTTTTGTTCCTTTGCAGTGGTAAGGACTGAACTCAAGGCTGGGGTCACTAGGTAACTGCTCTACCATTGAGCACATCCTTGCTGCTGAATTTAAAGCTGGAATCAAAGGTCTGAATCTGAATCCTCTTACTAATTTAAAACATCAGGATTTCCCAGCTTAAGACCTTCAGATAGCAGTCTGGTTCTGCACTACCCAATGTGGATTTGTGCAGGTCACAGGGGCCAGTTGTAAGAATTTAGTAATTCCTGGCACTGTCATGATTTAAAAATAGTACCAAACATGCAAGTATTCAAAATGTGTGGTTTAGACTCTGACATGAATAAAACTTACTTTAATCAACTTGATAATAAAACAATTCAGACTACTCAATTTGAGCATTCTTCCTCATTAACTTTGGCTTCATCAAGAAAAATCAAGTTTGCAGGGGAAAATAAAGCACCACCTTAAATAACACCTGTGACTTGTAAATGATTTGGCCAAGGTCTTAAAAGTTTAGTGCAGAATTTACCTGCACTACTGTATCAAACAATTTATATCAGTGAAATGTCTGCATATCACTGTCTTGTTTTTTGTTTTTTTTTTTTTCTTTTTGATTTGTGGTTTAGGCCAGATGGCAGCTACTCTGGATTTTTAAAATATAAACTCATGACATCCCAAAATAAGAAAGTGGTCTTTCCAAAGTTTATTTTTCTTTTCTTTTCTTTTTTAAACACAAGGTCTCACTGTGCAGCTCTAGCAGGTTTGGAACTCACTATATAGACCAGGCTGGCCTTGAACTCAAAGAGATCTACTGGCCTCTGCCTCCTGAGATCTGGGATTAAAGGCATGCAACACTATGCCTGGCCTTCCAAAGTGTTCTTACACTAGCATATGTACATATTTTATCTGGTGTGTAAGTTACACATTAGAAAAAATGATACCAGTAGTTTAAATATTAAACATTAAGGTGCTCCCAATTGGTAAAAACAGAATGGAAATGTCAGTCAAGTCCACAGCACAACTGTGACCGTGGATTGATTTCCTTGCCCCTGACTGTCATGCAGTGCTGTACATATACAGGCAGCTCCTGGTGTATGAACTAGAGATTCATAGAACTTTTGCACTTTTGTATACTGTGGTTATAAGCATTGGCATCTTTTCATACTGGCTACCCGTTAATAATGAAATCCAGATGTTCAGGTAAGTCTAGGTCAATCCAAAAGAGATGGCAGTTAATAGTGAGTCTGGATTTGCCTTGCCAAATATAACAATTCATAACAAACTAAAAAAAATACACTCAGATATTCAGTGTATGCTAAGTTTCTCTTCAAAATGTCTCTAATAAGATCAACATGCTGTATTTCATAAGTGATTTAACTAGGGTGTGTTACATGAATGTCTTATAAACTCTAAAGTTAAAACTGAAATGCATATTGGCTTTCTCATTTTTCTATCAGATAGCTCATCAATCAAACCGTATGGAAAGTTTGTGATCTTTCAAAGAGAAAAAGAAAGGGCCAATGTCCAGACAATGTGACTGGCACACTGGGGTAGTTACATACTTCAGTCTAACACTTATCTGTGAATAGTAAGAAAGGTCCTAACTCCAACACCCTAAAGTTGCACAATTCTTCTGAAATTTTGCAATTACTAAAAGAAAACTTCATAGATTTTAAAATAAGACTAACTAATTTTTCATAAAGCCAACTCAAAAAAAAAAAAAAAACAGAACCCACTTTAATTGGCACAAAATGATTAAGAAAAAAATTCACCTGTTTTGGAACTGGGGATATAGCTCAGAGGTAGAGTGCCTGCCTAGCACACATGAGGCCCTGGGTCCAATCTCTAGCAAAGCAAAGCAAAACAAGACAATCTGCCCTATCCAAGAAAAAACTACTTCATAATCATAAATAAAAATATTTGTATTTTTTTTGCAGTTAGACAGCAATAAATCCTACATCAAAAACTTTCCCTGATAAAACGTGTGCAGAACACACACCAGTACAGCGATATACCATTCTTCACCTTCCTAAACTGTTGGCTAAAATTTCTTCTTGGATTTTACCTATGTACAAGTCAACATTCAAAAGGGGATAGAGAGGGAGGGAGGGAGAGCAGATATCAGAATCTATGACACCCATGAGACACAGTTAATTTTCACCCAAATCATACCAAAGTATTGACCCAGAGAGACTGTGCATCACAATTAAACAATGTTTATCAAAACTAAGGGCTTTCTTATTTACAGACAGAGCCACTCTGACTTCTGTAATTCTTAAACAATTTAAACATGATTGCAAGGGTCAACCCACAGTATATTTATATATTTTCATTATTAAATTACTTTCACATTCTAGACCACCATCCCAGCAGGCTATATTCCACTTAAAAAAAAAAAAAGAAGAAGCAGGCATCTATATTCCAGGACTTATTGTAACTAGAACATAAAGCTCCTGTCACAATAGAAAAAAACGAAAACAAACCCGACACCAACACTGAAGGCCAAGTTTCTCCTGCAGTACATTCATAGTGGCCGCATGTTAAGTAAGAAGGGAATGTGAAGCCGGGCGGTGGTGGCGCACGCCTTTAATCCCAGCACTCGGAAGGCAGAGCCAGGCGGATCTCTGTGAGTTCAAGGCCAGCCTGGACTACCAAGTGAGTTCCAGGAAAGGCGCAAAGCTACACAGAGAAACCCTGTCTCGAAAAACCAAAAAAAAAAAAAAAAAGAAGGGAATGTGTTTGCTTCTCCCTTTCTCAACTGGAAAAGAAAGGAAACAGGGTGCAGGAAGGATTATAGATGTCAAACAGGACATAACTGGAAACCTTCACAAAGCACCCAGAAAACACATGCTCACACAAAATCCAGCTCATTTAGAGTCAAATACTCGAGCAGAGTTCTGACTTCAGAGTATAGGAATGCACCAAAGTTAACAAACAATAATCCCACTAGAGAGGGCTTAAAAAGTCAAACCTCAGAACAGATTACCATGTTAGAGTTGTGGGAGAATAACCACAACCAGAGATTACATGAAACAGAAGCTCAAGTGAGCCAAGCCACCTCCAATGAAGAGAGAAAATGAAAACAAGAATACAAAATCAAGTTCAATGGCAAGAGCTAGTTAGTTGGTCCACAAAGAGCCAAGAAAACTCCCTAATTTCAGTTAGATATTGCACACTTGAAACACAAAAAGGGACATTTAGAAAACTATCTTAAGTTTCTTTAGTTGCTGACTGCCTCTTTGGCTAGCATCCGGGTCATTACTTAGTCCTATGACATGTTTCTGGCTTTCTTATCCTTTGCTTATAAACCACCAAAGTGTCTTATCTCTTCCAGTGAACACACTGCCAAAGTGGACCTTACACTGTAATCACACAGACAATGTTAGAAAGGATGAGGAGCAAAATGATTTTGAAAGGTATTATTTTTTTCTTTCTGCTTTCAAATTATCTTTAGCAGTTTCTAAAGACATGGTTACAGCTGCCCGGAGTATGTCTTCTTCACTCACACCATCACCTGCTGGGGAAAAAAAAAAAAGAGTTCTCAGAATCATTTCTGGAAGATTCTCAATCATCAAAAGGCAAATATTTGAACTAGAGGTGTAGCTAAGTTGGTAGAGTGCTTGCCCAGCAGGCATGAGACCCTGGGTTCAACCCCAGCATGGCATAAAATCGGGCATGGAGATTCCTGTAATCTTAGTACTCAAGAGATAAAGGCAGGCAAATCAGAAGTTAAGGTTGTCCTTGACTTATAACATTTGAAGCCAGCCCAAATTACATGAAATCTGTCCAAAATGAAGAGAAAAAAGCGCAAACTGTTAGGAAATACATTTCTACTTCTTTTTTTTTTAAATTGAAAACAGATTTTTTTCATATAATGTATTCTTATCATGCTTTCCCCTCCCTCACCTCCTCAGAGATCCTCCCCACCTTCCCACCCCTCCAACTTCATGCTTTCTTTCTCTCTTTAGAAAAGAAACAGTAAAATTTAAAACAAATAAACAAAATCCACAGAACAAAGGAAACAGAAAAAAAAGAAAAAGAAAAAGCACACTAGACATACATACACATGCAGAGAGACACATGCACACAGAAAATCCATAAAAACACAAAATCAGAAAGCATAATAGATAAGCAAATGACCAGTAACGAATAAAAAAAAAAAAAGCAAGTATTAAGAGACAAAAATTCTTTAAAAAGAACACGGAGTTTGTTTGGAGTCGGTCATCTCCCTGGCATGGGGCCTGCCCTTGAATGTGATTTGTATATCCAATGAGACTCCAATGGAGAAAACTAATTTTTCTCCTGCAAGTGGTTGTCAACTGGAGACAGCTTCTGAGGTAGGGTAGATCCTATCTCCCTCCTGGATCAGTGCTGAGACCGTCCTGGACTCGTGCAGGACCCTGTGCATATTCCGCCACCCTCTCTGAGCTTGTGTGTGTCAGCGATGCTCTATCTGGAAGGCATTGTTTTCCTGGTATCTTCCAGCCCCACTGGCTCTTACCATCTTCTGCCACCCCTCCTCAAAGTGCCCTGAGTCCTAAGGGGCAGTTTGAAGGAAACATCCCATTCAGCATTGGGTATTTCAAGGTCTCTCACTCCCTGCACATGGTCCAGTTGTAGGTCTCTGGAAGTGATGGCTAGTGCTGGCTCTGATGATGGCTCATCTTCCCAGGCCCGTGCAGCCTGCCCCACTCTTTACCTTTTGTTTGGTTTTTCAAGACAGGGTCTCTCTGTAGCCCTGGCTTTCCTGGAACTCACTTTGTAGACCAGGCTGGCCTTGAACTCAGACATCTGTTTGCCTCTGCCTCCTAAGTGCTGGGACTAAAGGCCTGTGCCAGCACGTCCGGCTCCCTTTCTTTAGCTTTTAAAGACAGGACTGCTGGAGACAATTTTTCTCAATTCTAAAGAGTGTGTTAATTACTGCATATGTGATCCTGGGTTTCAAAGTTTCTTCCAGCACTTTAAAATACATTATCCACTCCTTCACTCATAAGAAAGCTCATTTCAAATTGTTGTTGGGAAGGTTATTTCTTGCTGATTTGGGATAGTGTCTTCAGTTTTCAGAAGTCTGTGAGTCTTGGTGTGTATTTCTTTGGCTTTATACTCATTTAAAATTCATTCAATTTCTTCAGTTTGTAGGTTTCTAGTTTCTGTCAGATTGAAAGCCATTATGTCTTCACAAACTTTTTCAGTCCCTCCCTCATCCCCATCTCTTTTGGAGACTCCTATGAGTTAAGAGGTTTTTGTTACAATGTCACAGGCCTCCAACCTCTGCTCATCATTTATGGTCAGTTATCTGTGTTGACGAGAATGATGTAATTTCTACAAGCCTGTCATCAAGTTTACTGACTGGTCTGTACTGAGACTATTCACTGAGTTTTTACACTTCAGCTATGTTTCTGCTCTTGAATTTTTATGTGGAATCAAGGTGTGGCAGAACATAACTATAATCTCAGCACTCAGTAGTCAGAAGTAGGACACTGGTGAATTTTAGGCTAGTCTGGGCTAGACAGTGAGACTCTGCCTCTGCCTCAAAAAAAAAAAGAGGAAAGAATGAAAAAAACAATGATTAAAATTGTCCGTGTGGCTTCTTCTTTCATGTTTCTTCACATGATAGTGGTTTTCAACTGAACCCTGGGTACTTAGGTATTGTCAAACTGCAAATCTACTCCAGTCTTTGATTTGTGAGCCTCCTCTGACAGAGGTGTCTGTGTGGGGGTATGTGTACATCCACTGTAGGTGCCCAAGTCGGACAGAGATGTTAAATCCACCTGCAGCTGGAGTTAGAGGATTCTTTATAATGTGCTCTCTAGTGCAAGTCCCATCTCATATCAACAATCCTTCATCAGTTTATTGACTGTTTTCTTAGTGTACAATTCTGAGAGTTCTGCATAGATCCTCCTCTGATCGACAGGGTTTCTTTTCCACTCAACTTTTACCAATACTTGGCTCAAGTTTAAGACCTATTAAATCAAGGCCTGGTGAGTAACCTGGACTTCCAGCTATTATCTCAATTATGCTAAAGTATGTTTTCCTTTATTAGGTGGTGAAAGGTACTTATTTTCCATTCACTAATATTCATTACCTCTGGACCACCACTGGAGGATTTTTGAAGAATGTGCTAACTGTGAAGTTCAAGTACTATGTGTGTGATTTTAAAACCAACCAGGGCATGGTGGTGCATGCCTATAAAAAGACCCAAGAAAAAACTAAATAAATAAAACCTAAGTATTCACCAAGTGTTCTAGTCTGTCTGCTTCTTACTTCAGAGGAGCTTAGTTGATCACAAATCCATTTAGGAGTTTTAATACAATCAAAAAAGGAAGAAAATATAAAGTAAAAATGACATGGACCCTGGGTGTCAAGTAAAGCATTTGAGTAACAGTCCTGGTGAATGGCCAGAGAGCCATACCTTGGTTGTTCCCACGTCCTCCTGAACTTGTGGTCGGTCTTTCACAAGGGTATGAAAGCTGTCTAGGTTGGTCTACCTCCTCCTGCTGCTGCTGCTGCCTGAAAGATTCAAAAGTGAATATATGTTAACAACACCTAAGAAATAAATATTCCACGAGAATACCTATCCAGGTAGGAAATAAGCTGTTCATAAATCAAAGTGGTCACTGGCCTGAACACCCCGGAAGGTGAGAATTAGTTTGATAATTACAAATATAAAAGTGTCAAATTTATTCTAAAAAAAAAATTTACATATTTGAGTTATCAGACAGGAAGTAGGCATTTTCATTTCCTTTATAAGGTTCACGAGTAGTTATTCAAATGCAAATGAATGTTGTTATGCATCTTTAATATTATTAGGAGCCACTGAAAAACACCTTTGATAAGACGAACCATCTCAATTTAATGTGCTCTTCCCTGGCTGGCTCCTCTAGTCAGTCAGTCAAGCTTCTCCCTGGAGACCCCCTTGACTCCCTGGAGACTCTCCTGACCATCCCACATCAAGCAGCCACCTGTTTCACTTCAGTTCCCAGCACAAACATACTGCCACTGTGATGCTTCTGTCTGGTCTGTAAGCTTACTAGAGCACCAACCATATGCTGCTCCTGTGTCCCCAGTACCTGAGACTATGTCAGTCACACAGCAACTTCATCACACACTTGATGAATTAAAGAAACGGAAACAACTGTATGGCAACAACAGTGCCACTGTATGTTGGAAGTATGTGCTCTGCATTTTGATTTTGATTTTACAAGGGGTTACAGTTAAGAGACTACATGAATCTCAGAAGACACTTTTTAAGCAGTCCTAAGACTGAAAGACTTATGCATTATGACACAGCTACAAGTCTATGGGAGCCAGGGAGTGAAATTGGTGGTTTGAATATGAATGCCCCCCCCCCCATAGGCTCATATTCGTGTAGCCTTACTGAAGAAAGTGTGCTACTGGGAGGTGGGCTCTGAGGTTTCAAATGCCTATGCCAGGCCAGTCTCTCACTTCCTGCCTGTGGATTCGGATGTAGAACTCTCAGCTACTTCTCCAGCATCATGTTTGCCTGCATGCCGCCATGCTTCCCGCCATGATGATAATGGACTAAGCTCTGGAACTGTAAGCAAGCCCAATTAAATGCTTTCTTTTTTAAGAGTTGCCGTGGTCATGGTGTCGCTTCACAGCAACAGGACACTGAATAAGACACTCTCTCAAACAAGTCGTGAAGCTGGCTGTGGTGGCTTGTGCTACTGAATTCCAAGCCCAGGAATTCAATGCAAGCCTGGATAACATATCAATCCCTACCTCAAAAAGAAAACAAAACATGCGGGAGTATATTCTTATATTTAGAAAATGGAAGCTGAAATACTAAGCTACAATGAGAAAGAACACAAGTTACTCCCAGATGCTTCTGATATGGCAACAATCTGGGTAAAGGGTTCTTGGAGCTACAAGGAATTCTGCACATTAGTTCTACTTTTAAGTAATAAACATACACAGAAAGCATCTATAAATGACTGAGATTAAGAAGTCATAGATTAAAAAGTTGTGCATGATTTTAAAATGACCAGAATTCAGTTATAAACAGCACATATTTTTCCCAGCATTCCCCTCAATTTTGAAGAAAGGACCTCTAATCAGGTTGCTAGCCTAGGATGACCTTGAATTCTAGATCTGCTGGCCTCTACCTCCCATATGCATGGTGCAACACCACACCCAGCTTGGCCTTCTCAGTTTTGAGTTTTAAAGGTGAGGAACAAGACAACTGAGATAGTAGGAACTCCATCTTCTCCCTGTTGGCCTTCTTGGGTTGTATGCCTTCACACACGGGCCGTCTGTAGCACAGCCTGAGCTCTGGGGACCCTGGCATATCATGGAGGCTTCTGGATGCTCTCTTCTTCCTCCACTTAAGTATCTATGTCTGATAGAGGGATAACCTTTAATCTACTTCTAATTTTTCATTTAACTGCCAATTATTGTACATATTCATCTGGTTATTATAACTTTCAATTATGTAAAATGAGAAGAAAGTTCGCTGCCAACCTTGAAACAAGCACTGCAAAGCACTAAGATGTTGCTATGGAACAAGTTCCTCAGCACCCTTCCCACCATGTCTTCAGTCCTACAGAGGCTGCAGAGCTAGAACCTGGTTTCTGCTTGCAGAGTAAGTACTCACACGAGCTACAAAGGGCAGAAATGAGTCACGGAGGCACAGCTATTTTCCTGACAAGCAAAGTCAAGGAGGTTCAGTCCTGAATCCTACCTCAGGGCTGTTTCAGTGGGACCAGGAAGTCTTGACAATATGATATGGCTTCCTAATTCCAGGATCCAGCTATATTTGTTTTTTGTTTGTATGTTTGTTTGTTTTAAGATTTAGTTAGGGAGTTACATGTGGTGGTGCTCGCCTTTAATTCCAGCACTCTAAAGGCAGAGACAGGCTGATCTCTGTGAGTTTGGGGCCAGCCTGGTCTACATAGTGAGTTCCAGGACATCCAGGGCTACACAGAGAAACCCTGTCTCAAGAAAAACAAGAGGCTGGAGAGATGATTTAGCAGTTGAGGGCACTGGCTGCTCTTCAGACAACCTGGGTTCAATTCCCAGCACCTACATGGCAGCTCACAACCACCTGCAACCTCAGCCCCAGGCCCACAGGACCTAATACTCTCTTCTGGCCTCCTCAGGCACTGCAAGCATGTGGTACACATATATACATGCAGGTAAAATACCCATACATATAAAATAAAATTGAAGGAAATGTTTTTTCTGATTTAATATATTTATATATGATACACAAATGTTTTAGATTATATAATTGTATAGGTGAGTACCCTCAGAGTGAGAACAGAGTGTAAAGTCCTCTGAAGCTCAGATGTGAGCAATGTGGGGGTTCTGAGACCTGAACCTTGGTCCTCTGCAAGAATATCTGATACCCGTCATCCTAATCAGGAGTGGTCATAGCCCTTCTCACAAACTGCTATATACTTCAGAAGCCTGGCTCAGAACTTCCCTAATATTATAAGCCTCTAATTTCACTATTAATTAGTGTTTTGTTTAACACCCTTACCTGTTTCTGTTTCTTAAACTGAACTGTGTAATAAACTAAGCCAAGCCATTAAGTGACCACATAAGTATTAGGCAACCAAAGCATCACAACACTCCATGGCTATGGACATTTGTATCCATCCTGCTGAGAAACACTGTTTCTTGTAACAGGCAGAATACAGCATTCAAAGCTCTACTTGGAGAAGACATTAATCACGCTAACAAATATCTGTGGAACATGTGACAGCTGACAAATAGTCTTAAGATTCATCACTTAATTCTATGCTCCCAACCAACAGCAGGCGTTAACAGTGCTGGTGTGGACTCTGGCTTTGGTTTTATGACTGATAAACAGATATACAGATCACTGCTAGAAAAAATGTCATGTTAAAGAGATATTACTTAGTTACCCTTGCTCATAAACTATGAATTTATAATAGGCTAATTTTTAGTACTATTTTTTACACAAGAAAAGAAATCCTACAATGTGTTTTATTTGATATCTACATTAAGTATGAGGCTTCTAACACTCAATGGAGGAAGACAAGGGATGAACTGTGACTAACAAGTTAGCACCAGGCCAGTGTGGAGAGGGAAAGAAGGAAAGTCAGACAATCTTACAGCCAACAGCCCAAAGACAGACTCTAGAGAGAGAGGGAACTATTCCAGCAAAGCAATCAGGGATTTGAGTAAAAGGCAAGTGCAGCATGCACTTTTAACCAATGAGCTATCCTCAGCCCCTTGGCACCCTGTTCTTAAACTTGTAGTAAACTAGCACTTTCAAATGCTAGTCAATGTTAAAAATAAACACCACCAAGTTAACCCTTAATTCATCTCAGCTATATGTGACTAAGTAGAACATTCCCTAGCTGTCTTTAAGTCCTCAGGACAGGATAAAAGACAATCTTCAATGCACAATCAACCACTAGAAAAGAGGCATGCTCATACCCAAACTGCCTTTTAAAAGGGTGCAAAGTTGGACAAAATCTCTGTCATCTCAAAAGCACTAGTTACGGTTTTTAAGTTGTGATCATTATAGCTTAATATTTATCACGGGATGTTACTAAATTATCTTTACTATTACTAAAAGTTCAAACCTACTGGAAGTTTCAAACTTTTGTTTCAAAAGAATTAACAAAATGTCTAAATAAAAGGGGTTGGTGACAAGGGTCAGCAAGTGAAGACTCTTGCTGCTAAGCCTGACGACCTGAGTTCAATTCACAGGACGAGGTACCAACTCCTGCCAAGTGACCCGTGTGCCGTACACAGTGGAGTTCTCTCTCTCTCTCTCTCTCTCTCTCTCTCTCTCTCTCTCTCTCTCTCTCTCTCTCACACACACACACACACACACTCCTACACACACTCTCTCAACTCACTAACTCACACATACATACACACACATTCACACACACATACACACATTCTCTCATACACACACTCTCTCACACACACATTCTCACACACACTCATGCACACACACATACACACATATTCACACACACAGTCTCACGCACACACACACTTTCTCATGTATACACACATACACACACACTCTCACATACACATTCTCTCACACATACTCATGCACACACACATACACACACATTCACACACAGTCTCACGCACACACACTCTCATGTATACACACATACACACATACTCTCTGTCACATACACACGGAAAGAGCGAATATATATGACAGAAAAAGAGTATGTATATGATAAGAGGGGAATGTATGCAGTCACTAACATCACTTCTTGAAGGAAGAGAGAGTGGGAACATACTTTTAAAAAACTCTTAAATTTCCAGACTACTAATTATGCCTACTTAAGTAGCTTTTGAGTTATTTTTAAAACTAGATATTTATATAAAATTGTTGACTATCATTATTATTTTGTGACAACAGCATTTATTAGGGAAAAAGAAAAGAGAAAAGCAGAGAAGCCAGGTATGGTGTGCGCACCGGCAATCCACCACTCGAAAGTGAGTGGAGGTTTAGGACCAGGCCAGGCAGTAAGGGAGACTGATCAGAAAACAACACAGAAACAAAACCTAAACAACCCTACAGAACACAACAAACACCTCCCAAAATTCTGTAGGCACATACTAAAATAGTAATGGACATGACGACTGTGACTTATTACAAGTCCATGCCTGTGGGAGAATGGAAAGAAATGGGAGTCAGGGGCATAAAAACCTGGGTCATGTGTTGGTATTTATTAAATTTGAGTAATAAATATGGGTGTGTTATGCATAAATCTAAGGCTTATTATAATTTAAAAAGTAATAGTTAATTTTAAAATTCAAAAGGATATGAAAAGCACCAGTAAGCACTATTTTAAAATGTAAATATAACTAAATCTATTAATCAGTCACTGAATAAAGACTAGAAATATCTCACATTAAGAGGATGTCAGCTGATCAGAACTTTCCTTCATATACTTCTGAGTTGTGACTTAAAAAAACAGAAAACAGAAAAAGATAAACATTATCTTCACAATACCAGCAGATGCAAAAATGATCTAAACTTTATACCACTAATCTACCAACTACGACTCTAAGACGAGGCTGCTTGGGCTCAGAGGTGCTGATGTGTGACTGCTGCTGTTGTGCTGGGGTTGAAGCCCTAGCCTCCTCACACATGCTGGATAAGCACTCCACGCTGAATTGCATTCCAGATGTTCAGAGATTTTTAAATGTGAAAATAAATGCATCACTGATTGATGAGACCTGTTATATAACTGTAGAGTCCATCTCTGGCCTTATCTTTCTGACTTGAGATCAGAGGGTTCAATTATCTATTATTGATCATAATAATTGATCATATTACTGGTCACTTTTAAGGTAGAGTTTGGTTTAAAAATAATAAAAAAAGCTGCATATGATGACATATATCTGTAATCCTAACACAAGGGAAGCTGAGGCAGGAAGATAGCCAGGAGTTTAAGGCCACCAGACCACATGACAAAGCCCCGTCCAAAAAATCAAAGATAGAAATAAAAGAAGACTTGTGAATGGCAATTACTAGAAAGGAAGACACTATAAAAGTGTAACTATGTCTTAAGTACTTATAAACTGAGTATAACATACAGGTTTGGGAGCATATGGTTCAGACTTCTGGTTTCTATACCCCTGATGCTGATGGGCCTTGGGCCTCCTAAAGTGACACAGCAGGACTACAGAGCACCTATGGCTTGTACTTGGGAATACGCCCCACCCCACCTTCCTCAAATGCTCTTCTCCCTGTTAACTGAAGGGAGGGTTAGCAAGGCCAATGGATCGATAGGCAGTTAGTTCTTCCTGTCCTAAGTCCGGTTTCCTTCTGATAAGCAAAATTCCACAAGGTTTCCTTTATTCTACTCCATGTCAATTTATTCAAGATCGGGCAAAGGTTTTTCTCTAAAACCATTAAGTATTTCACACCTTATTTGCTGTAAAAACTTAAAATATATAGATTTCTGTATGTTCATAGGTTCAGGCAGTAAGCAGTAATTTACAACCAGACAAAATAACCAAGTATTAAATATGTAACTTTAATCTGTACCAACTACTTTACTTTTCAAAGTAGGCTTCTCTCCTCTTCCGCAGCTCTTCTGAAGTAAGATTGGTACTTGGTGTCTGCGGACTATCTTGAGACATACTTCTGGAACTACCTAAAAAAAGCCAATCATTTTATATACCTGTTCAAGCAGCAGTATGTTTGTTCTTCCTGGAGCAAGCTTCTAGAAAGTTTTCTTCTTAAGAACATTCCACTACTGCTCTGTAAATGTAAGGAGGCTATGGAAGTCTCAGGGAAAATCTAATGTGTTACTGCAACCGAGGCTGATGCCATCTGTGATGCTGATATGCGAATACAAGTCCACAGTTCACCTGGTATGAGAAGTCTTCAAGACCACACTTGTATACTCTTTAACTTCCCCAAACTGCATTTATACCTTCAAAGGCATGATATTCCTCAAAGCAATCCATAATCACAACCATGACATGACCTCACTCTGTTCTCAACAACTTAGAAACCTAAGTTCTCACCAATAATTGTACTAAACACAGATCCCATATTAATTGTGACAGTGGTAAGATCGTTTTCTGTGCATTACTGCAATAATCCAGCCAGGCCCCTGCTAATAAAACATGGTACTTCACACTACATGGAGTATGCAGAGGCAGGCCTGGAGGTGAGAAGTCTAGGATAACAGGAATTGGCTATGTTAAAGGATCCTCAACTCACTAAGACATTTAAGGAATTCAGATGATGAGCAATCTCATTAAAAGTAGAAGCAGCTTCATATAAATTAGATTAAAAGAAAATCACAAAAATAAAGTACTTCATGCTTTCAGTAAACTGCTTTGAGTGTTTCAACACTTTTTTTCTGCCTACATTCCCAAGGGGGTTTATCATCACTCTCCTCCACTGATTGACTTATATCAATGAAAAAGGTGTACCCGAAGAAGAGGGCTTAAGTTTTATTAAGCTGTACAGTCAGGAAGTGCAGCGTGTCCACTGGCATGCATTTGTTAAAACAGCTAGCTTGGGTAAGGGTCATCTAGCCACTAGAAGACTAATTCAATTAGTTGTTTGTATTCGTTTGGTATTGTAATCAAGTAACATAATCAGAAGTAAAATTATAGCTGTATTAAACACAACAAATACAGTCCTAGTATAATACAGGTCATAAAACTGATTCAAGACGTGGGAAATCTAAAAAAAATACTGAAATTCTAGAGCTATTGCTTTTGCAGTAACTATCAAAGAACTTCCAAAAGCACAAAATTTCCAGAAAAGCTGAGGACGTGAACCAGTTATCCAAAAATAACTAAAGTACACACCAAAATGTTCATACCTTGCATACTAAGCTGAATGGCCCTTCGGAGATCAGCTTCTTCATCCTCTATATCAACTTCCTGACGACTTATCGCTAGAGCTCTCTGTAAATCATCCTCATCTTCATCCAACATTCCCGACCCATCGGCCGCCTCTAGGACTCGTTCCAGATCTGCTTTGAGAACACTAAACAACAAATGCATTCATAAAAATTACAGCCTGGTCTCTGATTTTATTTTTCATTAAAAAAATGTTTTATGTGTATGGAGATTTGTTTGCATGTGTGTTTTGCACAATGTGTGTGTAGTGCCTGAGCAAGCCAGAAGAGGGTGTTAGATTCCCTGAGACTGGAGTTATACAAAGTTGTGAGCTACCACATAGGTGCTGAGAATCAAACCTAGATCCTCTGGAAAAGGAGCCGTTGCTCTTAACCACTGAGCCATCTCTCCAGCTCCATAGTCTTCTACTTCAGATAAAACATAAAGGCACTTACAAACTAAAGATTTGGGATCAAAAAACAACATTCTAGAAGATAAGGTCTAATAACAGAACAACTGAATCTAAAGGAAGATATTTAAGTAATTCAAAGTGGCTCATTCCATAAACTTCACTAAAACACAGCCTTGTTGGGCACTGTGGCATATGCCTGTTGAGTAACAGCTACTTGGGAGGCAAAGACAGAAGGATGTCAGAGTTAACAACTGGGCAACCTAATGAGACCTGTCATCAGAAGTGGGGGATGGGGGATGGAGTGGGGTGCAGTGGGGAGGGGTGGAGTGGGAGGGATGGGACAGGACGGGATGGGGGGACAACAATGACTAGGATGTTGTTCATGAAACTCAGGATTTGAACACAAACACTACAAATAACAATAACAATAATAATAATAATAATAATAATAATATAGAAGCTCAGTTTGGAATGGGGGAGGTATATCCTAGATATGTAGCACAATAGGTAGAATAATTGTCTAGCATACACAAACCCCTGGGTTCATTTTCCTGCATCATGAATAAAAGAGCATGGTGGCACACACATTTGTAATGCTAGCCAGCCTGAGCTACTTAAGATCTTATTTATTTATTTATTTATTTATTTATTTATTATTAAATTTGGGGGGGGGTTCAAGACAGGATTTCTCTGTGTAACAGCCTTGGCTGTCCTGGAACTTGCTTTATAGACCAGAATGACCTCAAACTCACAAAGATCCTACTACCTCTGCCTCCCGAATGCTGGGATTAAAGGCGTGCACCACCACCGCCTGGAGAGATCTTATTTCAAAAAATAAATACAGAGGCTCCTCCAACAACATGTGGACATGTCAAACTGCCTCCTAAACACATTTAGACCTGTAGACGAGTGCTACTCTCAGGAAAGCTTCTTTTTTGCAGCCAGTTCTTGGTTGCCCACCAGAACTAAATAACTAGGAAGAGTTAATTGGTGGAGACACCACACACTTCGGTTACATAACATAGAGAAATCAAGCAGGAACTGAGTTGGAAGCTTCCACTTCACTGACTAGCTTTCATAGGCTGGTAGGTGCTATGTAGGCTACTGGAAAAGAAAAATCATTAATAGTCTTAACCAGACCCTGTAAATGCTACGCTATAATATTATCATGCCAGAAATGGTGACATGACTATTATGGGGGGCAACTTTTTCTTTTCTTACCCCACCATATCCCGCACCCCCCCCCCCACACCCCAGACAAGGTCTCACTATGTAGCTCTGGCTGTCCTAGAACTCAATATATAGAACTGACTGGCCTCAAACTCAGAGAACTCCACTTGCCTCTGCCTCCTGAATATTAAGGGCGTGTGCCACCATACCCGGCCCAACCATTTTTTGATAGGATTTGAGGGCCACTCCACAGAAAGCAATTCATGCCTGGTACCATAAACCTGTCAAAAGCCCATAGGTCATAGGGCTGAGTAGGTCATGGGCCCTAGGTGGGGGACACAACTACTACTGTTTTACTAAATAGACATGTCAAACTCCCTTCAAAATACATTTAGACCTACAGATTTGTGCTCGGTCAGAAAAACTGCTTTGTGAGGGGCAGGCAGCGGATAGCAGCTAATGCAAAGACTCAGAACCATTCAAAGTGCTTGAGAATAGGTGACGGTTAGGTGCTCAGACTTTAATGGGATGCCTCTATCAACCCTCAAGGAACTTCATGAGAGGGGGCAGAAAGGATGTACGAGCAGGAGATTAGGGAGGGATGCTGCTAAATGCCATCTCCTGACCAAGACATGGCTGCTATGCTTGTGAACTCACTATAGTTACCAGCACAAACCTGCACAAGATCAGACGATCACCATTCCTGAACGGATAGGGGAGCACTCATAAGGTCCCCATCCCTAGCTGAAAAGCTACTTGGCAGTTCTCGCTGCTAAGGGAGGGGGCAATTTTTCTTCAGTGGTACAGCCACGGGTAGGGTGTCCATGCAAGCAATTCTAATTAAACTCAGTGATTAAAAAAGAAACAACAGAAGAAAACAGAAAGTGGACCTGTGGGAAAAATAAAGGGATTCAGAGGGGATAGAAAGGGGTTAAGACAGGATAATGAGGAGTGAACATAATAAAAATAATTATATACATGAATAAAATTGTCAAGTAAATAATACTTAAAATAAAATTACATAAACACATCAAAGTCTTGAATTCCCTGTCCCCCATCAAAGTATTTCCATATATATAATTAAATAAAATGGTCAAAAATTTTTAAAAATACATGAAACAAAAATAGGGGATTGGCATAACTGAATAGAATATTTGCCTAGTATGAACAAGAGGTTGATCCATAGCACCACAAAAACAAATCCCCAAATTAAAAATAAGATAAAAAAAAATCATTGGTGATAAGTGATCACACATTAAATATAAGCAGTGTCTGGAGAGATGGTTCAGTGGTTAATATTACTTCCTGCTCTCCAAAGGGCTAAGTTCAGTTCCCAGCACCCCCACATCCTGCAGCTCACAATCACCTGTAACTCTAGCTCCACAGGATCCAACCCCCAATACCAGCCCTGGTGGACACCCACACACATGTGGCATATACTCACAGACATGAAAACTGTACGCATGGACACTTCATTCTAAGGGCATGCTATATCATGTACTCCATAGTCACACCAAATGTTTACCTCTGTTCTTTGAGCTGTGCCAATTCTTCTCCAATAAGTTTTGGTCGATGCATCTGCTGGACTTTGATCATCTGCAAAAGCTGGTCAGCTTCGCAGTCTGGCAGATCACCCTTAACAACAAATATAGAATAACCTAAAAAGAGGCAAAAACAAACTAAAACAACTAGTAGGAGGTTCAGACTTAACCTGAAATGATAGCTAACAGAAAGGTAACAGTACAGTTGGAAACACATGAGGTGCAATTCAGAAAGACCTGACTTCTGTGATAACTCTCACTTGGATCAGGAGGGTAGTCTCTGACAAACCCCACAGAATCGAGCCTCACTGTTCTCATCGGGTAGACTCCGTGACTACAGGAAACAAAAGCAGTCCTGTCTACACGGGCCCTAGAAAGGCAGCGTCTGACCACAGGACTACTCACTGAAGGGAACGGGCAGGCAGGTAGAGGAGGGGTGGAGCTGGCAGGCAGGTAGAGGAGGGGTGGAGCTGGCAGGCAGGTAGAGGAGGGGTGGAGCTGGCAGGCAGGTAGAGGAGGGGTGGAGCTGGCAGGCAGGTAGAGGAGGGGTGGAGAAAAGGATCTGGACTCAATTGCTTGTGCTGAATCCTAGCTCTTCCCCTTCCCAATTATTTGATCTATCTGTGTTGGTATCTTTAATTGTTGAACAGAGATAAAGGAACCTTCTTCAAATGAATGGTGTGAAGATACATTTGCTAAATACGTCTGGTGACTGGTAACATGGATAAAATAAGTCGATGGAATACATGTGGGAAATGGCAGCTCCTCACCCTGCTCCCTGCCCCATCCACAGAGCCCTTCTAACTGAAAACAGAAGCTGAGAGGCCAGTACCTCAAATATAGTCAGTGGGCCAATGGGCCTCATGCTTTGGAAAAAAATACACTGGTACAATGCAATTTTTAATAAACATGCACCAAATAAGCCAGGTTTTCTTAGCTACAACTAAGTCCAATTTATTGAATGTTTTCTACCATTGATTTTCTTGAACTTCAATGAAACAAAGATTGAGAGGGCTATTCACTAAAAAGAATACATTTAACACATTTTTTTGGTACGGACGAGCTTATTCAGAGTTCAGATGTCTTAATGTGTTTTCTGCTAATAAAACTGTTTCTAAACCATAGAATCAGTATGTCAGATCACTATGATATCTACTGAGTAGGTCTTGAAGAAAAGATATTCTGTCTTATGCAGACAACATACTAATTCTGGATTTTTACTTACCACGTTGGAATTAATTTTCAGTATGTTAGGAAACCACTAATTGGTAAAGTAAGTGTGTGATATAATATACATTATGTTTTTAGAAAAGCGCTCAGACTGCTTTATCAACATCACATATAGAACCAGGGTCCAAGAAGAACGGTTCTTCCTGCAACGGAAGCCGGAAAGAAAACACATATAGGCAGGCAGGCGAACCCAACTAACCAAACAACAACCATAGAAGCCAAGTCCTCTGAGGCTGGAGAGATGGTTCAGTGAGGAAGAACTCTTGCATGGCAGCTCACAGCCATCTCTAACTCCAGTTCCAGAGGATCTGATGCCCTCTTCTGGCCTCCATGGGGCACCAGTCACACATATGATGCACAGACATACATATAAAGAAAATACTTATACACATAAAATACAAAAATAATTTTCAAAAAAGTCTTCTGTGAACATGTTTGATTTGAAATCTTCCTGGACTGCTAAATGAAGATGCTAGCACCAGGACCGGTGTTCAGAAGGAATGTCTAAGCTAAAGAAAAAAGTCTGGGAATTATGAGTGTACAGATCGTACTGTGATTAAAACAATGAAATGGCACGTAAGGAAGAAGCTGAACTGGAATCTGGGCGACTCCAACAGTTAGAGACGGGAAAGGGTATGAGCCTGAAAGAAGCGGTGAGACAGGCAGATGCTGACATGTAATACCACTGGGTAATCTTTAAGGACATAAGGGATCTAAGCACTGTTGCTTAACAGAGGCTGAGATGACAAAGGACAAGCAGACATCAAATGCCACGTCATCCCCAAATCAGCAAGAACCTAGGTAAGTACCTACAACTCAGTTCTAGTCACTAGAACAGCCAGGAGGTCAGAGGAAAATATTCGCAACAAGAAAAAAGCCAAGATGTAGGAAATAGGCAAAAGACCCATTCTCTCCCCCTGCAACAACATTAGTAAATAAATTAAAGGAAAAAAACAGAGATGAGGAAATTTCTAAGTAGATCTAAGAAAAAAAAAAATTAACCCAATACAATTATTGAACCTGATTTCATTCAACTCAGAGAGAAATGTGAAAGAACTAATCAGGGTTGAGAGGTAAGAGAGACTTAAGCACTGGGTATCTGATGTCATGAAAGCACTGTGGTTAGCCAGCTAGTGACATGGGTCAGAGTAGAGTTCTACCTCACATGCACACAGCCATGGGGTTTTCAATCCCCATCACCACAAAGCACAACATTTTTAAGTAAGGTTACAAAGTCATTATGTATGTTTTTGTTTTAAAAAAAAATCATTTTTAAAGATTTAACAGAAAAGACAGTAGAGTGAACAAGAAATAGGAAAGGTATAAAGAAATAGGCCATGTAGAGGTAGAGGTACAGGGAGATCAAGAAATCATTTCCTTTCCTTTCATATTACACACACACACACAGAGACACATAGAGACACACACATACACACACACACACACACACACACACACACACACACACACACACACACACGAAATTTGTTGTATTCTGTTTAGACAGGGTATAATCAACTGCCTCCTCAAATAAAGGAGGTCCAGGAATTGAATCCTGGTGAAAAGGCAGGATTCACCAGTGATAGAAGAGAGACTTTTGGAGACGCCCTGGTTTATGGCAACACAACTGGAATGAGTTCAATAGGAGACAGTGCACCAGAAATAATTCTAATGAGAAAATTATAAATGGGCAAGCAGCTATAGTTTCATAGTTAAGAGAAGCTCTTCATTTCATAAAAAGCCAAGAGCTTTTTACCCATGGACAGACACTTAGGTAGTGGGGGGAATGTTCAACCCAGGAGAGCAGAAAGCCAAAATCGAATGTTGACTAGGTGAAAAGAACAGGGATACAGCATACATGGAGGGATGGCCTTAGATGTAGGGCTCAAAATACAAGAAGACACAGAAGTAAGGTGACAGATTTGCTATCAGGAAGAGAATTATGCCTATGTTCTCAGAAGAATACAAGAGAGCAAGGCATAAGGCATATCAAGCTGTAAGGAAGGGAAAGCTAAGCTGTAAAATAATCACCAAAGAAACATTTGAAATCTGTAAGGGCAAATAACAAATTAGAAAAACTAACCAACATATTTTATGTAATTTTTAAGCCATGTTTGGTACTGTAGTACAAGAATGTCTAGGGTCAAGATTTGGTTTAATTGTGGTCAAGATTCTTGTTATTTAAGAATGATGGAGGGCTGGAGAGATGGCTCAGAGTTTAAGAACATTGGCTGTTCTTCCAGAGGTCCTGAGTTCAATTCCCAGCAACCACATGGTGGCTCACAACAATCTATAATTCGATCTGGTGCCCTCTTCTGGCATGTAGGCAGAACACTGTATATATAATAAGTAAATAAATCTTAAAAAAAAAAAAAAAAAAAAGAGGGGGGGGAATAGGGGAGAGCAAGGAAAGAAGCTGAGGAATAATCAGGGGCTGGAGAGATGCCTCAGAGGTTAAGAGCACTGGCTGTTCTTACAGAAGATCCAGGTTCTGGTCCCAGTACTCATATGGTGGCTTACAACTGTCTCTGTGTGAATCTGAGTCCAGGATTCCCAATACCTCTCTTCTGGCCTCTTTGAGCACTGCATGCATGTAGTGCACACAGAAACATGCAGGCAAAACACCTTTCCACTTAAAATTTTAAAAATCTTTAAAAAGTAAAATAATCAAAGTAAAAACTGCAGAGTCTTGGGTCTCCTGACAACTTGAAAGCCTGGTCAGAATGGCAAAGGAGAAGGCATTCATAGAGGTAGAAGGTGATGGTCAAAAAATACGATGCTTACAACTGAGAATTAAAGGTAGTTGGTTATTGGTAATGTCAAGACAAGAGTGAAGAAAATAATCTTTGAAAGAGACATGGTTACTGGCGTAGAAATGACTAAAAATTTAAGGAAGAGAGACAGATAACCAGTCATCTAAAGTCTCCAGTAAAAAAGGTGGCTTACAGATGAGCACAGGTAGGGCGTGGTTAATCCAGAGGTAGGTTATTCACAGGCATGGAGCCCATAGAAAGAACAGTGGCTGAAAATAAGTCAACAGGAATGGTAGGAGCTTGTACCTCCTGTCAGCCCTGTGATATACAGGATGTAGAAGGGAAAAGGTATCACTTAATAAGGGATGCAAAGGAGGCCCTGGCTGAGGGGAGGTCCTAATGTAGGGAGCACCCACATGGAACTATGTCACCCAAACCACAGCCCTGAGGTGAACACCTATACTGTAAGGGTAATTCACTGCCACTGCCAGAGATCATATACTAGTATACACACAAATAATGACTCAGTTTTTCTTTAAGCTACTTTCAAAAATAAAATTTTTGGTATTTATTTACCTTCTTGCTGTAACTGAGCCAAGAATAGTGCGAGGTATGTATCTGATATTAATTCTGGACCCGTCAGCAGAGAATTCAAGTTAAACCACTAGAAAAAAAAGATACCAATATCGAAGTTAATGAACATTATATGCAAAAATAATTTCTCATGTTAAACATATAACAGACCAAAATTTAGTAAGACAGTCTAAATAACAAATATATCAAACTAAGATTTTTCTGAAGTACTGAATACTGTGATTAGAAAAACATGCTGTACACCTGTCACTATTAAATGCCTTTTTAAAAACAATTTTTTTAACAACAAATTAAGGCATAAACTTGAACTCCTTCTAAAAGGACAAAAGCTGATAGTACCTTAAAATGCCTTTATTGACAGCTATAATTACATGGTTTCAAAATATCAGGTCAACACACCTACTCATGTCATACTGGCATAGGAAAAAATGATAGCTACACACTTTTTCATTTGGTCAAAAGACTCCGATTTTTAAAATGTAGACATTCTGGGAAGGGATTTATAATCACCCTTTAACAAGACCTCTAAGCTACTACTGCATGTGATTAACAGCATTAAGTCATAACCGCAGAGGTGCCCTTTCTTAAACAGAAAAATACAAAAAGGTTCCAAAGTCATGCTCAATTCCATGCAAAACTAACAACTCTTCCTGGACTTTGATACAAGCCAGAGTACTTCTTCCAATTATTTCTTTCTTTACACAGAGACCAGAAGCTATCCTCAGAACTCACAGATCCACCAAGCCTCTGCCTCCTGAGTGCTGGAATTACAGGTGTATGCCATCACACCCAGCTAAAAATCTGTTCTTAAGAACATAAATGAGAACCAAGGACCAATATACCAATACTAGCCATCTTCTGTAAATGTCAAAGATAAAATAGTCCAAAATGTAAAAAATCCAAAAAAGAGCTCAAAATTTAAAAAGCTCAAAACAATGTTTTCCTACAAATTACTACAAAGTTGCTTATGAGTTTTAAATTTCTAGGCCTTAAAAATCCAGGGTTGCTTTATTCAGAAAAACAACACTAGGTCCAAATTTTCTAAATAAACCCTCAACATCTGGGAGGGAGGAGGGCAGAGAAGTCAAATGAAATTGACCTGGCTCTTGATAGAGGTGATTCCTGTCCCAATTCATCTCTGGGCTACTACACACATCTCCTGACCTGCTCTTCACGACCTCACAGAGAACATAAATAATGCTTTTTCCTTAGTTTTTGGAGAAGATTGAACCTAGGACCCTGTGCTTATTTTAAGCACATGTCCTGCCAATGATCTACAGCACTCAGCAATCACTGAAGATTGCTTCCAGATGGCCCAGTTAAAAGCTACAGTACGGTTTACCTAAAATAAATAAACATGTACACACATACATAATACACACACACGCGCGCACAGAGTGTCCTTTCCTTTTAAATACTTAATTTTATGTGTATGTATGTTGCACACCATGTGTGTGCTTGGTGCCCACAGAAGGAAGAAGAGGCATTGGCTTCTATGATCCTGGAATTACAGTCCATTGTGAGGCACCATGTGGGTGCTAGGAACCAAACCCAGATTCTCTGCAAGAGCAGTAAGGTCATACCCACTGAGCCCTATCTCCAGGTTCAATGTATTGTTTCTTTTCTTTTTGCATTTAAGGTAATTTATTTATTCTTGGATTTTTAAATTTTATTTATTTTTATTTTATGTGCACTGGTGTTTTGCCTGCATATATTGTCTGTGTGAAGGTTTCAGATCTTGGAGTTACAGACAGTGGTGAACTGCCATGAGGGTGCTGGGAATTGAACCCAGCAGTCAGTGCTCTGCTGAGCCATCTCTCCAGCCCCTTCTTCTTGGATTTAAGACAGGGTCTCACTATGCAGCTTTGGCTGGCCTAAAACTCAGAGATCTCCCTGTCTCTGCTGGGAGTAAAGGTGTGCACCACCACACTTAGCATTTTTGCCTTTTATTTAAAAACAAAAAACAGCTTTATTGAGGCATAACTGACATGAAATAAACTGCTGTCCCTCTCCTGTCTCTTTTGTCGTCCAGGCTGGCCTCAAGGTCTTCCTAGGTCAGTTTCCTAAGTGTTGAGTCATAGGTATGGACCACTCTACTTGGATAAACTGCACATACATCTATTAGAACCTGTCTTTTTTTTTTTTTTTTTTTTTACAATTAGTCATTTAAAAAATATTTATTAAACCATCAACATGACCAGGACACTGAACACATTCAGAGTCCAGTCTCTTGTCCCCTCTGGCCTTTCTCTGGTGTTCCCTCTCTCCATCTCCAGCCCTACACAAGCACTGGTCAGCCTACTTGGTGTCACTGTGTCTACTACTCATTGCTGAGATTCATCCATGCTGCTTGTGTATTAACAGTTTATTCCCTTTGACTGTCTGAGCTTGTTTTTAATAACCTTATCCAAGTTTAATATTCTAATAAGAAGACCTTTACATGACTGCTTCTTTCAAAAGCATGGGCAATGGTGATTTTATGCAGATGTATGTACTACAGAACAATGGAACTGCCTGAATAACCCTGTCTGGCCAATGCCAACTGCTAAATGTTTTGCTTATTCCTGACATTCCAGACTTTGTTACAGTACTGTGCTAAACACAAATCGTCACACAAAAACATACTTAATAGTAACCACATATGCATTGTTTTAAATATAGAATTTTTATTATGATATAACTTGTATGGTTTTTATTTTAAAAATCTGAAGAGAAACTGATTATCTTCTCTTAAGATAGCCAATTTTTATCTGCTGAATTGAGTCCAGGCTCAGGTAGAGTGTATGGGATCTGGGCTTCATTCTAAAGACACCAATTGCTTGCATTTTATTTTTAAATGGAGTATATAGTGTGATAAAAGGACAAGAAAGGAGAAGAAATATTACCTGTTTTCCTAATTTTCTAACTGTAAACCAATGTTCTTTATAATTGCATATAAAGGATCTTTCATTTCTAGAAAAGATAAAACATATACTGTTAATACTGTTAAGTGGGATATTATGATATATACTAGCAAGTACTATAAAATTTCTATCAGTTATGATATAGTTACACTTAAGTGTTACTAATTTTAAAAAAATAAAAATTGCATAACTCTATGCATTTTCCATAGGAGCTTAGTAATGTTATGCCCCACAGCCTCCACACCTCAGGTCAGTGCCACCACTGACACTCGAGGGTACCAAAAATGTGACACAGTGACATAGTGAAGTCCAAGGGCATCAAATTCAGTATCAAAGCAAAAACATTCATGATGAATTTGTCCTCATTCAGAAACTATAGCTTTAAAAATCAAGTTTAAATAAAGAAATGTAGGAAAAAATCTTACATAGGATCAATTCTGAGCCTCTGGTACTCTGGACTGTTGAATAGGATTAGTTCTAAACCCCAAACTTTCAAGGCATTGCTTATAACCTGTCAAAAGAAAAACAGCAACTTTTCATGAGCTAAACCTTCAAGTAGCACAGCTACATTGTGTAAGCAACTGTGCTCAAATATAAACTTTGAGGATATTGTTTTTAAAAAGTATATCCCCATGATACCCCAATAAATCCATAAATAATATATACATGTGAATTTAATTTCATTGTTATTTTTTAAAGATTTATTTTTTATTATTTTTATTTAAGTGTATTAGTGTGTCTGAGTGAGTAGAGACCACTGTACAAGTACCTGTAGAGGCCAGAGGACAATATCAAGTCCCTGTATACTGGAGTTACAGGCAGTTGTAAGCAGCCTAATGTGGGTCCTGGGAACTGAACTGGTCCTCTGAAATACTATTAAGCATTCTTAAATGTGAAGCCATCTCTACAGCCCCCACAAATCCATTTTAAAAGAGTGCTTTCCATACTAGGTTTCTGAGAAATGTCAGAAAATGACACAATTCATAGATAAAACTGTCTCAAGAATCCAGAAGCACATTCCATCTGTGTGTATTGTTTGTAAAACTATTCCACTACATACACTCACTGTAAAACTAGTCACTACACACACTCACTGTAAAACTAGTCCACTAAATGCACTCACTGTAAAACTAGTCCACTACATACACTGACTGTAAAACTAGTCTACTACATACACTCACTTGCAATGGCAGTGACCAAAGGCATACAGTATAAAGTAAGTTCTCCCTAGGGATTGAAAGAAAGGTTTGGGGGCTGGAGAGATGACTAAGTGGTCAATGGTGCATACTCCTCTTACAGGACCAAAGTTCAGTTCTCAGCACCCATGTCAGAGGGCTCACAAGCACCTGTAATTTCAGCTCCAGGACTCCAATGCCCTCTTCTGGCCTCTGCAGACAGAAGCACTCATGTGCACATACCCACACACAGACAGACATATACAAATAATTTTTAAAATAAAAGTAAATCTTTAAAAAGGTTTGATATACTTTAGACTTCTGCAGTCATGAACAAAAAGTCAAACCTGATTATTGCAAACTGAGAAAACATTCTACCTGTCCTCCCAGGTGGGCAATAAAGAAACAAGCACACTGCGTAGTAACAGAGCAAACACAAGTGCCGCACACACAGGAGACAGGGGGGTGGGGGGTGTGGGGGTGTGTGTGTCCCCCGCTGTGCCAACTCTGACCACGGCTCTCAGCTCAGGGCCAGTGGTCCTTATAATGTCACAGTGAAGCACTGGGGGGAAGTGCTAGAAAAGGGGGACTCAAGGAGGGTGGAGCAGAAGGAATTAATAAAGAAAAACACCTGCAGAAATAGATCTCTCAAAAGAGATTCTGAAAGAACTTAGACAACTCTCACATTGTTAGAATGTGTCCATAGAGAAAAGAACCCCATAAGTACATGAATTAAGTTAGGCATGGTGGTCCCCAATTGCAATCCCAGCACCTGGGAGACCAAAGCAGGACTTTGGGAAGTTCAAGACCAGGCTAGGCTACAAAGCAACACCCTGTCTATAGAAGCAAAATAAACAAACACACATAAATAACCGCAGGGCTGGAGGTTTTCTCTAGGACAGAAATATCTTAAATATCACCCCCAGCACCATAAAGAATAAACCACCATAGAATTAAAATGGAGCCTAATGGGACTTGGCTCTGTGGTAGAGTCTGAGCATCTGTGAGGCCTTGGAGCCAATCCCAATCCTACACTCCAAAAGGGCTACAAATTACCACACAGATCAGAAGCCAGAGAAGTACTACAGGAACCCAATCCTGTAGGATGACTCAAATGGAAGGCTGCAAGCCACTGTGATTCTCAGATGTACCACAGATAATAAATTTGAAGCACTGTAATTTATTAGAATTAAAGCTATTAGCATCTACATGCAAATGAAGCCATCTCTTTCAGAAAGCAATTTTTAAAGGCCCTGTTCTAAACTGAGTATGGTAGCACACACCTATAATTCCAGTCTGGAGACACAGATGGGAAGATGTACATAAGTGCCGGACCCAGACAGGACTATATAGTGAGACCCTGCCTGTCCTAAGCAAGTGAGCGACCAAAGCCCTGTTCTAAAGTGTACAGTCCTAATGCTCATCTCTCTATGTGTAGCACTCTGGAGCGCAGTCTTCTGTAGACACAGTTCACTGAGGAAACTACTGAAGGCTCCATCGTTACATAAAAAGCTGTGCCAGGCTGTGCCACATCAACCACAAACTTAGAATAAGCACAACAGCACTAAAAAGAGGCAGCACTTCGCACACACCCCAGACTACTTACTTGAATAGAGAAAAAGCCGCTGTCGTCCATATTTCCAGAAGGCTGCTGTTCAATTTTCATGGGCAGTTGTGGGCAGAGAGGGATGAGGAAAGGATTAAAACTGTCATTAGTGTGCACATTGACAAGAACCCGCTGCACAGTCCCATTTACCAAGTGAAGAACAGAGTTATAATTAACACGTCGGACTCCTGTGGGGAGAATGGCTCCTCCTCCTTTAAAGAGCACCCGTACTTTAAAAATAGCCCGGGCTTTGCCAGTGTGAAGTCAGTACCTGTAAAAATGTGCGATAGTCCTCACTGGTAACGCCTCCTTCTGCCATCCTCATCCTTTCTTCTTCATCCAGCTGGTGTGCAATCGAGGACAGCTCCACAGGGCTAAAATACTCCCCTTGCAACAGATTATTCAGGCAATGCTGAGCACAAAGTGAGCCTTCTTGCTAGTGTTTCCAAAAGAATAAATTTAAATGTGATTTATTAAGTGGATCGGTAGAGTATCTTCTAAAAACTATAATTACTAACTTTTTAATACGGTCAAAACAAACTTTATAATCCTTAGGCAAACCTATTGTACAGGCATATGCATTTTCATTTGTCCACATTTATTTTACAGCTATTTCACTACAGGAACAAAAATGAAGAATGATTTACAGTACAACTTCAACTACCCAATCTCATAGAAGCCTAAAAATCACCCTATTAAAACATTTAGCCTTGTGAATTTTTCAGTACCTACAAGAATTCATCTTTGGAGATTTCATGGCAAATTACTACTGCAAAAAGGGAATGTTATCCCCTAGAACATTCATTCTTCTAACAAGTTAGTCAGTATTTAACATTAAAAGCCTGTCCTTTCAAACTCCAGACCTGGTGTAAGTGAGAACACTTCTGTCTCAGGCTAAATAAGACCCAGCTCTAGAGCTGAGGCTTCCATCGGCCAACTTTTCAGACTTATTCCATGTGGTATGTAAAAAGGAGAACTGTCCCAAGCTGACCGCAGTCCACGTCCATGAGTGGACAAGTTAGCAAGAGGAACTGCAGCCAAGTTCAGCTCCCCAAGGAGTCCTTAGCATCCTCTCGTGGAGGTGGGTACAACATCCCACGGGCCTGGTTAGCTGGCTTTCCTATACAGCTGGCACCCAACCCGAACTCCAAATCCAGCCTGTCCGGCACCTACGGCCTTCTTGTCACTCTCCTAGTCCTTAGAGTGTTGCTTTCCTAAGCTATAGGTAAAGAAGGGGGACTCAGGAGTGGATGAGTCCGGTGGACACAGACCCAAAATCCGCCTTTCTTGGGGGCAAAGGCAGATGGGAGAAAACTTCCTCTGTTAACTCTGACCCACTAAGGGACCAATAAGGCCTACTGATCTCAACCTGCCAGGCATCATGCCTCCTGGTCTGAGCTATGTTACATGGCAGATGATGACTCCAAAGAGCACCTTACAAGATGCATTTCCCCCTGATGAATCAATGTTATAGAAACAAAATGTAATTGCTGAAGTAGATACAGTATACATGTCTGTTATGGAATAAGAAGGCAGAGTTCAGAGAGCTTGAGTCTGACACAGAGCTAGAGCAAGCTTATGTTCACAGTCTGCTAAGAAATGTTGTCCAGGCTGACCTGGAGCTAGAGTTAAGTATTCTGTCACATGGTGACAGAATTCTTTGTCTCTGCCTCTTTTTCCTTCTACTGTTTATCTACTGCTAGGAGCAACTTCCACTGAATACTGCCTACTATGAAGCAGAGACGTACAGATGTTCACCTTATATCCTAGTGGAAATGCAAGCATTTCACAAGCTAGTCAAGAGGCTAAAAACATACAAAAAGATCTCAACTTCATCAATCACCAGGGAAATGTATATCAAAACCACAACACACGGCAGGAGGTGGCTCAGCAGGTAAAGGTGCCTGCTGTCAATCCCCAGATACTACTGTAGAAGGAGAGAATGACTCCTGAGTACTTGCCCTCTTGACCTCCACCTGCACACATGGCCATGTGCACGCCAGCACTCACATGCATGCCACATACATACAAATAATAAAAAATTATTTTTAAATATTCCTTATTGATTGATTGATTGATTGGCTGGAGGAGATGCAGAAGACAACTTGCAGGACTCAAATGTCTCCTTTCACAATGTGGGTCCCAAGGATCAAACTCAGGCTATAAGCCTTGGCAGTAAGTGCCTTTACTTGCTAACCTATCTTTTCAGGCCCTAAAGATGTTTTTGTTGTGTTTCTGAGACAAGATCTCACTTTGTGATCTAGCCTTGGCTGGCCTGGAACTCACTATGTAAACCAGGCTGGCCTCAAACTCATAGAAATCAGTGGTGGCACACACCTTTAACCCCAGCACTCAGGAGGCAGAGCCAGGCGGATCTGTGAGTTCGAGGCCATCCTGGTCTACAGAGCGAGATCCAAGATAGGCACCAAAACTACATGGAGAAACCCTGTCTTGAAAAAAAAAAAAAGAAGAAGAAGAAATGTTTGCCTCTGACTCCAAGTGCTAAGATCAAAGATGTACACTGATGTGGATTATGCTCATTGTTATAATAAAGCTGATTGGCTGAGGGCTGGGGAGGAAGAGATTGAGCATGAGAGCCAGAATTCTGGGAAGAGGAAGGGCGGAGTCAGCAGATGCCAGCCAGCTGCTGAGGAAGCAAGACTATAGAAAATGAGGTAACAAGCCACAAACCATGTAGCAAAGCATAGATAAGAAATATGGGTTAGTTTAAATGTAAGAGCTAATTAGTAATAAGCCTGAACCATTGGCCAAATATTTATAATTAATATAAGCCTCTGAGTGATTACTGGAAATGGCTGCAGGATGGGGCAAGACAGAGAAACTCCTCTGGTTACAGTGCACCACCACTACCTAGCTAAAAAAAAATTTTTATAAAAGAAAAATTCATAATGTGTTACTACTATCCAGTCTCCAGGACAGCTATTCCAACAGAGAGGTTTAGAATGACAGACAACAGCTGTTACAGGAGCAAGTATAGCCTAGTGAAACCACTCTGCAACCACCTTCATCTCTACCACAGTTTACCATCTGTGTGCTCCATGGTTACACACATACACTGCAAATGTGCTCACCAAAGCACTACTTGTAGGCTTCTAAACTGGAAAGCATTCAAAGACAGTTTAGATCACAGAACTGTATTTACAAAAGAACAGTGTATAAGACTAAAAGTAAATTAAATTCAAGTAACGGCAACAATATGGATGAATCTCTCAAATACTTTTAAAAAATAAAAAGCGCACAACACTCAAAAGAGTAGACATCAGAGCTAAGGGTGTGTAGCCAGTGTGTGTAAGGCCCTGGGTTCAATCCCCACTACCACCACCAAACAAACAAAGACAGCAAAAGTACAGGGTGGGGCAAGTAAGAGGCGCCTAGTGTCCTAAGTTCCAACCATAGAACAGACTTAAAAGTGGAAGAGAACATTCTGCTGATCTCTCTACACAGAGGTGTGTGTCCATTCATCAACATATCATGCAGAAACACATGATAATAATAACAAATTAAAAGAGTTTACAAATAGGCAGAATTAATCTCTTAATCTGTGATGGTAGAATTTCCTGGCAGAAGTAAGCACTGGAAGGGCTAGTTCTTGGAGGAGAGGACTGAGGGGACTTAGCAGGTGTAGGGAAATAGTCTGTGACTTCATCTAAGGGTAGCTTCCATGTGTTCTTCCTTGACTTGTGTGTTCTTATGTATGACATACTTAATTTAAAACATTCAGACAAGGCCAGGCTGTGGTGGTGCACAACTTTAATCCCAGCACTCAGGAGGCAGAGACAGGTGTATCTCCATGAGTTCCTGGCCTGTTACCTACATAGTGAGACCTCATCTCAAAAAGGAAAGAAAAGAATCAAGAAACATCTAACATGGCAACCAGACACTCCATTTGGGAAAGCAGCTGTGATGCAACTTTCGGTCCTATTGCTAGGCAATATGCTTCAGTGTGGGGTTCTTAAACTACAGTCACCATATTTTTTAAAGGTATTTTTATTTTTATGTGTATAGTTGTTTTGCCTCCATGTATATCTGCACCATGTACATGCCTGGTATTCAGAGGCCAGAAAAAGGGGTTGGATCTTCTGAGACTAGAGTTGCAGAGGGCTAAGTCATCATCATATGGGTGCTGGGAAGCCCGGGTCCTCTGAAGCAGCCTGCTCTCGTAATCACTGAGTCATCTAGCCCCTGGTCGCCATATTTAACATATAGAAATAGTGACGTCCAAAATTTTGATAAAAAATTCTTGCTATTAAAGATTGGGGTTTTGGAGTCTGGAGAAATGGTTGTGGGTTCGGTTCCTAGCATCTATAGGGGAACTCACAGCCAGCTGTAATTCCAGTCCCAAGGGATCTGATGCCCTCTGGTCTCCTCACTGTCTGCACATGGTACACTTTGATCCATGTAGGCACTCATACACATAAAATAAAAATAATGAAGTCTTAAAAAACAAAAGATTGTGTCTCATTATGCCCAGTTTATGTGGTATTGGGGATAGATTAAACTCAGGCCTGAGCTACATTCCCAGTCCCTAAAAAACTTTTTATTATGAAAAAATAAGCACTTAAAATCAAACCTTGACCAAGTAAAATGGTACTGCTACTAGAAATATGCTCTATAGTTCTAATATAATTAATGGAAGGAAAAAAACAAATTGTTCAACTCAATTTAAAAATCTCATTGACAAACACTGAACAAATTCTACATGAACCAAAAAAGTTATTTATCTATACCTCTGATCATGCATTTTTCTGTCTTATTGCCACTGCCCAAGTTAGCCTGTTTCCTCTTTCTAATCGGGGTTTTACCCAAGTGGGGAGCTGGCAAGATAGCTCAATGTTTGCTTGCTGTGATCATGAAGACCCACACAGTGGGAGGAGAGGATCAACTCCCACCAAATTGCCCTCTGACCCTCCACATGTACAGTGGCATGCATGGAGCACCACAATACATACAATGTAATAAAATGTAACACAACACTATTTCACCCAAGTAGAAGAGAAACTCACTTTGCTACTAAAATTCTATGATTTGGAGTCCATATTTTACTGTGTTGGGCCCAGAAGATAAACACACTACACTTCCACTTCTACCAAGATAGTATATAAAATCACAAAAGGAAACTGCAACCAAGTCACCCCCCGGGTTTTGGGGTCCAACCTGAAACTAGGTAAAACCCCAGTGACAGTATCAACTATAATAAAAACAGATAGAACCCTAATGGTGCGCTCTAAAATGGACCAATAGTGGACTGGTCTCCCTGGGTGGGTAAGGACTGTGTGACTTAGAGCTCAAATCACAGCCACAATGCTTACTGTAGCCACCTCTTTACTGCTTAGTGTTTTCCTAGTCCTTCTTTTTTCTTTTATGCTAGAGATTGGTCCCTTGCCCATATTAAGTAAGTACTCTACCACTGAACTACACCCCCAGATCTCTTCTGCCATCAAACACAAGACCTGAGTACTGCAGCAGTTACCATTTCTGCAACACTGACTTCTGCACAGCTTCTTAGCATGCGTGACTTTGAGGCAGCTAATTTGTCATTAACTACAGAGGCAAAAAAAGAAAACCACAGAGGTAATAACTCCAGAAATCCTACAAGCAGCAAGTGGCAGAGCTGGAGTTCACACCCAGGCAGAGGCTCTGTGCTGTTAACATCTCCTCAAATCAAATATTTGGAATTAGGCTTTCCCTAAACCCCACATATCCTGAATGTCACTAAGAGCTGGCAATCACAAAAGGGCACGACGGATGTGACAAGGTCAATGCTTAGCCTCTATTCCATCTTTTTGTGCTTTGCACTCCCAGTTCACATTACACTGGAAGTACAGGTACAGACTGCACCGACCGTAGCCAGTGACGGAGGCACCAGAATAAGAGCAACAAAACATCATATCCAAGAAAGCAGCTGGTATTGGTAATTTACTATTAAAGTTGGGAGATGGTAAACTCTATAGCTCATGGGCCCAAGTTCAATCTTCCTCAATAGCTAAAAACTATATTTTACACAAAAAAATTCAGAGAGTCTGAGGAATATATGAGGAACATAAATGAGACTTTGTGACAGACATATGGCCTGAAAAGGCTTAAAATATGTAGAGGCTAGGCATGGTAGTGTGTGACTTGAATCCCAACACTTGAGAGGGAGAGGCAGCCAGGTCTTTGTGAGTTCAAAACCAGTCTGGTCTACAAAGCAAGTTCCAGGCCAGCCAGGGCTACAACAGTGGGACCCTATCTTTAAAAAAGGTGGCGCACGCCTTTAATCCCAGCACTCGGGAGGCAGAGGCAGGCGGATCTCTGTGAGTTCGAGGCCAGCCTGGGCTACCAAGTGAGTCCCAGGAAAGGCGCAAAGCTACACAGAGAAACCCTGTCTCGAAAAACCAAAAAAAAAAAAAAATCACAGAAGAGTTGTATCCTTTAAATAAATAGAACCACATACCTTTTAAAGCAGCGGTTATCAACCTTCCTAATGCTACACACCCTTAATACATTTCCTCCCCCAACCACACAATTTCACTACTTCATAACTGTAATTTGCTACTGTTATGAATCATAATGTTAATATCTGATATACAGATGGTCTTAGGTGACCCCTATGAAAGCATCATTGGACCCCCAAAGGGTTGCAATCCACAGGTTGAGAATCACTGTTTTAGATGTTCAAGGAACTCTCATTCCCACTCATATATGCCAGGAATTCTGGTGATTCTAGTCTGAGCATAATGAATACTTGAGATATAGGCACATATCATGTACTTAACTCCATTCATTCACACAGTATCTCCAAGTGGAGATCTACCAATGGACAACAGCTTTTACTTATTTATTTTTTGTTTTTTGAGACAGGATCTCTCTACCTAGGTAGCCCTGACTGTCCTGGAACTCACTATGTAAACTGGCTGGCCTTGAACTCACAGAGATCTGCCTGCTTCTACCTCCCAAGTGCTAGGATGAAAGGCCTGCACCATCACCATGCCTGGCTTACAACTGTTTTTATATTCCAACTTAATAATAAGTACTCAAAGGGGTAAGTGTAAAATTAATTCCTAGAGAAGTAGTTGAAGTCTTCTCTAGATCATTCTCTGATTAAAGGCAAGTATGGAAGGGAAAAAATTCTCTGGAAAATAGCATTTATGCTCAAATATTCCCAAAATGGCCTCTTATATGATTAATAACCTATAGTTACAGGTGCATTGAAATATACTATGACTTTACTAAATGGTCATTTGCTATGGATATTTAAGTTGATGATAAAGCAAAGTACTTTTCAGGATGGGTGAGATGCCTCGGTCAGTAAGGTATTTGTGCTACAAGCCCCAGAACCCTCATTTAAAAAGCCAAGCATGGTGGTACCCATTTGTAACTTCAGTGCTGGGGAAGTAGAAATGGGCAGATACATGGGGCTAGCCACTTTGGCAAGTTCCAACCCAGTGAGGAACACCACCAAGGTGGTCCTCCTGACTCTATATGCATACACACACATGTGCACCCTCACCCATCTGTTCGAATGTACACGTACACACACACACACACACACACACACACACACACACACACACACAAAGTAAATGTACTACTCAACTATTTATTAAGTGTATAAACATGCTGATAACTGAGTGACTTCTTGATAAGCAAGGTTTCTGTGTGTATATGTGTGTGCACATGTGCATGTTTGTATATGTGTTCCTGTGTCCATGTATGCACGAAGATCCTTAGGTACTGGGGATACAGACACACACTGCTCTGTCTGGCTTTAAATGGGTGCTGGGGATCTGAACTCAGGTTTTCATGCTTACACAGCAAGCGCTTTACCAGCTGAGGCATCTCCCCAGCCTGAGTAAGTTTGTGTTAGGCTAGCACTTTGGATATAATGGTTCAGTAGTTACCTTCCCTGAATCTGCTCAAATGAGAATCAATCAATATTGTAAAGAAGATTGTGGGGGCTGGAGAGATGGCTCAACAGTTACGAGCACTGGCTGATCTTCCAGAGGACCCAGGTTCAATTCCTAAAACCCACGTGGCTGCTTACAACCCTCTGCAACTCCAGTTCCGGGAGATATTCTGCCTTCAGTGGGTACCAAGAACACACAGTGCATAGTCACACACAAAGGCAAAACACCCACATAAAAATTTTTTAATGCATTAAGTGCCCTAGAAATGACTCAGTGTGTAAAGGGGTTTGCCATAAGCCCGAGTTAGACCCCTGGAACTCACACAAAGTTGCAAGGAGAGAATCGACTTTGTAAAGTTGTCCTGACCTCCACACAGGCACACACATGCATCATACACACATGACAGAAATAAAATGTTTTTTAAAAGAATGCATGGTAGGAGTCTCATGAAGCAGTGTATGAAGTGTTTAAAGTCTACCACATTTCAAATGGGTTCTATGCCAAAGCCTTTGGAAAATTAACTACAAATGTATGGGGGGGAGGTGCTAGGAGTCATGGCACATGGCTGTAATCCCACCGCTCAGGAGGCAGACAAGAGGATGGGGAGGATGGGGAGTCAGGAGCAAGCTTGGGCTACAAGAGATCTTGTCGCAGACTAACTTGTTCCAGTTCCAAGACTCAGAAATGTCTTCTCAAGAGCACTTCAATTAACAATTTCTTGGATTTACATCACTTTTGCTTTTCCTTTGTGGTGTATGAACTTTAAATGCCTTGAATAAATGCTCATTTACAAGTACTCAACAAAACAAAGACCCTTTGCTCCTACTAAACAATAGCCCCAACTAGCAATCTTCTCCAAATCTAAAACGATTATGAAACATAGTATCATATGCCAAAGTTGTCTGAGGAACACCCAAATGACTTAATAATTATATGCGAGCAAAGACCAGTTTCTCAAGATGTCACAACAATACTTTTAAGCGTAGTCATTTAGGATTTAGGGTGAGGAAGAGACTAGCCAGATCACACAGCAGAAAGATTCTAATCTATTCCATAATACCTAAAAACAAAGCTGGTCTCCTAGTCCGGAAAGACCGGCTAGCAAACCAAACCCAAACATCCCGTAATAAAAACTCTTATGACGACTTCCCTCAGGGACTCCGGGGTTTCCTACTTTACTTCCTAAGTGCCAGGCCCTTCAATGGGAGAGCCACGGTAACATCTGCAGAAGGACGTGGGATAGATCATCAAGATCTAAATGCATGGGCCATTCCATTATAGAACTGAGTTGAAGAGAAAGTTGATTCTGCCATAGGATAGGTCAGGGAGCATGGGTGGAGTTGGCAAGGGTCCACCAGGTGTGGAGAGGGTGACTCGCTAGACTAGACCCGAGAGGAGGAGACAGAAGAAACCCGAAAAGGCGTGGCAAGTGAAAAGGAATGCCCGCGCTAACCCCCCCGGGTGAAGCCCCCGAAGTGCCCGATGAGCCCTGGTTATCTGCCCGGTCCTCTTTGGCGAGGTCGCCGGGAAGGCATGAAGGAGGCTCCCTGAGCCGAGCCACCGGGAGGAGGCAGGAAGCGCCCCTCACCCAGCCAGGTCGGGATGGGGGAGATCGGGCCCCGTCCTGAGTCCCTGAGGCGACGACTCTGCTCCCCACGCCCGCCGCCGAGCCCCGGTCGGCTCCCCACCGAACGCCCACACTCACTTTCTCGTGGAAGATGGACTCCATGTTTATTTGTCTGGAGCCAACGGCCCCGGCGCGGAGCAGCCCCCTCCAGCAGCTCCGCCCCCGGTCCCACCCCTCCACCCCGGCCCGCCCCGCTCTGCCCACGTGCCTCCCCCCAACCAATCACTACGGCGGGCGCACGTCACGCGGCGCGCGGAGCCAGGGAGCGCGGGGCACGTGACCTGGGCGGTGGGTCCTCCCGGCGCCTGTTCTCCCCCGGCGTGCGCGGTGCTGCGGCGCCACCTGCCGTGCGGAGGAGCTTCTCCTCCCTCCGCTCTTTGCTAGACAGTCTTGTGATTCTAGGGTTCTAGATGAGGATCCTCGCGGCCAGGTTTTCTGTCTTTTTTTTTCTTTTCCATCTTCTTTGGTACTTTCTTCTTAACTGCATGTAATTAATACCTCCTCTCCCACTGAAAACCTCTTTCAAGAAAAGGTATCTTGTGATTCTAGGGTTCTAGATGAGGATCCTCGCGGCCAGGTTTTCCGTCTTTTTTTTTCTTTTCCATCTCCTTTGGTACTTTCTTCTTAACTGCATGTAATTAATACCTCCTCTCCCACTGAAAACCTCTTTCAAGAAAAGGTATCTTGTGATTCTAGGGTTCTAGATGAGGATCCTCGCGGCCAGGTTTTCCGTCTTTTTTTTTCTTTTCCATCTCCTTTGGTACTTTCTTCTTAACTGCATGTAATTAATACCTCCTCTCCCACTGAAAACCTCTTTCAAGAAAAGATATTCTCTCAACACCTAGTACTTGTGTGAAAAAGACTATAGCTAATATTTAGTTAGGGCTGACTTAGAGCCCATTTCTAAGTGCAGTTTAGTACGGCATCTTTTGATGTGTGTGTCTGTTGTAATATTATACAAATGAGGAAATGGAGGCACGAAGAAATTAGGAACAGTACAGTGTCCAGGGTAGTTCTGCCTGTTGAAATGAGTATCAGTCAGGTCACGGGGTAAGTGCACTATCTAGCTCTAAAGGAGGAAGCATCGGTGGGGAAGTGAAAGGTCCAAAATGTTGGGAGGAGCGCGCGCGTGCGCTGGCAACGGCGTCGGGGACGACGACTGGGGGGGGGGGGGGGATGGGGGGTGGCGTGCTGATGAAGATTAAGCGTAGGATGGGCGCAGATCTTGCACCGTGAAACCATTTTAGGTTCCTTAAAGTCAGCAAGGAAACTCAGTATGAAGGCTCATTCTTAGCATCCTTGCACCTGAAGGTAGAGAAAGGAGTATGCTGAGTTGGAGGATAGCTGGGAAATGCCAGCCTATAGCCCAGATTATATAGGGTGACCCTCCCCCACCCCCCAAAAAAAGAGGCGACAAGCAGTTATAGATTTCTCAAACTAGAGATATAGGGTCAAATTAGCACTTTAAAGGACCACTGGGGAACAGAATACTTGAAGGCATTTGGGGAGAAATGAAGAGATGATGGTGGTCATGACTCTGGTAGTAATTTGAGGGATGGAGAGAGACCATTTAGAACCCTTAGGAAGCAGACTCAGAAGAATCTAGTGGGGAAGGGAGGTGTTGTTAAGACTTCTGGATTTCCACTGTAGGCCCCGCCTATAGTAGGAGTAATACTCCTATCAGAAACACTAAGCAGAATAAGCAAGGTCTTGGGAAGAAAGGACAAAGGTTTAATTTGGGGAAGAATGAATTTAAGTGTCTGCAGCATACAGGTGCTTTTCTTGAGTAGTAGACATCAGGCCTGGAGTTTACAGAAGCTGGTTTGAGCTGTGGGGTGGGGTTGGTTGCTATTTAAAAGGGATGGAGAGGTGGCTCCATGGTTAAGGGCACTTGCTTCTCTTGTAGAGCAGCTGGGTTTGATTCTCAGCATGCACCTGGAGGCTCACAACAGTTGGTAACTTCAGACCCAAGGGATCCATTGCTTCTTTAGGCACCAGGGATGCCCTGTGAGGCATATACACACATGCAGGCAAACACGCCATACACATGAAGTATAAGTATATAAGAAAAAAATTAAAACACAGGTAACTAGTGGGGCATGGTGGCTCACGCCTTTAGTCCCAGCACTCAGGAGGCAGAGGCAGGTGGATCTACATTGAGTTTGAAGCCAGCCTGGTCTACAAAGCAAGTTCCAGAACAGCCAGGGCTACAGAAAGAAGCCCTGTCTCATCGTAGAGAAAAGGAAGAGATTGAAAAGAGGATCTAGAGCTAAGCCCTGAAGGTAGAGAGCAGGAGGCAGGAAGAGTACAAATAATGAAATGGAAGGTCCAGGAGAGAATGCTTCAAGGACCAGTCAGTGTTAGATGCTGCCAGGAAGTTCAGAGGCAGGAAGACTTACAAGAGACTGCTTAGTTTTGTTTCTGTTAAGATCATCTTTGTGAGTACAAGTTCAAGAAAAGCAGGGAAGTGAGAGGTGAGGAAATGGAGACTACCAGTGAAGACCAGATCAAGGGAAGTGCCATATTATTTGTTGAACATTCTGTGTGCAATTTCCTCTTGAGATAAAACAGATAAAGCTGTCCATATTGGAGGGAAGCTCTTTACGGTGCAGGATACTATATTCTAAGGGAGGAGAAATATTCCATCTTGCAAGGAAGCTAGTGAGGAAAGAGAATATTCTAAGGACAGGGAACACATTCCATCTTACAGAGGGGCATTGTAAGCTCAGAAAGTAAACAACTCAGAGGCTTCTGGAAGTCCCTGAAACTGATTGAATTCGCTAGGCTTCTTCCTCCCAAGCATATATAAGCAGTAAGGACTACCAAGAGACACTCTCAGACAGGCAGAGTTGCCTAGAAGAGGCTCACACCAACTGTACTGCCTGGAAGAAGCAGAGACCAGCTAAGCTGCCTGGAAGGGACACTCCAACCTGTTGAGCTTCCTGGGAGTTGTGAAGTGCTGTTGATGTCTCCAGCTTTCGTGAGCTGTCATCATGCTGGAGTTGTCTTTGAGTCATCTCTGCTCCTGTAAGTAATCTCAATAAAACTCATTGGTTCACCAAGTTGGACTCTGGCGGTATCCTTCCTTTGGCCTGTCATCAGTTCTGAGATGTTTGTTCACAGCTCCCCAGGAACAGGGTCACACAACACAAGCATAGCCTATGTGCTGAAGGAGTTGTGGCTTCACCAGGAAAAGAGCCTGATGAGAAAAATGCGAACCATGTTTTCTAGGATTTTCTTAAAGATACAATTGTTCAAGTGAATAAATGAAGCTGGGCTGCTATCAATACCTGCAACTGGATAAATCGCCAGAGATTTACTGCTCAGTTGTGGAGGCTGTGAGTTCCACAATGAAGGCTAGAGCAGACCAAATGTCTTAAGTTTTATTTTGTTCATTGATGGTGTCTTTTGTTTGTCCTGGTGTGGCAGAGGAGCAGAGGGGACAAACAAGCTCCCTTCGGCCTCTGAAGGGCTGGAGAGATGGCTCCGTGGTTAAGAACACTTGCTTCTCTTGGTTAAATTGGTGCTGTTGGACTCTGTTTGTTCGGGAGCAGCTTAGTCCAATCAGTGTTAGTGGGTTCTGTCTCTGGGAGCAGTTGTTCCCAGTTGGTGTAGGGTGTGCTTATGGTTTCAGTGGTTGTTAGGTTTGTAGAGGTTAGTTTTTTGTTTTGGGTTTTTTTGTTTGTTTGTTTGTTTGTTTGTTTTGGTGGGGGAGCAGGGAAAGATAGCTGTCTGGTCATTGGGACTCCGATGGGTAGAACCTAGGGGCTAGAGACCTGATCTGCCGGTCTGGAGATGGGAGCTTACCTGTTCTCAGTTGGTGAAGTGTATACTTTCGATTCTGGTGATCTGGTTCGGTGGCTGGGCGGCGCCTTCTTTTGTGTTCTCAGGTCACATTTTGCTCATTCATCAACTCCTCAGCTGATCTTGTTTCCTCAGACTTCAAACTGTAGGATTCTGAATCCTCTCCCGGATGGATTTCAGCTGAGCAGGGTAGTCTCCCCAACACCTCCAAGTTGTTGGGTTTCGCAGGATCAGCAGCTGGGCCCTGGTTGGTCTCAGACAGAGTGCTCAGATCCGTTCTGGTTTCGTCCCACGGAGAAGGCTCCTTCCCCGGGTGTTGGGATTAAAGGCGTCCCTGTTCCAAGCTCTTGATTAAGAGCTTGTTTTCACTAACTCCTCAGCGGGTAATAGCTCAGTTTCTGGTCTTTATTACAACTGCGTCTCGGCCGCTGCCGCTTCACCTGCCTGCTTCTGCGGCCACCCCACTTGCTTCTCTTATAGAGGAAAGCTCTGCTATCATGGCCAGGACACAGCCAAAGCCACTCCTCGTGATACTAATTCATCTTTCAACATGTGAACTTCGGAGGTGACAGGATTTGGTGACAGCATCAAGAGCTGGAGCCTCATTTGTGATTCTCTTTGCCCCTCACTCCAGTCTTCACGTACTGTGCATCTCCCATCCCCCTCCCCTTGTTTATGTTGTCACTGTGTAGTTCAAACTTCTTGATCTCGTGTGTAGTCCAGTCCTCGGAACTATGAATTGACCCGACCTTAATATGTCCAGTGAATGGCATTGTCAGTGACCTTTCAAAACTACAGATTTCACCAACTTTTCTTTTATTGAACAAATACCAGTGTTGCTGTGAACAAATAACAGTATGCTGAGACCAGAGCTATGCAAAAGACCATCTCACTTTTTTCCCCCCAAATGGGGGTTCTAGGACAAGCTCATGAAACTCCAGAGACAAAGTTTTCAAGATTCACCAGCCTTTCCCCAAGGTTCTATAAGCAATAAACAGTCACCAGGGGAGAGGACTCTTCAATGGGGCCGCATGTAGGTTGAAAAGGGAGCTAGGAAGATGCAGCCTTTGTGAGTTGTTGCCCATGCCAGGGTGGGCTTTCTAGTGTTTAGCTGCTTTTGAGTCACCCATGCTCCTGTAAGTAACCTAGTAAACTTACAGGTCCACGGAGCTAAACCTGGATGGACTAATTCCTTTGGTCTACTGTTAGTGCCCCTGTGTGGGGAAAGTACGCGTTTGTTCACAGCTCCCCAGGAAGTCACACAATACCATACAAGGAGCATGTGGCCTTTACATAAATGAAGCACTGGTACATACTATAGCACAGAACCTAAAACAAAGCAAAAAAACATGCTT